TACCTGACCAGACTCAGCAACAGGAGGAGACTCAGTAGTCAGTGTGTACAGGCTCGACCCCGGCCGACGGGTAAACGTGGCCAAGTGTCGGCCCGTCCGAGCACACGTGCAGTGGGTCACCCGCTGACTCGCAGGAGTGAACTGGTCAACCCCCCTATCCTGTAGATCAGCTCCACTCACCAAGTTCGTAGAGAACGAGGGGAGGTAGAGACCTGACAGGGTGCCAGAGGGGGCTGCCGGACACGGTAAGACAGTGGAGAAGCTAGCAAGGACAGGACCCCCAGAGGGGTCCGCCAGGGAGACCGCAACCAGCCGACTAAGCGGCGTAAGCGTGGTGCGGTCTCGAAAGAAGGAGCGGGAAGCACCCGAGACAAGGGTGAAGGTGTGTAAGGCCTGAGCCGACGTGGTACCTGAGGGAGCAGACTCACCAGCACCTGGGGCAGCAGACGCACTAGCACCTAGAGCAGCAGCCTCACCAGCACCTAGAGCAGCAGCCTCAATGCCCGGGTCAGGCGGAACACACAGGTAACAGTCACCCTCATCACTAGTAGACACAGCATACATGGCAGCAAGAATAGCATCATAATCAAGATCAAAGAAAGCAACCCCTGCCCTAGACAGCTCTCCCCAGCGAGGGATCTCAGTGGCGTCAGGGAACTGGTGACGCCACGCGTCCGTCAGGCGACCGAAGCAGCGCTGGGTGGAGTGCGGGCCCCCGCACTGCTCACCAGCGCGGTCGCCGGTACGGAGGACGTAGGTACAGGGACCAGTACCCCCACCTCGCTGACGCCCAGCGTACCACTCACGAAGCTGCTGGGGGGACGGGGTCTCACGACTGCGCTGCTGCTGCTGGCGCGGACCACCACCGGAGCCACTCCTCTGCGCAGAGCCGCGACCAGCTCCACCGCTGCCTCCGCCGCCTCCGCCACCTCCGCCGCCTCTGCTCCCTCCGCCACCGCCGCCGCCTCCTCCGCCTCCACTGCTGCCACCGACACCTCCACCCCCGCCACCACTCCCACCACCACCCCCACCCCCTCCACTGCCGCTACCACCACCTCCACCGCCCCCGCCAGCCCCTCCAGCGCCCTTGCCCCCCTTGCCCTTGCCGGTGCGGCGTCTCCCGCTAGGGGCAGACGCAGCGCCGACCGACTCAAAACCAACGAGGTCGGCCGCAGCAGCAGAAGCAACAGAGGGCAAAGAGGGGGGAGGGGGAACACCCCTCAAAGACGGGGGTGCGAGGGTCACCACGAGAGGCTCCTACAGCGACTATGCTCTTCTCTGCTGCTAGGAGGCGCTCCTCGAGGAGGTCAACGGTGAGTGTGGTGGGGCAAACAGAGAGGAAGTGGACCCTGACTAAGCGAAGGGAGTCAGGGAGCCGGGTGACTATGTAGTAGAGGGTGATGTACATGGGGGGGGGGTTCTTGGCACAGAACTCAGTAGGAAGCGCAGCGCGGTAGCGAGTGTCACTAGTGCGAAGGTGCGTAATGAGGTCAGCGACTGTGGGAAAGGCAGCAAGGTCAGGGAACAGGTACGGCAGCATGAGGTGGCTAAGCGCAGCAGTGGCAGGGGAGGAGTAGCGTGCAACTACAGCGTCGTACAAGGTCTTAGCACTCTTGTACTGGCTAAAGTGCGCACGCTCAGTGGTCGGTAAGTGGCGACGCACAGCAAGACGGGCAGCAGCATCGCGTGTGGCCCACTGTGAGCGAACAGTGCTGTCAGCAGTAGTAGGCGGGGCAGGAGAGGCACCAGAGGTGAGATCGAACAGGGAGAGTCCGTCAGCCCTATCGCACTGTAGGAACAGCTGGAGGTCATCGACCCAGACCTCAAAGTCAACAGCACGACCCTCAGCATCAAAGGTAAGGATACTGGGGGTAGCCATGACTGCAGTGGCCTAGCAGGGAGTGATCTCACCAGTCCGAGTAAGTAGGGCCGGGGCGCGCCGGTAGGAACAGTAGCGGTTCGACGGCAGGGCGGCTCGGCGGCTCGGCTGCTGGGCGGCTCGGCGGCTCGGTTGCTGGGCGGCTCGGCGGCTCGGCGGCTCGGCTGCTGGGCGGCTCGGCGGCTCGGCTGTTGGGCGGCTCGGCTGCTGGGCGGCTCGGCGGCTCGGTTGCTGGGCGGCTCGGCGGCTCGGCGGCTCGGCTGCTGGGCGGCTCGGCTGCTGGGTGGTTCGGCTGCTCAGCTGCTGGGCGGCTCAGCGGTGAAGGGGCTGGTAGAGGCGGCGACGGGGCCGGTAGAGGCGGCGACGGGGCCGGTAGAGGTGGCGATGGGGCCGCCAGGGGCGGCGACGGTGCCGCTAAGGGCGGTGAGGTGGCCGCGAAGGGGCGGCGACGGGGCCGTTAGGGGCGGCGACGGGGCCGCAGAGGGGCCGCAAGGGGCCTAGAGGGGCGGCGACGAGGCCGCGAAGGGGCCGTAAGGGGCCTAGAGGGGGGCGGCGACGGGGCCGCAAGTGGCGGCGATGGGGCCGCGAAGGGGCCACGAGGGGCCTATAGGGGCGGCGACGGGGCCTAGAGCGGCGGCGACGGGGCCGTGAAGGGGCCGCGAGGGGCCTAGAGCGGCGGCGACGGGGCCTAGAGAGGCGGCGACGGGGCCGTGAAGGGGCCACGAGGGGCCTAGAGGGGCGGCGACGGGGTCGCTAAGGACGGCGACGTGGCCTCTAGGAGGGCGCGACGTGAGGGCGGCCTACGGGGCATGCCTCGGGCAGGAAAAAAAAGATCAAGTTAGGTGGTGGGCCCTGAGAAGCGTTCCCACGAGGGAACCTGCTCTGATACCATGTGAAGAATGAGGAATGAATGAACTAGCAAACAGGTGGGTACAAGTAGGAAAACCTAGAAATATTGTACCCCATATAGTCTACCCCACTACAGCCTACACAGACTATAGCATATAAGTTTAACAGAAGGTTCATCTGTGATAGCAAAGTTTCGAGTGTGACTACCCGTGATAGAATTTAGTGCCTTTGAGTGACGGCGCGTGATACCCGTGTGATGGTTCGTGATAGATTTGGCGGAACATGTGACCGTTCATGATAGATTTTGCGGAACATGTGACTGCTCGTGATAACTACGAAATGTTTTGTAACGGCCCGTATAAAAACCCAAAAAAAATCGCCTCTGGCAAATTGGGGGAGTGGGTCTAGGTAGGTCTAGCGCCCGAGCCGCGCCCTTCCCCGTGGCCGTCCACATCTATTTTGGGTTATCCATACAAACCAGCATTCTCCATTAGCGTGTGGTTCTGTTACCCTTTTTTGTTTGGGGCGAGCCCGCTACATTGCCATGGGACATTTGAATGTGGGTTTTTTGTTTTCCCGGAAGGCTTACTGTAGCTTCTTTTCTTTCAAGGGACTTTCATCTCAACTTGCGCACACTTTCCGCTGATCCGCTTCTAAGGCGGAAGATTTATTGTGCTAACACAGAACTCGGCTTCTCCGCACGTCTCGCAGGCACTGTTTTCATCGGGTTTCTTCTGCCAGGAAGCACAAAACTAAATCCCTCTCGGATGGAAAGTTTTCAAGGGCATCAACCCTAAACACCACGCGACAAGGTGTTTAGGGTTGATGCCATACATTAGCATGCCAGCCAAGAGGGATGTAGTTTTGTCATCAACCCTAAACACTTAGTCGCAAGGTGTTTAGGGTTGATGCCCCTTAACACTTGCCAGCCGAGAGGGATTTAGTTTAGTGCGGATAGAAAGGCAAAACACCGAGAGGATGACACGTGGGTAAATGTGGAGTCTAGTTCTGTCTTCACGCAATAAGTCTTCTGTCTAGGCCGCAAAACCTGGAAAACTGTGTGCAGGTAGAAAAGAAGGTCCCTAAAAAGCGCAGGTTCGGAAGTACCTCTTCCGCCGTAGCTAAAAACCCTTTGAATGTCCAGGCAAATGCCTCCCCCTCCAATCTGCGCCAGCTCCCCAATGGCGCAGGTTTTCCGCGGAGCAGTCAATCCAGGGTCAAAATTCGTTGACACTGGTTTGACGCGCGCCTCACCGTCCTGAAATTTTGCTTCCGCCTGGCTGCCGAACTGGGCCTAGACTGCCACTTCCTGGATGCGTTAATTTGCCGCGGATTAGGCCCTGAAAGCGTGTTCAAAGTGCTGCAAATTTCCGACGTAAATCGACGTCGAGGTTGTTGGGCATGGTAGGAAAGCTGAGGGTGCCATTTTTGTGTTCAAAGTGGGCTTCAGAAATTGCTCACGCCAGCATCAACACTTGTACGGAATTCAGCGCATCTGTACAGTGATGACGAGACCACATCAGACAGAACAACAACAAAACAAGAATAGAATTCTCGAAATTAACGAGCCTGTACGATTCGTACTGCGGGTTTCGCAGCCATTAGTGGCACTGTCTACGCATGCGAAACGGCCTTGCGATTTCCAAAAATCGTTTGAACTCAATTGTTTTACTATTTAGGCCGGCATTTGTCCTGAGCGGAAGTTCGTCGCCGGCATTGTGTTCAAAGTGCCGCGTTCGACGTCGATCGACGTCGAGCTCGACGTCTGCCGACGTTGAGCCTCCGACGTCGGAGGATATAAGAAATTACTTTGAACACGCTTCTAGTGCTGTCAAGAAGGGAGTGTAATGTCAAGATGGGAGTTGGGCGAACCGCTGCATACGTGGCGAACAGCCAACGGCGTCACGAAAGAGAAGTGCATCGGCGACTTTCGCAACTGTCCTTTCCAAACTTCGGCCGCACATCTGGTCAAGTAACCCTATCCCCTGCCCGTCCAGCTCGCAAGCCCTTGGATGGGGATAGGGTTACTTGACCAGTGTCAAGTACAGTAAACACCGCGCCGTTGGCGCGCCGTTGGCCCTATACATGTGCACAAGGGATAGGGACTGGTAAATTTATGACTCTGAACTTCAGTTTTTTCGTCATAAGGTATGGCTGGAATCATCATCACTCTGAGCGGAGGGTCCGGCCCGTCAGTTGCAACCATAGCCGCGCTCGCCGCCGCAGCGACAGCTGTCGGCCTCTCCTTGGTCGGACTGCGCGGTCTGTTTCAATGGGCCAAACGCGCACACAAATGCGCGCGGCGACGCTTGACGTGGCGCAGCGTGTTTACTGGCGAGAAGCACGGCGGCGGCGCGGAAAGGGAAAGGGAGCGCGTGGCTCATCTGATTCCGCTAATAGAACGATCGGCGAGTTCGGGGAAAGTGAAACGGATCGAGCGATTCGGCGAATACGTAGGTGCGTGCGCGGCGTCCGAGTCGCTGACGTAGTAGGGAATGGAGATTAATCGCTAACTTAGTGGGCATAAATATCAGCAAGCCATTGTTTTATATTTCGTTCAGCATTTGTTTTGCTCTAGAGGCATTGGTTCACGTGTCCCTTTTTCACGACGGTCGTGCAATGGTCAGTGCGCAAAGGTGGGGAAAACTCAAAATTGGGCATGCATTGTGTCGTATATTTTTTTGCAGAGATATCCCTACCCGGGCCGGCAGTCTCCAACCCACTGTCCTTCGCCTCTCCTTTTTTCCCAATCCATATCCTTCGCCTCTCCTTTTTTCCCTTCTCCCTTCCGCCCCTCTCCCCCCCCTTCTGCCGCGCGCCTTTCCCCTCCACACGCCCCGTCTTCGTTCCGCCACTCCCCCTTTTCCCGTCCGCCTCCGCTTCCCCCGCCGCCAGTGCGCCAGCTGGGCCTGCCCACGGACCTGGCGGCGGCGGCGCTACTGGCGCAGGCGGCGGACGACTACGTGCGGGGCGAGAAGAACACATCCGATAAGAGCCGCGCCAACCTGCTCGCGCTCGTCGCGCAGACGGGGGGCGGGCGCGTGGCGTGGAAGGGGGAGGCGGGAGCGGAGGCGGAGGCGGAGGCGGAGGCGGGAGACGAGGGGGGGCCGGGGGAGGCGGCGGGATTAATGCGGGGTTCAGAGGCGGAGGTGGAGCAGGTGGGGGAGGAGCTGAGCGCAGAGCTGGACGCGTGCATGCTGTCCTACTTTGGCTTCCACTGGCCGCACTCCGCGCTCATGATCGAACAGGTGCGTGGGAGGGGGAGAGGGAACGGGAGGGGAGGAGCAGTGGGGTGGTTGGGGTGGGAGGGTAGAGTAATCTATGATGCTTCCACTGGGCGCACTCGGCGCTCATGATCGAACAGGTGCGTGGGAGGGCACGGGGTGGGGAGAGGGGCAATGGGAGGGGAGGAGGGGGCAAGAGGAGGGGAAGAATGAGACTCAATTGAGTTACTTGCATTAGCCAATGCGTACTTGCGTGGAACAAAAACTCACCTGCTTTGCGCATAACTGGATCAGCGAGCGTAGAGCGTCAGAAGGTAGCGTCATCGCAAGTTTCGTGCAGCCAGGGCGAAGTTCACAGCTGAAATCGTCCGCCACAACGGCTTTTTTTATATCCTGCTGGAGGGAGGATGTACGAACAGAATAAAGACACATATTTAAGGAATATGTACGTAAGGAAGGAACGGCTAGACTGCAGCGGCCATTGTCACGTGCGATCCAGTGTGCGAGGAAAATAGAGCATGTAAAATTTTCCAAGTGAAAATGAACGTGTGCTGAACTGTCAGTGGATTTTGAGTTGTGAGGGAGAGAGGTATGTGTTGCGTTGTGTGGTGTGGTGTTAGGTCGCACGTGAAGATTGTCGAAATGTTGACGAATGAGCTAGCGAGGTCGTCGAAACCTGGTGTTGATTACAATAATCAAATCCTACGGATTCAGAGGCACCATGACGATGCCTAGCGAATACATGGAAACCCTAACATTTTGAGTTATTGTTCGCCCACGCTAGTCCAAATCAAATCCGTGCTGTCACATCTGATTGTGACAACGCACCTTCAGAAGTGTCGCAGTTTTCTGACATGTCAGCATCACCTTATCTAACTCTGATGTCGCTGTAGTCTGTTCTGTTATCACGCCACGAAACTCCCGTTGATGCGAATTCTGACTTGAGATTAGTGCAAGCTCGACACCACTGTACATCCGCCAGAACCGAAGTAAATAGTCTATAATCTGTGCATTGTTTAGCATTTCGCCAGCACAGGTTCTGCACAGGTCAGACAGCACTGGTCAGACTGCACTGCTAACCCTCCTAAACACTGTTCCAAGTGACCTCAGCCATTGCTCGTGGGATGGTCGGGGCGCATAGATGGGGCGCGTATGTGGGCTCGCGAAATTCGTAGAGAACTGAATTGCCACTGGCCGGACCATGCGGTCATGTTGGAACAAAGTGGGCGGGAGGCAAGGGAAGGCAAGGCAGGGGATGAATTTTCAAGACAACTAAAAATATTGGCAGCACATGCATCTCTACCATCCCTGTGCGCCCATCCCTGTGCGCCCATCCCTGTGCGCCCATCCCTGTGCGCCCATCCCTGTGCGCCCATCCCTGTGTTCCCATCCCTGTGTTCCCATCCCTGTGCGCCCATCCCTGTGCGCCCATCCCTGTGCGCCCATCCCTGTGCGCCCATCCCTGTGCGCCCATCCCTGTGCGCCCATCCCTGTGCGCCCATCCCCGTGCGCCCATCCCCGTGCGCCCATCCCTGTGCGCCCATCCCTGTGCGCCCATCCCTGTGCGCCCATCCCTGTGCGCCCATCCCTGTGTTCCCATCCCTGTGTTCCCATCCCTGTGCGCCCATCCCTCTGCGCTCATCCCTGTGCGCCCATCCCTGTGCGCCCATCCCTGTGCGCCCATCCCTGTGCGCCCATCCCTGTGCGCCCATCCCTGTGTTCCCATCCCCGTGCGCCCATCCCCGTGCGCCCATCCCCGTGCGCCCATCCCCGTGCGCCCATCCCCGTGCGCCCATCCCCGTGCGCCCATCCCCGTGCGCCCATCCCCGTGCGCCCATCCCCGTGCGCCCATCCCTGTGCGCCCATCCCCGTGCGCCCATCCCCGTGCGCCCATCCCCGTGCGCCCATCCCTGTGCGCCCATCCCTGTGCGCCCATCCCTGTGCGCCCATCCCTGTGCGCCCATCCCTGTGCGCCCATCCCCGTGCGCCCATCCCTGTGCGCCCATCCCTGTGCGCCCATCCCTGTGCGCCCATCCCTGTGCGCCCATCCCTGTGCGCCCATCCCTGTGCGCCCATCCCTGTGCGCCCATCCCCGTGCGCCCATCCCCGTGCGCCCATCCCCGCGCGCCCATCCCTGTGCGCCCATCCCCGTGCGCCCATCCCCGTGCGCCCATCCCCGTGCGCCCATCCCCGTGCGCCCATCCCTGTGTTCCCATCCCTGTGCGCCCATCCCTGTGCGCCCATCCCTGTGCGCCCATCCCCGTGCGCCCATCCCCGTGCGCCCATCCCTGTGCGCCCATCCCCGTGCGCCCATCCCCGTGCGCCCATCCCCGTGCGCCCATCCCCGTGCGCCCATCCCCGTGCGCCCATCCCCGTGCGCCCATCCCTGTGCGCCCATCCCCGTGCGCCCATCCCCGTGCGCCCATCCCCGTGCGCCCATCCCTGTGCGCCCATCCCTGTGCGCCCATCCCTGTGCGCCCATCCCTGTGCGCCCATCCCTGTGCGCCCATCCCTGTGCGCCCATCCCTGTGTTCCCATCCCTGTGTTCCCATCCCCGTGCGCCCATCCCCGCGCGCCCATCCCTGTGCGCCCATCCCCGTGCGCCCATCCCCGTGCGCCCATCCCCGTGCGCCCATCCCCGTGCGCCCATCCCTGTGCGCCCATCCCCGTGCGCCCATCCCCGTGCGCCCATCCCCGTGCGCCCATCCCCGTGCGCCCATCCCCGTGCGCCCATCCCCGTGCGCCCATCCCCGTGCGCCCATCCCGTGCGCCCATCCCCGTGCGCCCATCCCCGTGCGCCCATCCCTGTGCGCCCATCCCCGTGCGCCCATCCCCGTGCGCCCATCCCCGTGCGCCCATCCCTGTGCGCCCATCCCTGTGCGCCCATCCCTGTGCGCCCATCCCTGTGCGCCCATCCCTGTGCGCCCATCCCCGTGCGCCCATCCCTGTGCGCCCATCCCTGTGCGCCCATCCCTGTGCGCCCATCCCTGTGCGCCCATCCCTGTGCGCCCATCCCTGTGCGCCCATCCCTGTGCGCCCATCCCTGTGCGCCCATCCCCGTGCGCCCATCCCCGTGCGCCCATCCCCGCGCGCCCATCCCTGTGCGCCCATCCCCGTGCGCCCATCCCCGTGCGCCCATCCCCGTGCGCCCATCCCCGTGAGCCCATCCCTGTGTTCCCATCCCTGTGCGCCCATCCCTGTGCGCCCATCCCTGTGCGCCCATCCCCGTGCGCCCATCCCCGTGCGCCCATCCCTGTGCGCCCATCCCCGTGCGCCCATCCCCGTGCGCCCATCCCCGTGCGCCCATCCCCGTGCGCCCATCCCCGTGCGCCCATCCCCGTGCGCCCATCCCTGTGCGCCCATCCCCGTGCGCCCATCCCCGTGCGCCCATCCCCGTGCGCCCATCCCTGTGCGCCCATCCCTGTGCGCCCATCCCTGTGCGCCCATCCCTGTGCGCCCATCCCTGTGCGCCCATCCCTGTGCGCCCATCCCTGTGTTCCCATCCCTGTGTTCCCATCCCTGTGCGCCCATCCCTCTGCGCTCATCCCTGTGCGCCCATCCCTGTGCGCCCATCCCTGTGCGCCCATCCCTGTGCGCCCATCCCTGTGCGCCCATCCCCGTGCGCCCATCCCCGTGCGCCCATCCCCGTGCGCCCATCCCCGTGCGCCCATCCCCGTGCGCCCATCCCCGTGCGCCCATCCCCGTGCGCCCATCCCCGTGCGCCCATCCCCGTGCGCCCATCCCCGTGCGCCCATCCCCGTGCGCCCATCCCCGTGCGCCCATCCCCGTGCGCCCATCGCCGTGCGCCCATCCCCCTGCAGGTATTCCGGGGACCAAGCAAAAAACTGCAATTGAGGGACGCTGTCAATGCTGTCATTCGGTGAGCCACCTCTGTCTGTCTGTCTGTGTGTCTCTGTGTGTCTCTGTGTGTGTCTGTCTGTCTGTGTGTCTGTGCGTCTGTGCGTCTCTGTCTGTGCGTCTCTGTGTGTCTGTCTATGTGTCTGTGTGTTTGTCTGCCTGTCTGTCTGTGTGTCGGTGTGTCTCTATGTCTGTGCGTCTCTCCATCCTCTTATCCAAATAGCTGCTATTCCCAACCCCACCTCAGCGCTAAACAAGGATGGAAAAAACAGAGTGCGACCTAATGTTCTCTCTCCCTTCCTCCCCACCTTGCCATTCTTCTCCATGCACCCAGCGCCGGTTCACCGAGGCCATAGCGTGTCTGCGCCCGCAGCAGTGGTCTTCATCTCCTCCTCACTTCCCCCCCTCCCTCCACTCCCCCCCCCTCCCTCCACTTCCCCACCTCCCTCCACTTCCCCCCACCCCCCTGTGCAGCCAGCGCCGGTTCAACGAGGCCATAACGTGTCTGCGCCCGCAGCAGCGCTTCTCCCAGCTTCTGCACAAGATGCAGATCCTCGGCTGCGGCCCCCGCCCTGGGGGAGTGGGGGGAGCGGGGGGAGCGGGGGGAGCGGGGGGAGCGGGGGGAGCGGGGGGAGAGGGAGAAGCGGGGGGAGCAGCTGGAGTGGAGGGGGCGGGAGGAGCGGGGAAAGTGGGGCAAGCAGGAGAGAGCAAAGGGGGACCGGGGCAAGGGGAAGCGAGGCAAGGGGGAGTGGGTGAGGAGGGCAGTAGATCAGAGGGCAGTGAGCTAGCGCGTGCTGGCTCTAAGAGTGAGATTGGCCGTGACGGTGGCCCTCACTCTGTCTTCCATTTCCCCACTTCCTCCCCTTCTCACTCCCCTTCTCACTCCCCCTCTAACTCTCCCTCTCACTCCCCGTCTCATGCTCGCTCGCCCTCCCGCCCGCGCGCCTCAAGTGTGGAGGTCCCGAGGGAGGGGGAGGTGATGGTGCCGGCAGCAGTGCCGGCAGCAGCGGCGGCGCGCTCCCCCGTGCTGCTGCTGATTGGGGGAGGCGCGGGCGCTGGCAAGTCAACTGTTGTGAAAGAAATCATGAAACGGTGAGTTGAGGGATAGGGTGAGTGTGTGTGCAAAGGCGGCGCGCTCCCCCGTGCTGCTGCTGATTGGGGGAGGCGCGGGCGCTGGCAAGTCAACGGTGGTCAAGGAGATCATGCAACGGTGAGGGGAATGAATGACTGCCGTGAGAGACAGTGAGGGCGGGGCATGGGTGCTGTTGTTGATGGGCGGGGCATGGGTGCTGCAGGCAAGTCAACGGTGGTCAAGGAGATCATGAGACGGTGAGGGGAATGAATGACTGCCGTGAGAGACAGGGTAATGGAGTGGGGTGTTGAGGGATGGAGTGGGGTGTACAAAGATACAGTGTTTGTGCTACCTATCATGGATTATTGTGATGCAATGGCTATGCGCCACATGCGGTGGTTGTTGTCGAGGCTGGTGTCTTCAAGGAAAAATACGCAATCTTCTCAGCGCTCTCCTTTGCTTCTTCTCTTCTCCTTCCGCCCCTCCCCTCTCCCCCTTCCCCCTCCCCCCCTCAGCACCTTTTGGGCGCGCATGGCGCCACATGCGGTGGTTGTCGAGGCCATCCGCACCCCCCTCAGCACCTTTTCCTTCGATGGTTGTCTTCAAGAAAAAGGGCGCAATCTTCCCAGTGCTCTCTCTTCTGCTTCACCCTTCTCCTTTCTCCTCCCACCGTCCTCCCTCTGTCCGCCCTTCCTCGCCTGCTCCCCCCCTCAGCACGTTTTGGGCGCGCATGGCGCCACACGCGGTGGTGGTTAATTGATTCCGACGCCTTCAAGGAAAAATACGCAATCTTCTCAGCGCTCTCCTTTGCTTCTTCGCTTCTCCTTCCGCCCCTCCCCTCTCCCCCACCCCCCCCCTCCCCCCTCAGCCCCTTTTGGGCGCGCATGGCGCCACACGCGGTGGTGGTTGATTCCGACGCGTTCAAAGAAAAGGACGCAATCTTCCGCGCGCTCTCCGCCGACCGGCTGAACGACGCCGCCCGGATCTCACAGCTCGTGCACGAGGAGTCGACCCGGGCGGCGCAGTCAACGCTGGTAACCGCGCTGAACAAGGGGAGAGACGTGATATTCGACGGGACCAAGTCGTGGGCCCCGTTTGTGCAGCAGACGATTGCGATGGCTAGACAGGTGCATGAGAGGCGGTTTCGCATGGGGCCGGGGTATCAAGTGAGAGAGGATGGGAGTGTGGTGGAGCGGTATTGGGAGGAGGTGGACGAGGAGGGGGAGAGTGATAGAGGAGTGGAGGAGGGGAGGGAGAGATGGGAGGAGGAGGGGAGGGCGATAGAGGGTGGAGAGGGGGTGGGGAGCGAGAGAGGGGATGGGGAGGAGGAGAGGAGGAGGGATAAGCCAGGAAAGGAGGGTCAGCACCGGCCGAAGCGGCACAACAGTCCGAGGAGGGTACTGGGTTCGAGCAGGGGAAGCTATTGCAGCAGCGAGACGGGGCAGGGGCAGGGGCAGGGGCAGGGGCAGGGGCAGGGGCAGGGGCAGGGGCAGGGGCAGGGGCAGGGGCAGGGGGGCATGGAGGGGGCCCGGCAGGGAGGGGGGATGTGCTGGGAGAGGAGGGGGCAGAGGGGAGGCAGTGAGCAGCGGCTGCCGTATCGGATCGAGCTGGTGGGCGTGATGTGTGACGCGCACCTGGCTGTTGCTCGCGGCATGCGGTGAGGCGTGGGGTGGGCATGGGTTAAGGGATGTGAATGGGGCATGGGGGGTTGGTGGGCGTGATGTGTGACACTAGGGGCCGAAGCGTCTGCGGTAACTATCCCAAGCCTCTCCCCTCTGGGCCTTCCTCTCTGCCGTCCCAGGCGGGCCATCCGAACAACGACACGAGTGTCGCCGGTGCATGAGCAGCTTCGGTTGCACAAGCTGTCCCACCCACCCACTCCACCCATCCCCTGTCTTTCCTTTCCACGTCATGTTCCCCTCCCCTGAACCGTCCCTCCTTCCATCCCAGGCGAGCCATTTTGAGCAGGAGGGGAGTGCCGGTGCACAAGCAGCTGCAGTCGCACAGGCGGTTTGCCAGCAGCGTGGAGGCGTACTGTGACCTCGTTGACGTGGCTACTCTCTACTGCACCGACCACACGGGCGGGCCGCCACAGGTTAGTGGGAGTCAATGAGGGTCAATACGAGTCAATGAGGGTCAATACGAGTCAATGAGGGTCAATACGAGTCAATGCCAGCTTATGCTGCTGCTGCTGCTGCTGCTGCTGCTGCTGCTGCTGCTGAGTGCATTCGTTTCTTACCAGCTTACATTACACACTCGCCTTCGCTCTAACCTTTCCACACTCCTCTCACTTTCCGTTTCTATCTCCCTCCCTCACCATCTTCACCAGCTGATTGGCTACAAGGAAGGCACACCACCCCCCAGGAGCGCAACCACCTCACTCACAACCCCATCCGGCACAAACACACCTCCTATAAGAGCACCCGTTGCAATCACACCGCCTACAAGCACGCCCCCCATTACGGGCAGCATCTGCAGCGGGGGTGTGTGCAGGCACCTGCTTGTAGATTCAAAGACTTTTGAGACGTCTCAAAAATGCAGCCGCCTGCTTGTAGATCCAGAGGCCTTTCATTTAGTCTCCGACTTGAAACGCGTCAACCCCCGCGCCTCCTGTGTTCTAGAGCTGTATTTTAAGGAGGGGGAGGGCGAAACGGAGGGGGGAGGGAACGGGAAGGGGGGCGCTGGGGGCAGAAGAAACCTGTGGTGGCTGCCTGGATGGTGGTTGTCCCTGTGGGGCTGGGGAAGCTGGGCAGTGCGGGCAGGCGAGGAAAAGTTTGGGCCGGGCAGCACGTGGAGGGAGGTGGTACTGGCGGAGGAGCGGGAGGCGCGGCAGGCTCGACTGAGGGAGGCGTTTACTGAGTTTCAGACGTGCCCGTGGCCGGCAGCTCACAGCAACCGAGGCATCACCTCGTCTACCAGCTTCACCTCCCTGCACTCCCTCTCTCCCTCCCAGAAATGAATGTAAATGTTCTGGAATGGCAATCCTGGTAAATATATATATACTTTTTTTTTTTTTTTTTCCTAGCAGTGAAATGAGCTGTCGGCACTGATGCAGCCCAGGCCTATAGCAGGGGCGCTCAAAATGACCGGCAGTGCCACAGTGCTAAGTGCAGTGGCGCCCTTAGCCTCGCCTTGTACGCCGGCATCGGCATGCACAGATCCCACAGTTCCACACGCAGTACAGTACCGAATCCAGCACAAGGGCACCACCGATGAGCAACGACACTACTGCCTATGACATGAGGGATGCCTTTTGAATTGACTCAAAAGTCACCCGGTACTGTACAGTATCTACCTATGACAGGAGAGACGCTGCCCCGCCTTTGTCTCCTTGAGTGGATCCATCGTGCCTGAGGAGCATTAAGAGAAAAAAAAAAGAAACGAAGGAAAGGTAACAAATAAGGAGTTTTTGAGATGTCTCAAGAACTCCCGTTTGTCACGTGGCTTGAGTGGATGGATCCATCATGACTGAGGAGCATTGAAAAAATAAGGAAAAGCAACAATTAAGGTAGCATAGAAGACAAAGGACGGGATGAGAGCGAAAAGTACGGAAAGAAAGAGGGGGTAAGTGGCCAACAGATACGGTAGAAACCTGGAGCTTAAGCAACACCGCACAGGATTAGATAATTTGGTACGGAATAGATTGTTCATAACTCGAGCACGCAACCATGTACACTTTCACCTACCTAACCATCCATGCACCCATGCGGTTGAAAAGGCAAGGAGAGAAGGTAATGTGTGGTGTGACAGCATGTAACAAGGTGTGATAAGGTGTGACAAGGTGTGACAAGGTGTGGCAGGGGAATGGCAGAAAAGAGACGCACCGGATGGAGAGGCAGCCAGGGCTCCAGAGGAAGCAGAGGGAGGCGAGGGTGAGGAAGGAGAGGTGGCAAGGGGGTGTGAGCAGGTGTGACAAGGTGCGGACAAGGAAGGCTAATAAGTTGACTCGGGAGAAGCTAACCGGAGGGAGAGGAGGGCAGGGCTCCAGAGGAAGCAGAGGGAGGCGAGGGCGAGGAAGGAGAGAAGGTGCCATGCTGCTGTGATGAGCCAATCGCTCTGCCACTGCAGGTTGAGGGGGTCTGATAGCTTCACATAGGCCTGGTGGTGGGGAGATGCGGGGGAAGGAGGTGCATAGGACAGGAAGAAGAGGAGAAAAGGAAGGCAAGTAAGGGAGATAAGGAAGGCAAGGGAGATAAGGAAGGCAAGTAAGAGAGATAAGGAAGGCACGTAAGGGAGATAAGGAAGGCAAGTAAGGGAGATAAGGAAGGCACGTAAGGGAGATAAGGAAGGCAAGTAAGGGAGATAAGGAAGGCAAGTAAGGGAGATAAGGAAGGCAAGTAAGGGAGATAAGGAAGGCAAGTAAGGGAGATAAGGAAGGCAAGTAAGGGAGATAAGGAAGGCAAGTAAGGGAGACAAGGAAGGCAGGTAAGGGAGATAAGGAAGGCAAGTAAGGGAGATAAGGAAGGCAAGTAAGGGATATAGGGAAGGCAAGTAAGGGAGATAAGGAAGGCAAGTAAGGGAGATAAGGAAGGCAAGTAAGGGAGATAGGGAAGGCCGTGGATAGGGTGCAATGGTGCTGTGCCGGGGCAGTCGCACCATGCAAGGAGTGTCATGTGCCATTGTAGCGAGGTGACTTGTGAGTTGAGTCGGCTCAAAAGTAGTCGCTACGGGAGAAAAGGAAGGACATGGATGGAATGCAATGGTGCTGTGCCAGGGCAGTCACACCATGCAAGGAACAGCATGGAATCCAATATACCTTTACAAGGGCCTCCCATGTGTATATTTTTGAGTCGAGTCAAATACAGTCGCACCATGCAAGGAGCACCGTGAAAGGAATTCAATATACCTTTTTAAGGACATCCCATGTGCAAAGAGGCGAATGGCAGTGCATGCATGTGGACGTACCTCCCAGCAGGTGAGGGCTTGCAAGTACACGTACCTCCCAGCAGGTGAGGGCTTGCAAGTACACGTACCTCCCAGCAGGTGAGGGCTTGCAAGTACACGTACCTCCCAGCAGGTGAGGGCTTGCAAGTACACGTACCTCCCAGCAGGTGAGGGCTTGCAAGTACACGTACCTCCCAGCAGGTGAGGGCGAGAGCAGCAGCACTAATGCCCCCCATTGCTGACAGTGCCTGGCGGAAGGTGCTCAGCAGCCGACTGTCTGACGCCTGCATGCACTGCAGTGTGGCACCGCACAGCAACCCATCACAGAACACCACACCTCTCCAGACCCACCGGACCACACCATGCCACACTCAGCACCGCACCACATAGAAGCCACAGCACAGAAGAGACGAAGACAAGCAGAGGCTGGAAAGTAATAGGGTGAATGGCGCTCGCGAACGGGGTATTTTCCGTATTCCTAAAAAACGCCCTGGAAATGGGTGAATGGCGAACGAGAGTGATTGAAGAAATGTTTTGAGACGTCTCAAAACATTCCGTATTCCTGAAAAACGCCCTGGAAATGGGTGAATGGCGAACGAGAGTGATTGAAGAAATGTTTTGAGACGTCTCAAAACATTCCGTATTCCTGAAAAACGCCCTGGAAATGGGTGAATGGCGAACGAGAGTGGTGCATGCCAATGCGAACTGTAACAAGTGATTGTCGTCAGCACGTAAGTAGCAGCAGCATGGCATGGCATGGGCCATGACTTTTGAGGCACCTCAAAAGTAAGTAGCAGCAGCATGACCCACGTCAATGTGCCAATGTAGTTGACTTTTGAGGCGCCTCGCAAAACGTGAACAGTGTTTGACAATGCGAGCTGCTATAAGCGACCGTCCTCAGCAGCACGTAACTAGCAGCAGAATGGGCCACGTGCCAACACGCCAGTGGGCCAGGCAGCCAGACAGAGGCCCATGAGCATAAGGGGCGCCCGCAGAGCCCCATGCTCATCACTGCCCCAATCGCCCACCTGCGCCACGTTCCTCACTGCCTCACACGCCCTGTTGTTCTGCCGTACTTGCACCCCCTCACCTACGCCTTGGTAGTGAGAGCCACGCGCCTCAGTAGCACGCGCGGTCGGAATGAGCCACGCAGCAAGACAGAGGTCCATGAGCACAAGAGGCGCGCACAGAGCCACATGCTCACCTCACCGCACGCACAGTCACGACTCACACGAGTCCATGTTCCACCCACATTGACACGCCTCACCTGTTCCTCAGTAGCACGCGCGGTAGGGATGAGCCACGCAGCCAGACAGAGGTCCAGGAGCAGAAGGGGCGCGCACAGAGCCACATGCTCACCTCACCGCACGCACAGTCACGACTCACACGAGTCCATGTTCCACCCACATTGACACGCCTCACCTGTGCCTCAGTAGCACGCGCGGTAGGGATGAGCCACGCAGCCAGACAGAGGTCCAGGAGCAGAAGGGGCGCGCACAGAGCCACATGCTCACCTCGCCGCACGCACAGTCACGACTCACACGAGTCCATGTTCCACCCACATTGACACGCCTCACCTGTGCCTCAGTAGCACGCGCGGTAGGGATGAGCCAGGCAGCCAGACAGAGGTCCAGGAGCAGAAGGGGCGCGCACAGAGCCACATGCTCACCTCACCTCACCGCACGCACAGTCACGACTCACACGAGTCCATGTTCCACCCACATTGACACGCCTCACCTGTGCCTCAGTAGCACGCGCGGTAGGGATGAGCCAGGCAGCCAGACAGAGGTCCAGGAGCAGAAGGGGCGCGCACAGAGCCACATGCTCACCTCACCTCACCGCACGCACAGTCACGACTCACACGAGTCCATGTTCCACCCACATTGACACGCCTCACCTGTGCCTCAGTAGCACGCGCGGTAGGGATGAGCCAGGCAGCCAGACAGAGGTCCAGGAGCAGAAGGGGCGCGCACAGAGCCACATGCTCACCGCTGCCCCAATCGTCCACCTGCCCCACTGTCCTCACTGCCTCACACGCCTTGTTGTTTTGCTGTAATTTCATCCCCTCACCTGCGCCTTGGTGGTGAGAGCGGCCGGGATGAGCCAGGCAGCCAGACAGAGGTCCAGGAGCACGAGGGGGGAGCGCAGAGCCACATGCTCACCGCTGCCCCAATCGTCCACCTGCCCCACTGTCCTCACTGCCTCGCATGTAGCCGCCACTAGCACGTACAGGGCTGCTGGTATGAGCGCCTGTGGGGAGGAGAGAGAGGGGGGAGTGATGTAAGAGATGGAAGGAAATGCGTGACCAGCGTATGTTTTTTGAGAATTCTCAAAAAACAGTGATGTAAGAGATGGAAGGAAATGCGTGACCAGCGTATGTTTTTTGAGAATTCTCAAAAAACAGTGATGTAAGAGATGGAAGGAAATGCGTGACCAGAGCATGCCTTATTTCATCACCTCGCCTGCCCCACACGAGGTGACATTTGAGTCGACTCAAAAGTCGCCTGGCCCACGCTGCACGCTACCCCCACTGCCTGCCACCCCCACCAGCACTCCCTGCAGCAGCAAACCCTGAAGAACTGGGTAGACAGTGCGAGCAAGCACCGCTTTGCACCGCCTCTCACTCCATCCAACCCTCCTTGCCAGGAATCACCCCTACTTTCGGCAGCAGCGTGCCAACGCCCACCGCCACCCCCCACCAGCAACCTCCAACGAGCACCACCACTGCGCACCGCATTGCACCCCATCCGACCCACCTTGCCAGGAATTACCCCTACTTTTGGCAGCGGCATGCCAACCCCCACCGCCACCCACACCAGCACTCCTCTCACCTCAGCAGGAGCCCCTGCAGGACCCAGGCGTGCAAGTGGAGCCTTGCAGCACCCTAGTGAGCATCGTTTTGTACCGCTTTGCACCAGCTTCCATACCATCAAACCCACCTTGCCAGGAATGACCCCTACTTTTGGCAGCAGCGTGCCAACCCCCACCGCCACCCCCACCAGCACTCCCCTCAGCAGCAGCCCCTGCAGGACCCCCACCGTCACTGCAGCGAGCGTGACTAAAACGAATCGGTGCCCCGTGGTGCAGAGGAGGAGGAGGTCGCAGAGGGTGGTGAGGGTGGAGAGGAGGGAGAGGAGGAGGAGGAAGGTGAGGAAGTGAGGGAGCGAGTTGCGGTCGAGGGAGTGCCAGGCTGGACCGAACTGGGGGCGCCAGGCGAGATAGAGGAAGGTGTAGAGCTGGGAGGGGGGGAGGGAGGGGAGGGGTGAATGGAATGGAGACACAAGGAAGGTGAGGAAGTGAGGGAGTGAGTTGCGGTCGAGAGAGTGCCAGGCTGGACCGAACTGGGGGCGCCAGGCGAGGTAGAGGAGAGTGTAGAGCTGGAGGGGAGGGGGCATGGGAAACGAGGGAGGCAGAGAAGGACGACATAAGAGGGGGGTGAGAGGGTGGAACAGGGGAAGAGTGTTGAAGGAGGCAAAGGAATGGGACGAGAGGGGGGCGTGAGGAAGGTGGGGAAGTGAGGGGGAGTTGACAACGAAAGAAAGACATTCACTTCAGATTTGCCGTGAAGGCACTTCAAATCCAACCAATTCACAGCAAAGAAAATAAGAGTTCAGATCAGTTCATGATTAACTTGATTCGACAACGGCGCACTCTCGTTTAAGACACCTCTGTGTGACTCTACTACTCACTCACCACTCACGTCTCCCTCTCACTCTCAAACTCACATTCACACTCACCACCAGCATGCTTGTTTGTATCGGAAGGTGTGCTGACAGCATGCCGGGCAAGTACCCCCACCCGTGCGCGCGCCACTCCGTGTGGCCAAACACCTTGGTGTTGTCCAGGTTCTTATCGCACATGGCCAACCACACATACACAAAGCCGGCCCGTGGTACGTGCACCTCTGCATCCAGAGTTGCTGTGAGCGAGCTGTTGCCGATAAACTGGGCTTCCAGGACCTGCGGCCACTGGGGGAGAGGGCAGGGCAGAGCCGGGAGAAGGCAGGGAAGTGGGCAGGAAAAGAGGGTTTAAGGACTCGAGTCCAGATGGTGCAACCACGGAGGTTCTTGTCGCACATGGCTAGCCAGCCACACATACACAAAGCCCGGCCGTGGGATGTGCAGGTCTGCATCTAAAGGTGCTGTGAGTGAGCTGTTGCCGAGGAACTGAGCCTCCAGGACGCGGGGCCACTGGGCGAGTAGAGGGCAGAGAGGGGAGGGGGGGGGGGGAGGAAAGTAGCAACCTCTGAGGTTCTTATTACACATGGCCAGCCACACATACACAAAGCCGGGCCGCATAAGCCATGCCTCAGCGTCCGTGTGCATCCAGAGGTGCTGTGAGTGAGCTGTTGCCCGGGCCATATACTGAGCCTCCACCACGACCCGCAGCCACTGGGGAGAGGACAAAGAGAGAGAGAGAGGGCTGATATTCCGAAAACTGAGAACACACGAAATAATGAGGAGGGGCAGGGTTAGTGTCTACGATGCATGTTCCAGGTGCCTTATCCTCCCGTGCATGTCTGTACTTTTCTGGTTGCTAATACATGGACCACTGGAGAGGGAAGCGGAGAAAAGGGGAAATCGAGGGGGCTGTTGCCACGGAACTTGGCTTCCAGGACGCGAGGCCACTGGTGAATTTTTTTGGATTCCAAACGCAGCAAGCCTGCTAAGAGTAGCGATCTGTAGTACTGAGTCTACTAATCTGAAAGTACTAATCTGAAAATCGAGGGAAGTAGTGAGAAAAGGTCTACTAATCAGAAAGCCAGACACATTAGGCCTGGATGTCGCGTGTGAACGCGTTTCGGCCAGCAAAGGCCTTCATCAGCACACGGAACTTGGCTTCCAGGACGCGAGGCCACTGGGGCGGGAAGAAGGGACAGAGCGGCCAGGGGGGAAAGCAGGGAGAGAAGAGGAGCTGTGAGTGAGCTGTTGCCGAGGAATTGATATTCCAGGACGCACGGCCACTGAGAGGCGATGGGGTAGGGGAGGGAGAGGGGCCGCACATGGTAACAGATGCACGTGCGCGTCTGTGTGCAGAGGGATTGTGAGTGAGCTGTTGCCGAGCAAGTGAGCCCAACTGAGCCCAACTGAGCCCAACTGAGCCTCTGAAAAGGAACGGGGCAGGTAGGGGAGAAAAAGGGCATGGGATGGAGAGGAGGAAACTGTTGAGAACCTACACACTCCGTGGGGCTGCTTGCTTGCAAGCGGTTGCTGATAAATGAAGCTTCCAGGACTCGGATTGTGCGCAGCGCAGCTCCTCTCGTTATGAGCTTGCCCCCATCCATGGTGCACCCGGTGAGGTGAGGTGCGTGGCACACCGCACCAGTCTAGCCTATCACTCTGCTCGCAGGTGACTTTTGAGTCGACTCAAAAGTCACCGCACCAGTCCAGCCTATCACTCTGCTCGCATGCTCGCATGCATGCATCAATGCACGCACACTCACATCCGGCTCGTGCGCTGCTCGCCTCACTATCAGGCGGCCCACGGTGCAGCCAGTGAGAGGCTCGAGCTCCTTGGTGCAGCAGAAGAAGAGCGGCCCACTGCCCTCCTCGTTGCCCTCCACCCCACTGTCTGTATGGGCAAAGGGGGCTGGCATGGCATGACATGGGGTGAGGGAGAGCGGGTGGAGGATTAGGCTTTTGAGACGTCTCAGAACTCCTTGGTACAGCAGAAGAAGAGCGGCCCGCTGCCCTCCTCCACCCTGCTGTCTGCATGGGCGAACGGGACTGGGGATGGTATGGGGCAGAGGTGGGGGGGGCGGGAGGAAGGAGCGGGGGAAGAGGACACAAAAGAACGGTGTTGTTCTGATAAACCTAACAGAGTGAGCCACTTTTTTCCGGAAATGTAGGGAACACACAGAAGTGCCGTTTCTGGAGAATAAAAGCAGAATTCATTCATTCGTAAAAAAGAATTGTTTGCTATTAGGTCATAAGATACGGCACAACATGTAAACAAAGGTGTCTTGCACCTTCGGGTGCGGGAACACATGAAGCTTTTTGAAAAAGCAGTGACAAGCATGGGAGGGGAGGGAGCAGAGGACAGTGAAAGCTCATCAATCTTTGTGTGAGTTCGTGCACGCGCATGTGCGAGTGCCTTCCCCCATGCACCCACATTACCAAGCAACCACACCCACCCACTCACTCGTGTCTGTGCTGCTGCTGTTGCGCCAGCGGTACCCTATCATGTGCCGCACGCGCATGTCAAACACCACCACCTCCACCACGCCTGTCACTCCCTCTAGTGGCTGTAGCTCCGCCTCCCATGATGGGCGCTGCAAGTGCAATCCATTCAGGCTGGTATTAAGGGGGGTTATGGGTGGGTGGGTGGGTGGGTGGGTGCATTAAACACCACCACCTCCACCACCTTCACTCCCTCTAGTGGCTGTAGCTCCGCCTCCCAGGAAGGGCGCTGTAAGTGCAGTCCATCAAGGCTGGCAAAAAGGGAGGCACGGGTCGTTGTGTGCGTGGGTGCGTGGGTGCGTGTGTGGGTGTGTGCGTGGGTGAGTGGGTGTATCAAGCGCGCATGTCAAACGCCACCACCTCCACCACGCCCTTCACTCCCTCCAGTGGCTGCAGCTCCGCCTCCCATGATGGCCACTGCAGGTGTAATCCGCGCAGGCTGGCAGTAAAAAGGGAGAGAAAGGGGTGGACGGGTGCGTGGGTGGTGCATGGTTGGTTTGGGAGGAGAGGGTCACGGTGACACTCTGACTGAGCCATCCAACGGCTGTGGCTCCGCCTCCCATGATGGCCGCTGCAGGTGTAATCCGTGTAGGCTGGCAGGAGGGGGCGGGTGGGAGGGTGGGTGGGTGGGTGGGTGGGTGGGTGGGTGGGTGGGTGGGTGGGTGGGTGGGTGGGTGGGTGGGTGGGTGGGTGGGTGGGTGGGGGGAGGAGAGAATCAGGGAAACATCTTGAGCCATCCAACAGCTGTAGCTCCGCCTCCGTCTCTGCAAGTGCAACCCGTGCAGGCTGGCAGGAATGGGGCAGGATGAAGGAATAGATGGGTGGATGGGTGGGTGGATGGGTGGATGCGTGGGTGGATGGGTGGATGCGTGGGTGGATGGGTGGGTGGATGGGTGGGTGGGTGGGCGGAGGGGCCTGTCACACCCTCCATGCAGCTATGGGCTGGGGGGACGGGAGACGGCGGATGGGTGTGTGGATGGGAGGAGGGGTAGATGAGAGGGTGAATGGGTGGGCGGTGGGCCTGTCACACCCTCCATGCAGCTATGGGCTGGGGGGGCGGGAGACGGCGGATGGGTGTGTGGATGGGAGGAGGGGTAGATGAGAGGGTGAATGGGTGGGCGGTGGGCCTGTCACACCCTCCATGCAGCTATGGGCTGGGGGGACGGGAGACGGCGGATGGGTGTGTGGATGGGAGGAGGGGTAGATGAGAGGGTGAATGGGTGGGCGGAGGGGCCTGTCACAACCTCCATGCAGCTATGGGCTGGGGGGACGGGAGACGGCGGACGGGTGTGTGGATGGGAGGAGAGGTAGATGAGAGGGTGAATGGGTGGGCGGTGGGCCTGTCACACCCTCCATGCAGCTATGGGCTGGGGGGACGGGAGACGGCGGATGGGTGTGTGGATGGGAGGAGGGGTAGATGAGAGGGTGAATGGGTGGGCGGTGGGCCTGTCACACCCTCCATGCAGCTATGGGCTGGGGGGACGGGAGACGGCGGATGGGTGTGTGGATGGGAGGAGGGGTAGATGAGAGGGTGAATGGGTGGGCGGTGGGCCTGTCACACCCTCCATGCAGCTATGGGCTGGGGGGACGGGAGACGGCGGATGGGTGTGTGGATGGGAGGAGGGGTAGATGAGAGGGTGAATGGGTGGGCGGTGGGCCTGTCACACCCTCCATGCAGCTATGGGCTGGGGGGACGGGAGACGGCGGATGGGTGTGTGGATGGGAGGAGGGGTAGATGAGAGGGTGAATGGGTGGGCGGAGGGGCCTGTCACAACCTCCATGCAGCTATGGGCTGGGGGGACGGGAGACGGCGGACGGGTGTGTGGATGGGAGGAGAGGTAGATGAGAGGGTGAATGGGTGGGCGGTGGGCCTGTCACACCCTCCATGCAGCTATGGGCTGGGGGGACGGGAGACGGCGGATGGGTGTGTGGATGGGAGGAGGGGTAGATGAGAGGGTGAATGGGTGGGCGGTGGGCCTGTCACACCCTCCATGCAGCTATGGGCTGGGGGGACGGGAGACGGCGGACGGGTGTGTGGATGGGAGGAGAGGTAGATGAGAGGGTGAATGGGTGGGCGGTGGGCCTGTCACACCCTCCATGCAGCTATGGGCTGGGGGGACGGGAGACGGCGGATGGGTGTGTGGATGGGAGGAGGGGTAGATGAGAGGGTGAATGGGTGGGCGGTGGGCCTGTCACACCCTCCATGCAGCTATGGGCTGGGGGGACGGGAGACGGCGGATGGGTGTGTGGATGGGAGGAGGGGTAGATGAGAGGGTGAATGGGTGGGCGGTGGGCCTGTCACACCCTCCATGCAGCTATGGGCTGGGGGGACGGGAGACGGCGGATGGGTGTGTGGATGGGAGGAGGGGTAGATGAGAGGGTGAATGGGTGGGCGGTGGGCCTGTCACACCCTCCATGCAGCTATGGGCTGGGGGGACGGGAGACGGCGGATGGGTGTGTGGATGGGAGGAGGGGTAGATGAGAGGGTGAATGGGTGGGCGGTGGGGCCTGTCACACCCTCCATGCAGCTATGGGCTGGGGGGACGGGAGACGGCGGATGGGTGTGTGGATGGGAGGAGGGGTAGATGAGAGGGTGAATGGGTGGGCGGTGGGCCTGTCACACCCTCCATGCAGCTATGGGCTGGGGGGGCGGGAGACGGCGGATGGGTGTGTGGATGGGAGGAGGGGTAGATGAGAGGGTGAATGGGTGGGCGGTGGGCCTGTCACACCCTCCATGCAGCTATGGGCTGGGGGGACGGGAGACGGCGGATGGGTGTGTGGATGGGAGGAGGGGTAGATGAGAGGGTGAATGGGTGGGCGGTGGGCCTGTCACACCCTCCATGCAGCTATGGGCTGGGGGGACGGGAGACGGCGGATGGGTGTGTGGATGGGAGGAGGGGTAGATGAGAGGGTGAATGGGTGGGCGGTGGGCCTGTCACACCCTCCATGCAGCTATGGGCTGGGGGGACGGGAGACGGCGGATGGGTGTGTGGATGGGAGGAGGGGTAGATGAGAGGGTGAATGGGTGGGCGGTGGGCCTGTCACACCCTCCATGCAGCTATGGGCTGGGGGGACGGGAGACGGCGGACGGGTGTGTGGATGGGAGGAGAGGTAGATGAGAGGGTGAATGGGTGGGCGGTGGGCCTGTCACACCCTCCATGCAGCTATGGGCTGGGGGGACGGGAGACGGCGGACGGGTGTGTGGATGGGAGGAGGGGTAGATGAGAGGGTGAATGGGTGGGCGGTGGGCCTGTCACACCCTCCATGCAGCTATGGGCTGGGGGGACGGGAGACGGCGGATGGGTGTGTGGATGGGAGGAGGGGTAGATGAGAGGGTGAATGGGTGGGCGGTGGGCCTGTCACACCCTCCATGCAGCTATGGGCTGGGGGGACGGGAGACGGCGGATGGGTGTGTGGATGGGAGGAGGGGTAGATGAGAGGGTGAATGGGTGGGCGGAGGGGCCTGTCACACCCTCCATGCAGCTATGGGCTGGGGGGACGGGAGACGGCGGATGGGTGTGTGGATGGGAGGAGGGGTAGACGAGAGGGTGAATGGGTGGGCGGAGGGGCCTGTCACACCCTCCATGCAGCTATGGGCTGGGGGGACGGGAGACGGCGGATGGGTGTGTGGATGGGAGGAGGGGTAGATGAGAGGGTGAATGGGTGGGCGGTGGGCCTGTCACACCCTCCATGCAGCTATGGGCTGGGGGGACGGGAGACGGCGGATGGGTGTGTGGATGGGAGGAGGGGTAGATGAGAGGGTGAATGGGTGGGCGGTGGGCCTGTCACACCCTCCATGCAGCTATGGGCTGGGGGGACGGGAGACGGCGGATGGGTGTGTGGATGGGAGGAGGGGTAGATGAGAGGGTGAATGGGTGGGCGGTGGGCCTGTCACACCCTCCATGCAGCTATGGGCTGGGGGGACGGGAGACGGCGGATGGGTGTGTGGATGGGAGGAGGGGTAGATGAGAGGGTGAATGGGTGGGCGGTGGGCCTGTCACACCCTCCATGCAGCTATGGGCTGGGGGGACGGGAGACGGCGGATGGGTGTGTGGATGGGAGGAGGGGTAGATGAGAGGGTGAATGGGTGGGCGGTGGGCCTGTCACACTCTCCATGCAGCTATGGGCTGGGGGGACGGGAGACGGCGGATGGGTGTGTGGATGGGAGGAGGGGTAGATGAGAAGGTGAATGGGTGGGCGGTGGGCCTGTCACACCCTCCATGCAGCTATGGGCTGGGGGGACGGGAGACGGCGGATGGGTGTGTGGATGGGAGGAGGGGTAGATGAGAGGGTGAATGGGTGGGCGGTGGGCCTGTCACACCCTCCATGCAGCTATGGGCTGGGGGGACGGGAGACGGCGGATGGGTGTGTGGATGGGAGGAGGGGTAGATGAGAGGGTGAATGGGTGGGCGGTGGGCCTGTCACAACCTCCATGCAGCTATGGGCTGGGGGGACGGGAGACGGCGGACGGGTGTGTGGATGGGAGGAGAGGTAGATGAGAGGGTGAATGGGTGGGCGGTGGGCCTGTCACACCCTCCATGCAGCTATGGGCTGGGGGGACGGGAGACGGCGGATGGGTGTGTGGATGGGAGGAGGGGTAGATGAGAGGGTGAATGGGTGGGCGGAGGGGCCTGTCACAACCTCCATGCAGCTATGGGCTGGGGGGACGGGAGACGGCGGACGGGTGTGTGGATGGGAGGAGAGGTAGATGAGAGGGTGAATGGGTGGGCGGTGGGCCTGTCACACCCTCCATGCAGCTATGGGCTGGGGGGACGGGAGACGGCGGATGGGTGTGTGGATGGGAGGAGGGGTAGATGAGAGGGTGAATGGGTGGGCGGTGGGCCTGTCACACCCTCCATGCAGCTATGGGCTGGGGGGACGGGAGACGGCGGACGGGTGTGTGGATGGGTGGAGAGGTAGATAGGGTGAATGGGTGGGCGGTGGGCCTGTCACACCCTCCATGCAGCTATGGGCTGGGGGGACGGGAGACGGCGGATGGGTGTGTGGATGGGAGGAGAGGTAGATGAGAGGGTGAATGGGTGGGCGGAGGGGCCTGTCACACCCTCCATGCAGCTATGGGCTGGGGGGACGGGAGACGGCGGATGGGTGTGTGGATGGGAGGAGGGGTAGATGAGAGGGTGAATGGGTGGGCGGTGGGCCTGTCACACCCTCCATGCAGCTATGGGCTGGGGGGACGGGAGACGGCGGATGGGTGTGTGGATGGGAGGAGGGGTAGATGAGAGGGTGAATGGGTGGGCGGTGGGCCTGTCACACCCTCCATGCAGCTATGGGCTGGGGGGACGGGAGACGGCGGATGGGTGTGTGGATGGGAGGAGGGGTAGATGAGAGGGTGAATGGGTGGGCGGTGGGCCTGTCACACCCTCCATGCAGCTATGGGCTGGGGGGACGGGAGACGGCGGATGGGTGTGTGGATGGGAGGAGGGGTAGATGAGAGGGTGAATGGGTGGGCGGAGGGGCCTGTCACACCCTCCATGCAGCTATGGGCTGGGGGGACGGGAGACGGCGGATGGGTGTGTGGATGGGAGGAGGGGTAGATGAGAGGGTGAATGGGTGGGCGGTGGGCCTGTCACACCCTCCATGCAGCTATGGGCTGGGGGGACGGGAGACGGCGGATGGGTGTGTGGATGGGAGGAGGGGTAGATGAGAGGGTGAATGGGTGGGCGGAGGGGCCTGTCACACCCTCCATGCAGCTATGGGCTGGGGGGACGGGAGACGGCGGATGGGTGTGTGGATGGGAGGAGGGGTAGATGAGAGGGTGAATGGGTGGGCGGTGGGCCTGTCACACCCTCCATGCAGCTATGGGCTGGGGGGACGGGAGACGGCGGATGGGTGTGTGGATGGGAGGAGGGGTAGATGAGAGGGTGAATGGGTGGGCGGTGGGCCTGTCACACTCTCCATGCAGCTATGGGCTGGGGGGACGGGAGACGGCGGATGGGTGTGTGGATGGGAGGAGGGGTAGATGAGAGGGTGAATGGGTGGGCGGAGGGGCCTGTCACACCCTCCATGCAGCTATGGGCTGGGGGGACGGGAGACGGCGGATGGGTGTGTGGATGGGAGGAGGGGTAGATGAGAGGGTGAATGGGTGGGCGGTGGGCCTGTCACACCCTCCATGCAGCTATGGGCTGGGGGGACGGGAGACGGCGGATGGGTGTGTGGATGGGAGGAGGGGTAGATGAGAGGGTGAATGGGTGGGCGGAGGGGCCTGTCACACCCTCCATGCAGCTATGGGCTGGGGGGACGGGAGACGGCGGATGGGTGTGTGGATGGGAGGAGGGGTAGATGAGAGGGTGAATGGGTGGGCGGAGGGGCCTGTCACACCCTCCATGCAGCTATGGGCTGGGGGGACGGGAGACGGCGGATGGGTGTGTGGATGGGAGGAGGGGTAGATGAGAGGGTGAATGGGTGGGCGGAGGGGCCTGTCACACCCTCCATGCAGCTATGGGCTGGGGGGACGGGAGACGGCGGATGGGTGTGTGGATGGGAGGAGGGGTAGACGAGAGGGTGAATGGGTGGGCGGAGGGGCCTGTCACACCCTCCATGCAGCTATGGGCTGGGGGGACGGGAGACGGCGGATGGGTGTGTGGATGGGAGGAGGGGTAGATGAGAGGGTGAATGGGTGGGCGGTGGGCCTGTCACACTCTCCATGCAGCTATGGGCTGGGGGGACGGGAGACGGCGGATGGGTGTGTGGATGGGAGGAGGGGTAGATGAGAGGGTGAATGGGTGGGCGGAGGGGCCTGTCACACCCTCCATGCAGCTATGGGCTGGGGGGACGGGAGACGGCGGATGGGTGTGTGGATGGGAGGAGGGGTAGATGAGAGGGTGAATGGGTGGGCGGAGGGGCCTGTCACAACCTCCATGCAGCTATGGGCTGGGGGGACGGGAGACGGCGGATGGGTGTGTGGATGGGAGGAGGGGTAGATGAGAGGGTGAATGGGTGGGCGGTGGGCCTGTCACACCCTCCATGCAGCTATGGGCTGGGGGGACGGGAGACGGCGGATGGGTGTGTGGATGGGAGGAGGGGTAGATGAGAGGGTGAATGGGTGGGCGGTGGGCCTGTCACACCCTCCATGCAGCTATGGGCTGGGGGGACGGGAGACGGCGGATGGGTGTGTGGATGGGAGGAGGGGTAGATGAGAGGGTGAATGGGTGGGCGGTGGGCCTGTCACACCCTCCATGCAGCTATGGGCTGGGGGGACGGGAGACGGCGGATGGGTGTGTGGATGGGAGGAGGGGTAGATGAGAGGGTGAATGGGTGGGCGGTGGGCCTGTCACACCCTCCATGCAGCTATGGGCTGGGGGGACGGGAGACGGCGGATGGGTGTGTGGATGGGAGGAGGGGTAGATGAGAGGGTGAATGGGTGGGCGGTGGGCCTGTCACACCCTCCATGCAGCTATGGGCTGGGGGGACGGGAGACGGCGGATGGGTGTGTGGATGGGAGGAGGGGTAGATGAGAGGGTGAATGGGTGGGCGGTGGGCCTGTCACACCCTCCATGCAGCTATGGGCTGGGGGGACGGGAGACGGCGGATGGGTGTGTGGATGGGAGGAGGGGTAGATGAGAGGGTGAATGGGTGGGCGGTGGGGCCTGTCACACCCTCCATGCAGCTATGGGCTGGGGAAACGGGAGACGGCGCGCGCGGGGTGGCTTTTGAGTCGACTCAAAAGTAACCTCGTGGGTGGGGTTGGGTGGACGGGTGGGTGGGCGGTGGGGCCTGTCACACCCGCTCCATGTATCTATGGGCTGGGGGGACGGGAGAGACGGGGTGCGCGGGAGGCGAGGACGAGGAGACAGCATGCGTGGAGGGGGAACGACGGGAGGGGGATGGAATGCTGCACGCGGCACGCCTCGCACGCGCATCCCCTCCCTCCCCCGCCCCCCCCGCACGCGCGGAGACGAGGGAGAAGAGACAGATGCGAGGAAGCGAGGGAGAGGAGAAATCTGCTCAGCCTGAGAAGAGGCGGGTGGGTGGCTAAGGGGGTTGAGCGAACGCACCGGATGTAACCAGATCCCGGCGAAGTCGCGAACATGCCTTCGCGGCCGGCGCGGTACAGTAGCAGGTCGGCGGAATAATAGGCGCGCTGACCCGAGTACGTGTGGATCGCGGCTCGAGCGCAGGAGATTAACGTCAGGAGGAGGAGGAGGAGGAGCAGCCATGGGAGGGGTACGGCAGGTACGTGTATGCGCGACCGTGCGTCAAAGCGCATTCGGCGGTTTCTAATGCGCGCGGTGCCACAATGCTCATGAGTCGATTCACAAGAGGCGTTGCTCGCGGTTAGAGTCGGTTCGGGAGTCATTGTTGAGTCTTATCTTCACCTCACTTCTCTGGAACGCCTACGCGTTTGGCAAGTCATAGGACAAGAGCCGAGAAGTGATCGAGGTTTCGTCGCTTTTGAGGTTTCCTTGAATTTGAGCTATATTTTTATAAAACATGCTACATTGCATGACCATTGGCAGCAAAAACAATGTAAAATATAAGTAGGCATCACACTCAATACAAAAATAAAAATAAAAAAACCATGAGTGAAATGAGTGAGGAAGGAGCGAGGCTGTGAGTGAGAAGAACAGGCAGGAGTGGACGAGAGGGGACCATGGTGTCTGTGTGAGCGGCTGTGAGATAGTCCATGAGGCGCAGCACATCCCACACCTGGATAGGGTAAAGGGGGAGGAGGGGCGAGGCAGTGAGTGAGAGGAACAGGCAGGAGTGGGCGAGAGGGGTCGATGGATTATCTCACATCCGCTCACATGCATTATTTGTCACTCCAGCTCTAATTGTGCTTTCACTCTGCACAAACCGCATCTTCTGCCTCAACAGCTACAAACCCCGCATGTATGAGCGCTGCAAGCAACTCATGCGCCACGATCGGCTTGCGCACGGCTCCATCCATCCCCCCCTCAAAGCACGCTCGCTTCACCCCAACATCCAGATCTGCCGTCAGTGCTATGATGCACAGCCGCTGAGGACAGGCTCCTCTTGAACCCCCCATTTCCTGCACTTCTTTCACTGCCTCATCTGCTGCTGTTGACTCCTGAGACGTTTGGAAAGTGAATTCGTCGGCTGAACTGCTGGCTGCTGTTGACTCATGATGTGTCTGGAAAGCAAATTCGTTGGCTGTCTCGTCAGCTGCTCTCACCCTTGGAGATGTATGAAAAGCAAATTCAATTGCTGCCTCGTCGCTTGCTGTTGCTTCTGCTGTTGCTTCTGCCACGGTTGGAAGCTGCTGTGCTGCCTCCATTTGACGGATTCGACGAGCCGTTTCAAATCTGTGTCAGGGGGACAGTTGATTGGTGGTACAAGCAGAAGGCATATGGGAGCATTGTTGGTACTAGTACCATTGGACCGAGGTGACTTTTGAGTCGACTCAAAAATCAATTGATTGGTGGTACAAGTAGAAGGCATGTGGGAGCATTGTTGGTACTAGTACCATTGGACCGAGGTGACCTTTGAGTCGACTCAAAAGTCAATTGATTGGTGGTACAAGTAGAAGGCATATGGGAGCATTGTTGGTACTAGTACCATTGGACTGAGGTGACTTTTGAGTCGACTCAAAAGTCAATTGATTGGTGGTACAAGTAGAAGGCATGTGGGAGCATTGTTGGTACTAGTACCATTGGACCGAGGTGACTTTTGAGTCGACTCAAAAGTCAATTGATTGGTGGTACAAGTAGAAGGCATATGGGAGCATTGTTGGTACTAGTACCATTGGACCGAAGTGACTTTTGAGTCGACTCAAAAGTCAATTGATTGGTGGTACAAGTAGAAGGCATATGGGAGCATTGTTGGTACTAGTACCATTGGACCGAGGTGACCTTTGAGTCGACTCAAAAGTCAATTGATTGGTGGTACAAGTAGAAGGCATATGGGAGCATTGTTGGTACTAGTACCATTGGACTGAGGTGACTTTTGAGTCGACTCAAAAGTCAATTGATTGGTGGTACAAGTAGAAGTCATGTGGGAGCATTGTTGGTACTAGTACCATTGGACCGAGGTGACTTTTGAGTCGACTCAAAAGTCAATTGATTGATGGTACAAGTAGAAGGCATATGGGAGCATTGTTGGTACTAGTACCATTGGACCGAGGTGACCTTTGAGTCGACTCAAAAGTCAATTGATTGGTGGTACAAGTAGAAGGCATATGGGAGCATTGTTGGTACTAGTACCATTGGACTGAGGTGACTTTTGAGTCGACTCAAAAGTCAATTGATTGGTGGTACAAGTAGAAGGCATGTGGGAGCATTGTTGGTACTAGTACCATTGGACCGAGGTGACCTTTGAGTCGACTCAAAAGTCAATTGATTGGTGGTACAAGTAGAAGGCATATGGGAGCATTGTTGGTACTAGTACCATTGGACCGAGGTGACTTTTGAGTCGACTCAAAAATCAATTGATTGGTGGTACAAGTAGAAGGCATGTGGGAGCATTGTTGGTACTAGTACCATTGGACCGAGGTGACCTTTGAGTCGACTCAAAAGTCAATTGATTGGTGGTACAAGTAGAAGGCATATGGGAGCATTGTTGGTACTAGTACCATTGGACTGAGGTGACTTTTGAGTCGACTCAAAAGTCAATTGATTGGTGGTACAAGTAGAAGGCATGTGGGAGCATTGTTGGTACTAGTACCATTGGACCGAGGTGACTTTTGAGTCGACTCAAAAGTCAATTGATTGGTGGTACAAGTAGAAGGCATATGGGAGCATTGTTGGTACTAGTACCATTGGACCGAGGTGACCTTTGAGTCGACTCAAAAGTCAATTGATTGGTGGTACAAGTAGAAGGCATATGGGAGCATTGTTGGTACTAGTACCATTGGACTGAGGTGACTTTTGAGTCGACTCAAAAGTCAATTGATTGGTGGTACAAGTAGAAGGCATGTGGGAGCATTGTTGGTACTAGTACCATTGGACCGAGGTGACTTTTGAGTCGACTCAAAAGCCAATTGATTGGTGGTACAAGTAGAAGGCATATGGGAGCATTGTTGGTACTAGTACCATTGGACCGAGGTGACCTTTGAGTCGACTCAAAAGTCAATTGATTGGTGGTACAAGTAGAAGGCATATGGGAGCATTGTTGGTACTAGTACCATTGGACTGAGGTGACTTTTGAGTCGACTCAAAAGTCAATTGATTGGTGGTACAAGTAGAAGGCATGTGGGAGCATTGTTGGTACTAGTACCATTGGACCGAGGTGACCTTTGAGTCGACTCAAAAGTCAATTGATTGGTGGTACAAGTAGAAGGCATATGGGAGCATTGTTGGTACTAGTACCATTGGACTGAGGTGACTTTTGAGTCGACTCAAAAGTCAATTGATTGGTGGTACAAGTAGAAGTCATGTGGGAGCATTGTTGGTACTAGTACCATTGGACCGAGGTGACTTTTGAGTCGACTCAAAAGTCAATTGATTGGTGGTACAAGTAGAAGGCATATGGGAGCATTGTTGGTACTAGTACCATTGGACCGAAGTGACTTTTGAGTCGACTCAAAAGTCAATTGATTGGTGGTACAAGTAGAAGGCATATGGGAGCATTTTTGGTACTAGTACCATTGGACCGAGGTGACTTTTGAGTCGACTCAAAAGTCAATTGATTGGTGGTACAAGTAGAAGGCATATGGGAGCATTGTTGGTACTAGTACCATTGGACCGAGGTGACTTTTGAGTCGACTCAAAAGTCAATTGATTGGTGGTACAAGTAGAAGGCATGTGGGAGCATTGTTGGTACTAGTACCATTGGACCGAGGTGACTTTTGAGTCGACTCAAAAGTCAATTGATTGGTGGTACAAGTAGAAGGCATATGGGAGCATTGTTGGTACTAGTACCATTGGACCGAGGTGACTTTTGAGTCGACTCAAAAGTCAATTGATTGGTGGTACAAGTAGAAGGCATATGGGAGCATTTTTGGTACTAGTACCATTGGACCGAGGTGACTTTTGAATCGACTCAAAAGTCAATTGATTGGTGGTACAAGTAGAAGGCATATGGGAGCATTGTTGGTACTAGTACCATTGGACCGAGGTGACTTTTGAGTCGACTCAAAAGTCAATTGATTGGTGGTACAAGTAGAAGGCATGTGGGAGCATTGGTACTAGTACCATTGGACCAAAGCAATGGTGGCTGGCCGCAATGGCGGTGGTGAGAAGAGACAGGGAGGGCATGTGGGGTGGAGATGGGTCAGGGAGGGCAAGTGGGGTTGAGATGAGGCAGGGAGGGCATGTGTGGGGTGAGACAGAGAGAGCATTTTGGGGCGTGAAAGAGGGCACCCCTGAGGGTGAGGCAGTGAAACACTCACCCCCATCAATGCCGGGGGGCATGTGGAGGTCCAGCAGCAGCAGCTGGAGGCACGAGGAGGGGGGGTGGGGAGAGGGGTCCATGTGGGAGGAGACAGCTTGCAGGGTGTCCTCTCCTGAAGCCAGCAGCAGCACGTCTGCCCCGTAGCCCTGCAGCGTTCGCCGCGCCACCATGCGGTTCACCGCGTTGTCATCCACCACTGCCACCCGCCGCCCCGCCACCGCCGCCCGCACCGCCGCCTCCGCGCCGCCCGCTCCGCCGCCCAAACCTCCCCCAACAACCCCCCCCACAACCCCCATGCTGCTCCCCCCCAAGCTGCTCCCGAAGCCGCCTGCTCCTAAGTGGGGAGAGAGCTCTGGCATGGCTTGTAGCCGCAGGCTTACGGGGCTTAGAGGGGCCGCTGGGCTTAAAGGGTTGAGTGGACTCAACGGGGCGATTGGGCTCAAAGGTGCCACTGGGCTTAAGAGGACAGAGTGCAAAGAGGAGCTCCAAGAATGGCCTCTGGGACCCTGCATCCAGTGCTGCTGCACCCCTCTGGATTGCCCCTCACGCCCCCCCCAACGCTTGCTGCTGCTGCCCCCAGGTTCGGTTGGGGGGGGCGGTGCAGAGAGGGGTAGGGCCAGAAGGATGGTGGTGCCGATGACACTGTCTGACAGCACTGCCATGCTTCCCCGCATCTCCGCCACCTGGGGTGGAGTGGAGAGGGGTGGGGAGGAAAGGAGAGTGACAGGGAAGAGTGGGGAGGGTTGTGAGTGGAGGGTTGTGGTGTATGCCCTCACAAAACAGGTATGACACGTTCTGGACCCGTCCATCGTGATAAAAGAGTGTCTTTGAGACAACCCGTTCCTCTACCCGTAAAGTGTGAGAGCCACAACCCCTTCTGGACCCGTCCTTCGTCCTTAGCAAGGTGGTAACACTCACCCCGGACTTAGCAAACTCAACATTGTGTCATCAACAGACAACCGGACTTGTCAATTTGGTCGCCATGACACTCTTGAGGCGACAATGCAGTTGAGTATTGCAGCACTCACGAGGGAGGTGGAGAGAAAGAACCGGACTGGTTCACTCGTAGCAACACCTACTAACGAGGTCGAGAGAGGGAGGCACTCACGAGGGAGGTGGAGAGGAGGAAGCACTCACGAGGGAGGTGGAGAGGAGGAGGCACTCACGAAGGAGGTGGAGAGGAGGAAGCACTCACGAGGGAGGTGGAGAGGAGGAGGCACTCACGAGGGAGGTGGAGAGGAGGAGGCACTCACGAGGGAGGTGGAGAGGAGGAGGCACTCACGAGGGAGGTGGAGAGGAGGAGGCACTCACGAGGGAGGTGGAGAGGAGGAGGCACTCACGAGGGAGGTGGAGAGGAGGAAGCACTCACGAGGGAGGTGGAGAGGAGGAAGCACTCACGAGGGAGGTGGAGAGGAGGAAGCGGACGGGGTAGGGCGTCCAGGCGGGGCGAGCAGCAGCCCTCTCGTCGTGCGTGAGAGGGGTGGCTCTGCTGCCCCTCCTTGGCTCCTGTGTGTGCGCACCGCAGAACAAGAACACAAAAAGCGGGAGGAACAGAGACAAGGCATGAGGAGGATAAGGAGGGTAAAAGAGGAATATGGGAGGGTCAGGGAGTTAGATGGAAAGGAAGGTAAGAGGAGACGCACGCACGCACGCACGCACATGCTCATGTCCTGCTTCACTCACCGCGACTCTTCGTTGCCTCTTGCTGTCCCCACGCCCACGCCCACCATCACCACCAGTACTACCACCATTGACGCCGTCATCAGCACCATCATCATCAGCAGCAGCAAAGGAGGTTGTGGAGTGGTGAGGGTCGCCGCCATACGGATCCAGCACCCACCGCATCTCCTCGGGTGGTATACCACCGCCCGTATCCTCACAGGCCATCACCACCATCCACTCGCCCTCCCCTCTCGCCCTGCACGCCCCCTCCACCCACGCCGCCACCTCCCTCTCTAGCTGCCTTTCCTTATCAATATCCACCCGCCCATTTCCACCACTCTCCACATCTGCCTTTTGCCGCTCCTCCACGCATTTTGCCCCTGCACCTCTTCCCCATCCCCACCCACCCAGCAGGCCCAGCCCCCCCCACCCTCCCACCCCTCCCAGCCCTGCCAGCCCTCCCAGCAGCATCCCACCCTGTCTCTCCGCTTTCGCGGAGCAACTCCCCAGGGGTGCTGTGAGGTGCGGAGGGGTGCACATCAGGCGGGTGTCAGGGGGAAAGCGCCGCACACACGCTGCCAGCTGCTGCCAGGCTGTGGGGGTGTGCAGGGCAGCAGCAGGGGCTGGAGACAATGGGGGGGTGCGATTGGCTAGAAGGGAGCGCAGGGAATGGAGGGCAGCATGGGCTGGAGACAATGGAGGGGTCTTGGGGGATAGAGGGGTGCGAGGGGTGTGAGGGGTGTGAGGGGTGCGAGGGGTTTGAGCGGCTGGTGAGGCTGGTGGGGTGAGATGGGTGCGAGAGGTGCCAGAGGTGCACGGGGCTAGAGGGGCTTGAGGGGTTTGAGATGAATTGAGGGCAGGGGAAGATTGCCACATGGTGGGAGACGCAAGTAGGGATGAAAGTGGTGTGCTGGAGCCGTGCGAACGAGGGGTGGCAGGACGAGGGGTGGATGGCCGAGGGGTGGCAGGATGGGGGGTGGACAGCTGAGGGGTGGTGGGACGAGAGGTGGTGGGACGAGGGGTGGTGGGACGAGGGGTGGTGGGACGAGGGGTGGATGGGCGAGAAGCGGTTTCGTGAGGGCCTTACTGGTGAGGGCCGGCGGCACACCACACATGGAAGGTGACGTCGCCTGATAGAGTGTTGCTCGCTGCATGCGCTGCAAAGATGAGCCGACAAGGAGAGGCAAGCGGACAAGGAGAGGCAAACGGGCACAGAAAAGAGATGCATAAATGAAGAAGTAGTAAAACCTGTGAGAAAAAAACTCATTCCTACTTGTAGTGGAGCTTAGGTTCTCATGTGCATCAAGAATGTGTTGAATCTTCATTCTGATGGTTGTGGCGAGTTCCTCATTCGTTTATTAGCCCCCAGTGGCATCCCATGGCGCTCGTCAAATCCACACGCCACTGCACTCCTCGCAGCAGAATGGTGCGGCTGTCAAATCCTCGCAGCAGAATGGTGCGGCTGTCAAATCCCCGCAGCAGAATGGTGCGGCTGTCAAATCCCCGCAGCAGAATGGTGCGGCTGTCAAATCCCCGCAGCAGAATGGTGCGGCTGTCAAATCCCCGCGGCAGAATGGTGCGGCTGTCAAATCCTCGCAGCAGAATGGTGCGGCTGTCAAATCCCCGCAGCAGAATGGTGCGGCTGTCAAATCCCCGCGGCAGAATGGTGCGGCTGTCAAATCCTCGCAGCAGAATGGTGCGGCTGTCAAATCCCCGCAGCAGAATGGTGCGGCTGAGAGCTGTGTTTCGAAAATAACTATTAGCGAGAAAGGCCCCAGCCTCGCTCGAACGATATCGGCCTTGCTGACCAACTGGTGTGCAATGTGAGCAGCCAGCTTGGTTTCGTGGTCGCGGGGGTTTCGAGATTAAGAAGTCGGCGAGCGGCGAGCCTCCCGATTGGCGTCCCCGGTCGACAAAAGTGAAAGCCGACGGGGCGCCGACCGGAGGCGGAGGCGACCGGAGGCGGAGGCGGAGCCGACCGAGCGCGGTATTTCTGGGCGACCAACGTACTTGTCGGCGAAATGCATGTGCGTGAATTTAACCACTGGCATTTTTGCAAAAGTTGTCCTGCGAAAACGACATCACGTACTCTACAACCTGGGACCTGCACAATGTGCATCACATCACACGACGTACACGCAATTGTCTGTCGTGCGGACTGAACCTGTCTTGGTAGATGACGCACATGTGCGCACATGTTCACCTGCTGTTTCCGTTTTGGCACGCCACCTTGCTGCTATGTTGACAAGCCGCCTTCGTTGCTACGTTTCCATTGCATCAACTTTAGCCATGCATTGTATTGTCAATTCCACTCACATCTCACCTCCACTCTCCCGTCACCTCCACTCACCCATCACTTCCACTCACATGTAATCTCGCCCACAACTTGAAGCACCCGGGTTGGATCGCCCATCAGCACATCTGGCACGCCTGGGTCCACGTGGCATGACACTGTATGCATCATGCATCCCACCCATGACATAGATGGAGAATACACATCACGAAAAATACATCATCATGAATCTAACAACTTATATCTAGCAGCAATGTCAGCCACTTTTGAGAATTGTCAAAAGTGACTCAAATATCATGAATTTGGAGACGTCTCAAAAGTTTTGAGACGTCTCAAAACGTGAATAAAGAAGAGTTTCAAGAATTTGGAGATCCTAATCCAGCAGCACCTTTGAATCACCTACAACCCCCTTTTCCGCAGAATAACTTTTGAGTCGACTCAAAAATCACCTACAACCCCCTTTTCCGCAGAATAACTTCCTCAAATACATTTCAGCTCATTTCAGCTCAACCCATCTCCAACAAACACACCCCATACCTTCCAGCCCCCTAGGGACAGCGTCTTGTGCGGCGAGCATGACAGCTTGCTGAACAACGCGGGGCAAGCAGAGTGGCAGAGCCTCAAGTTGTAAGCGGCCGGCCTGCAGCTTGGCGAGGTCGAGCACGCGGTTGATGAGGTCCACCGTCTCCCGCGCACACTCCCCCGCGTCCCTCAGATCCGCTGCCTGCCACTCCTCCAGTGGCGACTCCAGCAGCATCTCTATCATCCCTGGGAGGTGGGGTTTGAGTACGTGCATGCAAGCAGCATCACAGCCAGTGAACGTGTTGGGTGTAAATACTATATATTTGCACGTCAACATAACATCCCGCATTTTGTGCGTGTTCTGTGCGCATTTGTTTTCGCATTCTATTTCACCCATGTTTGTTGCAGGCTCATGACAAGTCATGACGGATCATGACGACTCATAAAAAACCATGACGACCCATGTAACTTCGTGAATTATCATGGATGTTCATGACAGTCCATGAAAATTACGAGGCTCATGGAGACTCATGAATTTTCATGAGTCCTTGTGGTGAGAGTCGAGTGTGTTGGGGAGGGGCTAGATATTTTATGTTTTTAGGTCGCGCTGGTCAAGGAAAAAGCCCGCGAGAGTCAGACCCATGCGTAGGGTCGTGACATTGCATGTGGCCCCACAGGGTCCGTGCGTGTGTCGCGCACTGTTGCGTCATTATCGCCCTGTCCCGTGCAGGATAGCGCACGATTGCATCAACAACAAACGTCCCGTCTTGCACGACCGAGAAAAATCTCGTTCGTCTTGGATGGCCACGGGGGGTGATCCGAATTACATTTGACCAACAGAACCCTAGTTGACCCGGCGAATAAGATTTTTCGCCAAAAAGTTGCGCTACTTAGCAGCATAATTTTAACAACGGAAAAGTCCGTTTTACAACTGGAAAACGGGAATCCCATACGAGTATTCGTGATTCTACATGAAAACTCATGAATGTTCGTAGGGAGAGTCAGCAGGGAGTTTGACAGGAATACAGATTGAAGACAGTGATTATAAATTTACCCAAATTCAGGAGCAATTTGATAACCGTTCTTCAAGACAACCTGACCCTGAATTTCAGTGAAACAACTATTCTTGTGTTTTCTTTGTGTGTGTTATTACAACTTTAGATAAATGCATGCTCCTATTTGCCTTTGTTTTCTCCTTTTCCCGCTTGAATTCTACTGCTACATATTGACAGAAGTGGAAACGATATTACGGTGCTGCAAGAACGTTGCTCGACCAGTTTTCTTACACTACAAGCTAGGCCTAGCTTTACCTAGTCCCTTGGGCTTGCATGCTTTTGCCTGGGAGGTGACATTGTATCACACTCGAAGGGCTTCAAGTGGAGTATGTTGTGCTAAGTTTGACTTCGTAGTTTTCAGTTTTGATCGCTTCCGCATAGTGTTTAGGGTGTATTCCTGGCTTCGTGTAATCCAGGCTTCGTGTCATCCGAAATTGTGGGATCCAATTGGAAAAATTGAAGCTCGAACCGCGGGTTTTCCGATTGGATCCCTCAATTTCGGATGTCACAAATACGGGATGACACGAAGCTAGGAATACGCCCTTAGTACTCAACAGAACAAACTCGTAAATTAGCTTGGATACTGTTGGTAATAGACATGAGCAACGGGCGAACTCAAACGTGTTTTATTTGAACACTTTCGAACATATATCCAACCAACTCGGTTCGAGTCGAACATTGTTTTATCCAAAAAGTGGTGTTCCGTGTTCGCCCATGGGGGCGAACAGTTCAGTGTTCAACCCAAACACAGACGTGTTTGGTTCGAGCAGTCCTCGCCCCGCTCCAAATCCCCCCCCCCTCCCCTTCCACAGCCCCCAAATCCCCTCCACAGCCCCGTCCAGGTCCTACTCCTCGAGCCCCTCCTCCTCCTCCCTCTCCAGTGCTGTTGCACTTAATCCTCGACCTGGACACGTTGAACAATAGAACATGTTTGATGTTCGACGTGACCCGACACCAGCAATCGAACACTCGAAATGTTCGCTCCAAACGCTTAGATGTTTGATCGAACAATTTTGCCAAACCAAATCGAGTCAAACCGAACAGGTGTTCGCCCAATTCCTCATCTAGCTCTTCGAGGGCAAAGCCCTACCCACCCACCCACCTATCATGCCGATGATTGGCGTTCGCAGCTCGTGCGACAGGTTAGCCACAGTGACGCTCTTGCAGTGCTCTGCTTTCTCCAGCGCTGTTGTGCAGAGCTCCATCTCCCTCACTCCCTCCGCCATGTGCCTTCGCTTCCACGCCATCACTGCAATCACTGCAGACAGCAACAGCGCCACCAGCAGCACCAGCAGCCCCAGCAGCATGGGTGCATAGACCAGGTCCCATGTGGGGTATGCGCCCTCAAAACTGAGGAAAGGGGATGGGGTTTTTTTTTTTCAGAAAAAAAACAACAGAAAGCAGCAGCAACAGCGCCACCAGCAGCACCAGCAGCCCCAGCAGCATGGGTGCGTAGACCAGGTCCCACTTGGGGTATGCACCTTCAAAACTGAGAGCGGGAAAGCAGTGGAAAAGGGATGGGGAGAATGGTTTTTGAGTCAACTCCAAAGACAGCCCCAGCAGCACCAGCAGCCCCAGCAGCATGGGTGCATAGACCAGGTCCCACCTGGGATATGCACCTTGAAAACTGAGGGCGCACGGGAAATGGAAGGGAGACTGGGAGAATGTTGCAGAGCCATGGGAAGGGACGGGGAAGGAAGTGACGGGAAGCGACGGGGGAGTGAATGGAGGGAGCGCGGGAGAACAAAGGAGAATGGGGAAACGGGGGAACGCACGGAAAGGGGTGAAAGGCACTGCCAGTCCCGGGGGCACTCTCACAGTGGTGCGTCGCGGTGAAATGTGGTGGAACGTGGTGGAACACAGTGGCACGGCACCCACCTGCAGTGCGCCTCGTAGGTCCTCCCGAACAGCCCCTCTGGGAACGGCTCGACGTGGTCGCTGCGAGGTACTGGTATTCCCGGGGGCGTGCACAAGCAGTGCATCACGGTGGAATGCGGTGGAACGTGGTGGAACACGGTAAAGGCATCGCTTCACCCACCTGCGATGCGCCTCATAGGTCCTCCCGAACAGCCCATCAGGGAACGGCTCGATGTGGTCGCTGCTAGGCACGTCAAGCGACGGCAGCACGAGCGGGAAGAGCGAGTCCATCTGCAGCCGCGGCTCCTGTGGCCCCAAGATCTGCACGAGCTCGCCTGGCTCTGTGCTGTCGTAGAGCGCAAAGGAGTATGTGGCGGTGCCTGTGGGTGGAGGAGACACAGGGGAACATGGGGGAACCGGGGTGAATATGAGATATCCCAAAGGGCAATGCAGATCTGCACCAGCTCGCCTGGCTGTGTGCTGTCGTAGAGCACAAAGGAATATGTGGCGGTGCCTGTGGGGAGGGAGCAGGCAGGGGGGCAACACAGGGACAAGGGTGGAGTGGAGGGTGGTTACTGGCATGGCGTGTCAAGAATAGATCTGCACCAGCTCGCCTGGCTCTGTGCTGTCATAGAGTGCAAAGGAGTATGCGCTATTGCCTGTTGGGGGAAGGAGGGAGGGAGGGGCGGGGAGGGAGGGGAGGGGAGGGGAGGGGAGACATACGAGAACACATATGAGAAGAGCGAGTTTCTCCGCAGAATCGCCTCCTGCGGCCCCAGGATCTGCACCAGCTTGCCGAGCTCTGTGCTGTCGTAGAGTTTAAAGGAGTACGTGGTGCGACCTATGGAGGAGGAGGATGAGGAGGTCATCGTTTCTACGAAGGTCTACGTTTGTAAGCATATCTCATCGCATGTACCCTTTTGAAGCAGGCATCCGTTTACCATTGTTAAGCAGGTCTCCGTCCTGCATCATGCCCAGTATCTTGTGCGCCCTCCACTCTAGATGCACTAGGGAACCCCACACACGCGGTGCCGATGCTTTCCCTCGTGACTTTTGAGTCGACTCAAAATGCCGATGACTTTTGAGTCGACTCAAAATGCCGATGCTCTCCCTCGTGACTTTTGAGTCGACTCAAAATGCCGATGCTCTCCCTCGTGACTTTTGAGTCGACTCAAAATGCCGATGCTCTCCCTCGTGACTTTTGAGTCGACTCAAAATGCCGATGCTCTCCCTCGTGACTTTTGAGTCGACTCAAAATGCCGATGCTCTCCCTCGTGACTTTTGAGTCGACTCAAAATGCCGATGCTCTCCCTCGTGACCTTTGAGTCGACTCAAAATGCCGATGCTCTCCCTCGAGACTTTTGAGTCGACTCAAAATGCCGATGCTCTCCCTCGTGACTTTTGAGTCGACTCAAAATGCCGATGCTCTCTCCCTCATCATGTTTGAGGCACCTCCAACCTTCGTTTCGTTCCAAAGCATAGCGGTTGAGAGTCATACCGTCGCCATCCTGCAGCATGTCGAGTATGTTGCGCGCCCGCCACTCCAGCTGCACCAAACCCCCCCATGCGTTGCTGATGCTCTCCCTCATCTGCTGTGCCGATGCGTTGGGTGGCACTGGGCGGCGCAAGATGGGAATGGCAAACACTGCGAGCAGAGGAGGGGGGATGGGGCGGGCAGGGGAGGGGTGGGGCAGGCGGGGGTGGGGCAGGCAGGGGTGGGGCAGGCAGGGGTGGGGCAGGCAGGGGTGGGGCAGGCAGGGGTGGGGCAGGCAGGGGTGGGGCAGGCAGGGGTGGGGCAGGCAGGGGTGGGGCGTTCGCGTCTATGCGATGTCTCAGAACGGGGGATGGGAAGGCACGAATCACGGGAGGATACTGTGTGGGAACGTGGGAGAGAGATGGCGCATGCATACATGCACACATGCATGCATACATGCACACATGCATACATGCAAACATGCACACATGCACACATGCACACATGCACACATGCACACATGCACACATGCACACATGCACACATGCACACATGCACACATGCACTCATGCACTCACGCACACATGCATACATGCATACATGCACACATGCACACATGCACACATGCACACATGCACACATGCACACATGCACTCATGCACACATGCACACATGCACACATGCAGACATACATACATGCACACGTACATGCATGCAAACATGCACACCTGCACACCTGCACACCTGCACACCTGCACACCTGCACACATGCACGCATGCACACATGCATACATGGGATTTCAAGCGTGCTGCTGGAAACGAGCACAGACTTGACGGGTGCATGAAGAAGGGAGGCCGTTTTGTGTTAATGAAGGGTGGGGTAGGATAGAGCATGACATAGAGCATAACATAAAGCATAACATAGAGCATAACATAAGTAGAACATAACATAGTGCATAACTCTTTGAATAACATTCAGAATAGCGTAGATTCGAAGTGGGGCGGTTTGAACTGAACCAGAGGCGGATTACCCAACCCAACTGCACCACTGCACACGTGACTGTTTGAGCACGCACCACTGAACACGTGGCCAGGGCCGAAAAACACAGGGGGGCCAGAGCTGGGCTTGCCAGCCAGCACACACACACACACCGTTTGAGGCGCTCTAGAAGCAAGAGAAGAGTGAGATTACGCACCACTGGACACGTAGCCGGCTAAGTGGCAAAAGACGCTGGGCGCGTCATGCGTCCTGCGTCTGGACGCGCGTCCGGACGCAGGACGCACGGCATAATTTTTTTCGGGCTGACCGGATTTTTTTTGTTTTGTTTCCCGATCGCGAAGTTGACATTCGCGATTTCGACGCGAATGTCAATGTCGCGAAATTTCGACCCCCAGACCCATTTCGACCATCAAAAACAGCCCACACACAATTCTCCTTCGTAAACCCTTGAGGGTTTAGCTACCTTTCGCTCCATAGCTATGTTTTTGCCTCACATGTGTGATACGTCGTCCTCCCCCCCCTTCCCATGCCCTATAACGTGTTTTTTTGGCTGCCCGGGGGCTTCTTTTGCCCTGCCCGGGCCTGCGTCTTTTGCTGCGTCTCAAAGGCCCACATCATGCGTCCTGCGTCTAAGACGCTGCGTCTGGACGCACTCGTCTTAGACGCAGGACGCGTCTTTTGCCACTAAGGTAGCCGGCGCCGAGGAACACAGGGGGCCCAGAGCTGGGCTTGAACACACACACACACACACACACACACACACACACATACACACACACGCACACACACATACACACACACACACATACACACATACACACACACACACATACACACACACACACTCCCGCACACACACACACACACTCCCGCACACACACACACACACTCCCGCACACACACACACACACTCCCGCACACACACACACACACACACACACACACACTCCCGCACACACACGCACCACTGGATACGTAGCCGGCGCCGAGGAACACAGGGGGCCCAGAGCTGGGCTTGCCGGTAAGCAGGATGTTGAGGATGTGTGGCGGGATGAGAGGGGCGAAGTCAGTGAGAGGCGGCAGCACAGCAGCACACATGACCATTTGACTCGAGTACGCACCACTGAACACGTAGCCGGCGCCGAGGAACACAGGGGGCCCAGAGCTGGGCTTGCCGGTCAGCAGGATGTTGAGGATGTGTGGCGGGATGAGAGGGGCGAAGTCGGTGAGAGGAGGAATCACAATGCCCTTGTCCATGTTGCCACACACGTTGACGGCATAAAGGTCCCTGCGTGGCGAGGGTAGGCCTAGCACCGACCGCACCTCGCACCCTGTGATCCTCTCCACGGTCGCCCTGCATGGGTGGGAATGGGTGGGAATGGTTAGGAATGGGTGAGAGGGAGAGACGCACATCAGACGTTGACGGCATAGAAGTCCCTGCGTGGCGAGGGTAGGCCTAGTGCAGACCGCACCTCGCACCCCGTTATCCTCTCCACCGTGGCCCTGCACGGTGGGAATGGGTGGGAATGGTTGGGAATGGGTGGGGGGCGGTGAGAGGCGGCAGCACAGCACAATGCCTTTGTCCATGTTGCCACACACGTTGACTGCATACATGTCCCTGCGTGTTGATGGCAGCCCTAGTACAGACCGCACCTCGCACCCTGTGATCCTCTCCACTGTGGCCCTGTGTGGTGGTGGTGGGTGCGAATGGGTGGGAGTGGGCGAGAATGGGTGGAGGTGTGGTGGGAGAGGTGTGACTGGGTGGGAATGGGTGGGAATGGGTGGGAATGGGTGAGGGTGGGTGAGAGGGAGAGGCACGCATCATATGCTGACGGTGTGCAGGTCCTGGCATGGTACCAGATTCACCTGGCGGCACTGTCGCTACTGCTGCTGCTGCTGCTGCTGCTGCTGCTGCTGCTGCTGCTGCTGCTGCTGCTGCTGCTGCTGCTGCTGCTGCTGTGCGTGCGCTCACCTGTCCCCCTCTTCCCCTCACCTGTCCCCCTCCTCCCCCTCACCTGTCCCCCCCACCCACCTGTCCCCCTCACCTGTCCTCCCCCTCACCCGTCCCCCCCACCTGTCCCCCTCACCCGTCCCCCTCACCTGTCCCCCTCACCCGTCCCCCTCACCCGTCCCCCTCACCCGTCCCCCTCACCCGTCCCCATCTTGCAACACCATGATGACGGTGCCACTGCTGTAGTTGGCAATGCGGTCTTTGAGGCATCTCAGAGAATGCCTCCCGCACATGCCGTGATCAGTCAGTACCACCATCACATCACATCACAACTCACCACTCCCCTCCCCCTCACCTGTCCCCATCTTGCAACACCATGAAGACGGTGCTGCTGCTGTAGTTGGCGATGCGGTCTTTGAGGCGCCTCACTCAGAGAGGTTGCCTCCCCTCATACCATCATGTGTCATGCTGTACCAAGTCCGGCATGTTCAGTCAGAGGTTGCTGCTGCTGTAGTTGGCAATGCGGTTTTTGAGGCGCCTCAGAGGTGGCCTCCCCGCATACCATCATACGTCGTGCCGAGCTGTACAAAGTCTGGCATGGTCAGTCAGAGGCTGCTGCTGTAGTTGGCAATGCAGTCTTTGATGCAACCTATGAGGGGGTGCTGGCCCTCAGAGGTGGCCTCCCCTCATACCATCATACGTCGTGCTGTTCAGTCAGTGCCACCATCACATCCCATCCCATCACACCCCATCCCACCACTCCCTACTCATCCGCACCTGTCCCCATCCTGCAACACCATGATGACGGTGTTGCTGCTGTAGTTGGCGATACGGTCTTTGAGGCGCCTCAGCGGTTGCCTCCCCTCGTACCATCATATGTCGTGCTGTTCAGTCAGTACCACCATCACATCCCATCCCATCCCATCACATCCCATCCCATCACACCCCATCCCACCACTCCCTACTCTTCCACACCTGTCCCCATCCTGCAACACCATGATGACGGTGTTGCTGCTGTAGTTGGCGATGCGGTCGGCCCACATCGTGTAGGACAGCAGGGACACGTTGTTCACACACCCTGACAGCCCCCAGTAGCTCAGGTTGCTGCTGCTGCTGCTGCTGCTGTGCTCTCACCACACCACCAACCAACCAACTCCCCCTCACCTGTCATGCTCCTGCCCTCACCTGTCCCCATCCTCCCCCTCACCTGTCCCCATCCTGCAACCTCCTCCCTCACCTGTCCCCATCCTGCAACCTCCTCCCTCACCTGTCCCCATCCTGCAACACCATGATGACGGTGTTGCTGCTGTAGTTGGCAATGCGATCGGCCCACTGCGTGTAGGCCAGCAGAGACACGTTGTTGACACACCCTGACAGCCCCCAGTAGCTCAAATTGCTGCTGCTGCGCGGGCCATACGAGCCAAACACCTTCATCAGTCCGATTCCCTCCTGGTGTGCATGCGTGCGCGAGTGAGGAGCAAGCAAAGAGAGGAACAGAGTGAGTCGTGAGAGAGTTCTTGTCTAGAGAAGAGAATGGCTCCAATGCTGCTGCTGCGCGGGCCATACGAGCCAAACACGTTCATCAGTCCTATTCCCTCCTGGTGTGTGCGTGCGTGTGTGTGTGAGGAGCAAGGGGGGAAAGATGAGAACCGGCGACGAGGGGGGGGTGCGCCTGTAAAAAGGCTGCATTGCTGCTGCTGCACGGGCCATACGAGCCAAACACCTTTATCAGCCCGATGCCCTCCTGGTGTGTGTGTGTGCGTGTGCGAGCGTGTATGTGGAGAAAAAAAAGGGAGTAAGCTATTCATAAAGGACAACATGACCGCATCGCTGCTGCAGGCCCCATACGAGCCAAACACCTTTATCATAAGGGAGTAAACTATTCAGCCCCGTGCCCTCCTGGTGTGTGCGTGTGCGAGGGGCAAAGGGAGTGTTGAGAGAGATCCAGTCTAAGAAATGACTCCCATACTGCTGCTGCGACGGCAATACGAGCCAAACACCTTCATCAGCCCCGTGCCCTTTTGGTGTGTGCGTGAGTGAGGAGCAAGGGGTGCGTGAGTGAGGAGCGAAGGACCGAAGAGCAAGGGAAGGGTTAAAAAAACACTTTTGGATGTGGAGGACAGAAGGAGGAAAGGTTTGTGTGTGTGTTGTGGTGGGATGCGAGGAGAGGAAGAAGGATGCAGAGAAGAAGAAAGGGAGCGAGGGAAAAGGGAGGGTAGAAAAGTGAGTGTGGCAAAGAGAGCGAACGGAACAAACAGTGAGAGTTTTGGATGGGGAGAGAGAAGTAGTGTGAGAGGGCAGAGGTGGTGTGAAAAATAGGGCCCTCTCCCCCTCAGCGCACTTTCCCCCTCAGCGCACTTTCCCCATCAACGCCCTCTCCCCCTCAACGCCCTCTCCCCCTCAACGCCCTCTCCCCCTCAACGCCCTCTCCCCCTCAACGCCCTTTCCCCCTCACCGCCCTCTCCCCCTCACCGCCCTCTCCCCCTCACCGCCCTCTCCCCCTCACCGCCCTCTCCCCCTCTCCCCCTCAGCGAACTTTCCCCCTTGGGTGCGCGCACAGGGCGCAGCTACTGGCGCATGCGCGCAACCCACAGGGGAGGGGAATACTCAGGTCAGGGCCATGAGAGTCATGAGGGCCATGAGTAGGCACGTATAGGGGATGATGATGAGGGTCCCTTGGGTGCGCGCACAGGGCGCAGCTACAGGCGCATGCGCGCGCCCCGCAGGGGAATGCAGGAGTCAAGCACTGAGGAAAAGGGCCATGCGCGCGGGGATTGCGCGGAGGGGGTATGCGCGCAGGGCTCGTGGGGACGGGGGAAGCGCGCAGGGCTTGTGGGGATGGGGGAAGCGGGCAGGGGTCGTGAGGAGGGGGAAATGGCGCAGGGGTCGTGGGAGGGGGGAATGGCGCAGAGGTCGTGAGAATGAGGAAATCGCGGAGGTCCTGCGGGGAAGGGGGATTCGGGGCGGGCTCGCGGGAATGGGCGAAGGACAACGGGTAAGTGCAGGGGCTTGCAAAGGCGAGCGCAACGGCGTCTGTGCGCTGGACTAGCATTCGCGGAGAAAGGGCGGGGCGGAAGCACGTGCGCAGAAGCACGCGCGGGAGTACGAGGTTGTGGATTGCGTATCCTGTAGGCGGAAGCACCTGCGCGCGTGTGAGATCTGGGCGGAAGCAACTGCGCGGATACGGGGCGAAGGACACAGTTACCTCGGCGCGCAATAGCTCGGCGCGCGCAGCATCTCGGTGCGCGGAGTAACTCGGCGCGCGCATTACCTCGGCGCGAGCAATGGCGGAGCGGATGTCCTGGTGGAGGTAGCGCACGCGCGTGCGGCACCACACGCCGATCGCCTCCTGCCGCGGATCGTCCGCCTGCTTGTGCGCAAACCACACCACCCACGCGCACAGCCCCACCCATCCCGCCACCCACGCCGCCCCCAGAAGCGCCCGCCCCGCGCCGCCCCACCGCGCGCCCAGAAACGAGCGCGCCAATGGCGGTTGCATGGGGCGGCGGGGGGAGGCGGAGCAGATGAGGGGGGACGGGGGGGAACGGATGAGGGGGGAGCCGGAACGAGGAGGAGGCGGAGCAGATGAGGGGAAAAGCGGAATGGATGGGCGGAGGCGCGGCTACTAATGATCCTACTTTTTAATCTGACTCAGAAGTCGAACGGCTGTGATCTCAGCTGTCGCATCGACGGAGGACGACGAGCGGTCGATCGAGGCGGCACGGCGTGGCACGCGCGGCAAGCGCGAAGCGCAGACGGGAAAAAAACTGCCATGGCGTTCTGCGAATGGAGCCCGCCCACAACGAAAACCGGTGAATGCTAGTGTGTACGGCCAGCGAGGGGCGGCAGAAGAAGGCAGATGTGAAGACGAGGGTTGCTAAGATGTTCGAGACTGGTGCGGTGAAGAGGATTAGAGAGAGGGTGCAAGTGCAAGGCCAGAGTGGTGCTGCAGAGAGCAGCAGCAGTAGCAGCAGTGGCCGTGACGTGGTAATGGGGAGTGGCACTGCTGGTGCTGGCGGCGTTAGCGGCGGTAGCAGTGGCAGAGGAGTGTGTGATGGTGGTGGCACTAGCAGTGATGTTGCTATTGCTGGTGATGGCGCTGGTGCTGGTGCTGGTGCTGGTGCTGGTGATGGTGCTGGTGGTGCTGATACTGGTTGTGATGGTGATAGTACTGGTGGTATTGGTGCTGGTGCTAGTGCCGGTGCTGGTGCCGGTGCTGGCAAGTGCGTTGGGGGAAAGGGCAAGAGGGTGGAGATGCCGGGCTATTTGAAGGCATGGCCGGGGGGAGTCAATCTGGTGGCATGCCTGCGAGAGATGCTGCTGGGGGAGCCCTGCTACCGCCCTCTCTCCCCTGCTGCCCCTTCCCTCCCTCCTGCTGCTGCTGCAGCGCCAAGCACAGCTGCTCCCGCCTCTACCACTCCTGCTGCGGCTGCTGCTGCTCCAACAACTGTTGTTTCTCCAAACACTGCTGCCTCGTCTACCCACCCACCTGTGCACACTCTTGCTACCATGCCAATCTGTGATGCCTCGTCCACCCATGTCACCCCAACTACTAGTGCTGCGGTAGGCCCTGCAGGTGCAGGTGCACCCGTTGCAGATGCAGAGGCCTGTGGTTCCGGTGTTTGCAGGGAGAGTGGGTGCGATGCTGCGGGGTGTGGGAGGGTGGAGGGTGGCGGTGTGAAGCTGAGGAGCTGCGGTGGGTGTGGCAAGGTGGCGTATTGCAGCAGAGAGGGGAAGATGGGAGGAGGGATGGTGGCAGGAGCAGCAGCAGCGATGGTGGCAGCAACAATGGTAAGGTGAGTGGCAAGGTGGGTGTAAGGTGGGTGTAGGGTGAGTGGTAAGGTGAGTGGTAAGGTGAGTGGTAAGGTGAGTGGTAAGGGGAGTGGTAAGGTGAGTGGTAAGGCGAGTGGTAAGGCGAGTTGTAAGGCGAGTGGTAAGGCGAGTGGTAAGGCGAGTGGTAAGGCGAGTGGTAAGGCGAGTGGTAAGGCGAGTGGTAAGGCGAGTGGTAAGGCGAGTGGTAAGGCGAGTGGTAAGGCGAGTGGTAAGGTGAGTGGCAATGTGAGTGGCAAGGCAAATGGCAAGGTGATGAACCTTGCGAATTTCGTTGGAAGTGTAAGGGTGTAAGAAGGAGCATGTACTGCAAGTTGCACAGGGGTACAGTTGGGTTCTGAAACATCCTTTTTGTGGGAGGTATGGCTGTATGAATCTTCGTTTTTGTGTCCTATTTCTCGTTTGAATTGTGTAGCAAGTGCTGGAGTTGCTATATGCTATTATGGCTCATGTTGTTTCGTACACAGGTCCATGGGATTTGTTTATACCCTCCTCTCCCTGCCGCTCTTTCCCTTTCCCTGCATGTTCCCCACCCACTTCAGCCTCATCTCAACCAGTTTTTCCCCTCCTCACAAACTCACCCTTGAAACATGTCTCGCAAGTCCCAATTCCCTGGTTTGCGCAGGGCTAAGCTGACATGACGCACCCAGTTTGACCTTCATGCCGATACTTCACCTTCAACTCCTTGTTTTCAAGTTATTTGCCTGCCCTGTTATTCTGAATGTACAAGTAGGAGACTACCATTTAGCCTAACACTAACTGAACCTTCCCTGGCCCTATCTGTGTAAAAAATGCTTACTACCACTGTATTTTCGCGTGTATAGGACCCGGGGGTCTTTCTAATAATTCATTGAAAATGGCTAGGGTGGTGGTGAACATTATGGAGAATGGAAATAAGGTAAGACCCCCATACATTAATGCGTTGACCACATCATAACTCATCCATAATCCGATGTGCAAATGTGAAGTTGTGCAAGATGGTGCCTTAAAATTGCTAACATAGTATCGTAGGGGTAGGGGAGTCCCTCGCGCTTTGACAGCGTTCCATCCACTCCCTGCATAGAAGATCTGCGGGACTCTTACCGGATGGTCCTATATATGGGAAAATACGGTAACACACATATTGATGTTTTTCCGAAGGGAGCAATTTTTAGGCCTTTAAACACGTCATCGCCCGGATATAAGACATATATGTCTTATCTCATACACTAAAAAAAATGCTTGGGTTATCTTGTATTTGGGGAGGTTTTGGGTGTCTTATAAGTCTTATAAATGGAAACTTTTTAAAACTACTTCGATTTTTTTTCACGCATCTTGAAAAGAGTTTCTCATTAAGAGTGTGGATGTTGCGAAGGTGCCACTTAGGCAACCATTGTTCGGGACGCCACGTCATCCCGAATACTTGCAGAGGCAAATTTGGTAGTACGTGAGTCAGCACGTGGCAGAATTCGCGTGTCGCAAGGGTAAATATGTACGCGGTATTTCAATTCTCACTATAATACATTGCAGTTTCGATTATAAGACACATATGTCTTATCTCGTACACACAAATAGGTGTCGTATAAAAAGGCTAGCTTGTTTATAAGAGACACCCGTATAGTAGACAACCCCTGTCTACTATTCAACACTGTCTTATATCCGGGCGATGAGATGACGGTACAGTCTCTTGCCATACTGTCCAATACAATACACCAAGTCAGAAGCCTAACTCTGCTTGTGACATATTCAATAGAGCCGGCAACGCCGATGGCATGAATTTTCGTGCAAAAAGGAAGCAATGTCTATGCTCCGAGCCGAGTGCACAATACCCGTTGTCATAATCCTGCGCAGCAGAATACAATACAAAATGCCATCAGGTCAGGAACATGATGCGCAACAAGTACTAGAAAAAAAATGTTAAAAAAAGTTCAGCGTAACGTATGTAACAGACAACTTACCTTGACCGGTTTTCCTGTGCTTGGGTCCAGCACCTGCACAAGACCAATAGAGCAGAGTGCCGTCAGCCACCAACGGGGGAAAAAAAAAACAAAAAACAAAACAAAAACCGAAACAAAAACCTTAACAAATAAGTATATGGTTGGCGTTCAAAGTCAGAAGTGCCTGGTACACCACTGGGAAGGGAAGCATATGACATTTGGTGATGGTACCCCTGTTACGAAATGTTTCCAGGTTACGTACGACACTCAACAGGTATGGACAGTCAACATCACTCAAACCCGAAATTGCCCTCACCAGATGGCTCTTGTACAGGTTGCGAATGTGATGCTAGTAAGGCCAAAACTCAGGACAGGTGCATTCCGCACCCAGCTCTCAGCACCACACCGCACCACACCATTCAACAAGAAGGGGCACCCAAGAAAGCATATATCCCAAGCAGCCATCACCAGGTGACTCATGTACACCTTGTGCATCCGATGCCAGTAGGACCAACACAGGACAGGAGCAGTCTATGCCCCAGCTCTCAGCACCACACCATACCGCACCATACCAATCAACAAGCAGCACTCACCAGGTGGCTCTTGTAAGACTTGCGGAAGCGATGCAAGTAGGGGCAGCATCGAAGAGGAGCGGCCTATGACACCCAACAGTCATGGCGGTCTCAGCCCCAGCTCTCAGCACCGCACTGCACCACACCACCCATCAAACCTGGGCAACCCTCTCACCAGATGACTCTTGTACGACTGGCGAATGCGATGCCAGTAGGGACGCCATGCAATGTACCGATCCTCGCACTGCATGGGTGGATCAGGCAGCGGGATAAGACAACTCAGCCAGAGGGATACGACAACTCAATGCTCATTTTAGGTTGTTGACACAATGAGATGCATTACATGGTATCTTAATTTGTCATAAAAAGAGAGAGGTGGTGTTCTCAACAGAATACCCTCCCAAGAATCCTAAAAAAACTGATGTGCAGTTCGGAGTACCACTATAACGAGGACCTTGATTTGCCTGAAAAGGAGGGGACTTTTGAGTCGACTCAAAAGACGCTTCGGAGCACCACCATAACGGGTACCTTGATTTGCCTCAGAAGGAGCGAGGTGGTGTTGTCCACGGAGTAGGCCTTGGGATGCCACTTGCGATTAACTGGTTTCGAACCGCTGCAAGCCTTCTAAGAGTCTATGAACCATCTAAAGTACTGATTCTACAAGTCTGAAAGAATGAGGGAAGTTGTAAACAATAGTATTTCAGTCAGGACGCCAGACACATAGGCCCGGATGCCACGTGCGAACGCGTTTCGGCCAACTAAGGCCTTCACGTGCGTACGGGTACCTTGATTTGCCTGAGAAGGAGCGAGGTGGTGTTGTCCACGGAGTACGCCTTGGGATGCCACCTGCGCTCCGTCCAATCCACAAACGTCACCGTGTAGTTGGACACGCCTCCTGGATCCAGCTTCTGCCAGGGTTAGCAAGGAAGAGGGGGAGGAAGGAAGAAGGCAAAGAAGGAAAGGTAAGAAGGTGAAAGAGAGGGATGTGTCACCTGGTACTTCAACATTTTCTTGGATTAAGCTTCTGCTGGGGAAGAGAAGGAAACATTAGAGGGAAATAGGCGAAGGAAACGGGCGAGAACGATGGAGGAAGGGAAAACAAGCCAGGTGAGAAAGAGACCGAAGGGTGTCATCGTGTAGTTGGTTGGACCACCCCTCCTGCCAGCTGCTACAGAGACAGGAGGAGAAACGGAGACGAGGAAAAGGGCAGGAAGAAGAAAGAGGAAGAAGAAGACGAGCGCATGTCACGATGTGAATGGAAAATCTTGTGAGGATTCCAAAAGGTGACTCCATGTGAATCCATGTGACTCTATCCCTCCTGGGTCCACTTTTGCCAGAGAAGAAAACGGAAAAGGGAAGTGAAGGAAGACGGAAGGAGGGCGATGGCAAAGCATACCTGAGATAGCACCTGAGCATCCCTTGATTGAGATACCAACTTCAGCAGAGCATATCTCAACTGAAATATCATCTTGCAACTCATATGTGAGGTGTCACGTCACCTCATTACGCATACCTGGAAGAGTGTTTGAAGGTAGTGCTCGTCCGAGTAGCAGTTCTTGAACTCCCGCTTTGGCTGCACAGACAGACAGACAGACAGACAGGCAGACAGACGGACGGACGGACGGACGGACGGACGGACGGACAGAGAGACAGAGAGACAGAGAGACAGAGAGACAGAGAGACAGAGAGACAGAGAGACAGAGAGACGGACAGACAGACAGACAGACAGACAGACAGACAGACAGACAGACAGACAGACAGACAGACAGACAGACAGACAGACAGACAGACAGACAGACAGACAGACAGACAGACAGACAGACAGACAGACAGACAGACAGACAGACAGACAGACAGACAGACAGACAGACAGACAGACAGACAGACAGACAGACAGACAAACAAACAGACAGACACAGACAGACAGACACAGACAGACAGACAGACACAGACAGACAGACAGACAGACAGACAGACAGACAGACAGACAGACAGACAGACAGACAGACAGACAGACAGACAGACAGACAGACAGACAGACAGACAGACAGACAGACAGACAGACAGACAGACAGACAGACAGACAGACAGACAGACAGACAGACAGACAAAAAAGCAGACAGACACAGACAGACAGACACAGACAGACAGACAGACACAGACAGACAGACAGACACAGACAGACAGACAGATAGAGGCAGGTGAGCACGAGCAAGCGTACTTATGAGAGAGTGAACTTATGAGAATTTCAGAGTGTGCACAGGATATTAAAAGGGTTTCTCTCCAAGGATTATTTCTACACAGCGCAACAAAAAGCAAATCTCCAAAGTGAGTACTGCAACAAGAATGTATGATCGGGCGTAAGGGATGGAGGGAGGGAAGGGAGAGAGGGAGGGAGGGAAGGAGGGAGGGAAGGAGGGAGGGAGGGAGGGAGGGAGGGAGGGAGGGAGGGAGGGGGGGAGGGGGATATTGGAGGTGTTCTTATATTGAATCGATGGCAACTCATACTAGAAATGGAGCGTTAAAACTTACTGTTAAAGCAGACAGGCATGGTAGCATGTGAATGAGGAGATAGTTGATTTGCAATTTCTTAAAATTCCCTCACAGAGTAGCTTACTTTGTTGCAGTCCTTTTGCAATTCGAAGATCTGAGACATCCCCAAACTTGGGCGGGCTGATAGGAGGCTTACTTTGCAGTGTTTTTGGAACTTGAAGTAGACTTTTCTGTCTGTGATGACCATCATTGCGTGCCTCCGTTGAAGCACAAACCACTAGAGTCACATCAAAGGCACCAAGGGGAAAAAAATCAAAACAGAAATCCAAAGATAAACAAGCAAGATGGGGATACCAAAGCACAAGAGGACGTTTGCGATTGCAACAGCGATTGTTAAAAGCCTTGTGTTCTTGTAATGCCACAAAAACTAGCAGCAAGAAGAGTGCAGGGGAGAAAGAATGCAAGCGGAAGTCCAGCAAATAATGCAAAATCGAGACTGTAGGGACGATAGTGACTATAAGCTCAATAAAAGGGGTCGCTAACTAAGCATGTTTCTCTATTGTCAATCCAGTCAAATCACACACCTCCCATGGACAGCAATTGCTGCAGCACGATATAACGAGTATGATACCCACCTGAGATCCCTTTTTGCTGCAGCTAGTTCTTTTTTATCGCATGCCCCATTCAAGTTAATCTGCTTTGTGATATCTAATATACTTTGGCAAAACTGACATACCCACCACCTGAGATTCCTTGTTGAAAACTTTAATCTTTATACTGGCCCCCATCCCTCTTGAGACGTCTCAAACGTTATTACACATGTCACACAGGCATCAACTGTTTGTTGCAACACCTTATAACGAGTACAACACCCACCTGAGATCCCTTCTTGAAGTCTTTCTTTTTTATCTCGGGCCCCATCGCTTCCATGTAGCGACCAAAGCCAATGTTCAGAGGGCAGTCAAACCTGATGGGGATTCCGATTGGGGGATGGGGATGGGGATGGGGATGAGGATGGGGATGGGGATGGGGATGGGGATGGGGATGGGGATGGGGATGGGGATGGGGATGGGGATAGGGATGGGGATGGGGATGGGGATGGGGATGAGGATAGGGATGGGGATGGGGATGGGGATGGGGATGGGGATGGGGATGGGGATGGGGATGAGGATAGGGATGGGGATGGGGATGGGGATGGGGATGGGGATGGGGATGGGGATGGGGAAGAGGATAGGGATGGGGATGGGGATGGGGATGGGGATGGGGATGGGGATGGGGATGGGGATGGGGATGGGGATCAGGATGGGGATCGGGATGGGAATAAGAGTGAGTATGAAACCACACTCTTCCTTTTCTCAGGCCCCATCCTTTCCATGTAGCGACCAAAGCCGATGTTGAGAGGGCAGTCAAACCTGATGGGAGAGAGATGGGGGGAAGGAGATGGGGCGATGGAGATGGAGGATAGAAATGAGGGGACGGAGATGCGGGGACGGAGATGGGTGGACGGAAATGGGTGGATGGGGATGGGGACGGGGATGGGAATGGGGATAGGGACAGGCATGAATGTAAAACCCCACTTGCGCCTTTCCTCCTATGCAGCGACCACCAGAGCCAATCTTGAGAGGGCAGTCGAACCTGATGGGGATTGGGATGAGATGGGGGAATGGGGATGGGAATGGGGGGATGGAGATGGGGGAAGAAGATGGGGGGATGGAGATGGGAGGATGGAGATGGGGGGATGGAGATGGGATGGGGATAGGCAAGCGTATAAGAGCACACTCTTCCGTGTCTCAAGCCCCATCGCTTTGATGCACAAATTAAAGCCAATGTTGAGAGGGCAGTCGAACCTGATAGTACGGCGAATGCAGTTTAAAGCAATGGCAGCATGTTTTGCCTATTTCTAAGAGTGATGGCGTCTTGAGTGAAGTAAGCTCTTTCAATTCACCTCTCGACAAAGCTGACGTGACGGTTACGGTGGCATGGCTACATGTTTTAGCGGTGGTGGCGCTGAGTAAGTCTCTTAAGCTTACCTTTCAATGAAGCTGACTGACGTGGTGGCAACGTAATTATAGATGTATTGGAAGGACCACAGGGGTATGCAGCTGGTGGGGACACAAGGAAAAACAAGCGGGAGGCAACGCAGTTTAAAGAGGGGGACGAATAGGGACAACGAAGGGGAAGAGAAGGGGAAGAGAAGGGGAAGAGAAGGGGAAGAGAAGGGGAAGAGAAGGGGAAGAGGGGAAGAGAAAGGGAAGATAAGGGGACGATAAGGGAAACGCCAAGAAAGCAAGGGGAAACGGCAAGATTGAATGGGGAAGGCAAACGCCACATCACACCTCGCCTCACCGCCTGATCACACCTCACCCCACCGTGCACTCACCTGTCCGCCCTCCGCCCCACACCCTTTCACTCCCTCTCACACCCAGAAACAGCTCTCCGACCGCACCTCTCCACACTTCTCTCCACACCTTTCAACCGCACCACACCACTCAGAGATGAGCACGAAGAAGAGGTTATCCGGGGTTAATGGGGAGGTCCCAAGCAGCCTTTCACACACTCATTCATACCACTTCACACCGCTCCCCAACCCTCCACACCCACGCACGCACATCGTGCCCCACACCTGCACACCTCCCCACACCCCTCTCCACTCCTTCCAACCGCACCTCTCAGACACAAGGGTGAAGAAGAGGTTATCCGGGTCCAACAGGGAGATTTCCACCAGCCTTCGCTCCGCGTCCACCATGGTGATGTCGCCCCACAGGACCTGACGGGAAGGTAATAAGAGGTTGGGAGGGGTGGAGAGGGGTGGAGATGGGTGGAGAGGGGTGGAGACGGGTGGAGACGGGTGGGGAGGGGCAAATCATCGCCAGCAGCCGTCGCTCTGCATCCACAATGGTGATGTCGCCCAACGGCACCTGAAAGGGGCCAATAGAGGTAGTAGAATCAATAAGAGGTTCAGAGGGGTGGAGCGGGGTGGAGAGGGGTGGAGAGGGCAAAGAATCTTCAGCAGCATTTGCTCCGCGTCCACAATGGTAATGTCGCCCCACAGTACCAGAAGGGGTGAATGGACGAGTGGGGGTTGGCAGGGGTGGAGAGGGGTGTAGAGAGCAAGCCTTCACTCCGCGTCCACCATAGTGATTGATGTCACCCTACAGCACCTAAAGGGGTGATTTTTGGGGGGGGAAGGGGGACGGGAGAGGGGATTACAGTTCGATTCAGTACAGTACGATTCAGTAAGATTCAATACAGCAGAGCTCTCAATGGAAAGACAGTACAACACAGTACAGCACAGTTCAGTGCAGCAAGATTTAGTGATGTGTGGTAGAGCATAATATGCACCATGTGATAAATACCTCGCCACTGGGCACTTGGCGGCCTAGGAAGATGGGCGAGGGGGTGTTATCAGCAGTGATTTGAAAGGACGGGTCGGAGCTGTGCACGTAGATGGAGTAGCGGTGCTCGTGACCCTGCCACGTCAGCAAGACACGTGGCAGTGACACGACAGCAGCAGTCAGCAGTTCACATCAACAGCAGTCAGCAGTGCACATCAGCAGTAAGTGTCAGCATTATAAGATGAGAAGGGAGGGGAACGGCATATGGAGTGTGACGTGTGGACCGTTTTAGGCATAGGGGAAATGATTTGTGATACTGGTGATGCTGGTTATGATAACGTAACAATGGGACAAATTCGACAGTAGAACAACGTAAACAAATTAACGATGGAGCTCATTCCACAGCTTACCTTAAAGAATCTTTCCCATAACGGAGCAAGCGGGATGGTCGATCTCGTGAGGAACAAAAACGCCATCTTCCCGCGTTCTCCACTGCTATACGGATCACCAGACAATTTGATCTCAGCGGGTATTGAACTCGGGTCGAACACGAAGTCCTCCATTCCATCAAATCGAGAATTTTCTTCCGAAACAGTGTATTTCCATCGCGACGCGAACGGGAATAAGCGGCAGTATGGACTAGGAGTGGAGTATGTAAGCGGCGCGCGAAAGGTTACTATCGGGGTTCGCGTGCAGTTTGGAGAGATTAGGACAAACGCGAAGTAGTATAGGGGCGTGAGGAGGAGGAGGGAGAATAGTAGAAAGTTAAGAGTTCTCCGTAGGAGACGGGAAAATGCAGAGAAACTCAAGAACTTCGAGTAGGATGCTGATGATGCGGATGATGCTTTCTGAAACGTGGCAATCTCAAAGGATTGGCCTTGCTGCTGCTCCTTATGATTGGCGCAGCCGAATCGTGCTGAATCGTACTGGATCGCGCCCGAATGGCTAGTATCATCACTGAATTGGAAAGATTTTTGTAACGATTTATCCGCGCTGTAAATGTCAAACGGACTGGGACGTCTCGTATTAGTACCGGTACCAGCACCAGTACCGGTACTGATTGAATGATCCAGGTGTATGGCATGACTGGCAGGTAAAGGACTCTTTCTCCGCCTTCCTTCCTCCATCCTGTCACGCGGGGTGTCTGAGGTTACTCTATGCGTTACTGGATTGGGAAGTTGTCTTATAAGCTTTCCTAGGAGAATCTGAGAATTCTCAGACTACGCCTAAGGAATGTAGCGGGGTGCTAGAGTAACCAGATTTAGGGTATAAACACAAGATATTCCTTATTCAGTACTATGTGCCGCTTCTTGACATTGGGTGCAGCGGAAAATAACCTAGGAATCTAGGATACAGTATATGAAAGTCCTCCTCGCGGGTTTGGCGGGTACCCCCCTCCCTGACGAGTGCAGACCCGGTACAGGTGTTATTTTATCGCGACGGTGGCAGCTCCTGGCGAGCCAGGACGAGCTTTGATAGACTTGCAGATAACATGATACGCGAATAAGCGAAATGCTACGATGTTCGGGAAGAAAGTGGTCGGCTAGAACGACGGTCGCGAAGGCGATGAACTCGAGGCAAGGTAGTCTTCACTGGCCTTACAAAACCAGTTTCATAAACAATCTGTAACAACCAGTCACCTACATGTCACGAATGTCGCAAATTGAAACAATAATGAATATCGATCGAGGGTGGACAAACAAAACAACCAACGCATGTTTCTAGGTAGCCTTCACCCCCCATTTTCCCCCCATCACGCATCCAAAACTGCCTTGAGATGAGATGTACCGCGCCCTGCAACGAACACAGTTTCACAACCCGCCCTGATTAGGTATCTTTCCACGCTTCAGCATCGCTAGCATCCTAGGTTCACAACCTTCAATCCTACTAGCACATACCTTGGTTCCAATGGCCGTCACAAGCCGAATACAGTTTCCTGCTCTCCAGAACTCGGTTTCCGCGCTCTCGATTCTATCCCCACGATGGGCCGCATCCGATATTGTTTCAAGAGACCGATTCTTTTCCGCATCGGCGTCGCCAGCTGCTGACCAATCACCAAGATCGACGGCTGCTGTGGATCCGTCAGTAGAATCCGCGGTAGCAGCGGAGGAGGCGGGAGGCTGGCGAAGCCACGCGGAGGCGTGCAGTCGATCGCTCCGGCTGCACGTAGCGCCAGCGAAAAAGAACCTTCTGGGAGTTTTTCAAGAGTGCCAGACGGCGGAGGAGGCCGAAGCTTCCTTGCAGATGCTGGCGCGAACGAGGCTTGAGGTGCGCGGGGACGAGGGGGAAAGAGGTGCGCGGGGACGAGGGGGAAAGAGCGCTCGTGGAGCAACGGGGGGGGAAAGAGGTGGCGTTTGAGTCGACTCAAAAATCACCTGCGCGGGAACGAGGGGACAGACGATTGAGCGCTCGTGGAACAGCGAGGGGGGAAAGAGCGCGCAGGGATTGGTGGTTCAGGCGACTATTGAATCGACTCAAATCTCGTGTTTTGAGTCGACTCGAAACACGATTAAGGCGACAATTGAATCGACAGAAATCTCGCTCGTGGAGCAACGCGGGCGAGAAGGGGGCGCAGGGAACGTTGGTTCAGGCGATGTGAGAGAGCTGCTCACTTGGTCATTAGACAGAAGGAGGAGGGAAGGGGGGAGGGGGGAGGAAGGTTGGAAAGGGTGGGATGATGGGGGGAGAAGGGGGAGATGAGAGAAGATAAGTGGACCATGCACAAGCTGACATGCACAAGCTGACATGCACAAGCTGACATGACATGCACAAGCTGAACATGCACAAGCTGACATGCACAAGCTGACATGCACAAGCTGACATGCACAAGCTGACATGCACAAGCTGACATGCACAAGCTGACATGACATGCACAAGCTGACATGCACAAGCTGACATGCACAAGCTGACATGCACAAGCTGACATGCACAAGCTGACATGCACAAGCTGACATGACATGCACAAGCTGAACATGCACAAGCTGACATGCACAAGCTGACATGCACCGCACAAGCTGACATGCACAAGCTGACGTGCACAAGCTGACATGCACAAGCTGACGTGCACAAGCTGACATGCACAAGCTGACATGCACAAGCTGACGTGCACAAGCTGACATGCACAAGCTGACATGCACAAGCTGACATGCACAAGCTGACATGCACAAGCTGACGTGCACAAGCTGACATGCACAAGCTGACATGCACAAGCTGACATGCACAAGCTGATGTGCACAAGCTGACATGCACAAGCTTACATGCATAAGCTGACATGCACAAGCTTACATGCACAAGCTGACAAGTTCTTCATGGTTTCGTGTGTTCCCGCCGTCCTTTGACCATCTGTCCGCTCCCTTCCATATGCCTACATGTCCATACCTATTGCTACACATTGTTACAGAACGCAGCCTATCGCAAGCAGACGGCGAACTTCAACGACGAGGTGTCGCTGGGCGTCGTGAGAGCATGCATCCGAGCAGGCGTGCCACATAAAGGTGAGCTCAAGTTCACTGTTGAGTCGACTCAAAAGGCATCCGAGCAGGCGTGCTGCAGAAAGGCGAGTTCAAGCTACAGGCTTCCATTCCACAAGCTCCAAACACCGCAAGCTTCAAACCTAGGTGCTTCAAATCCACGAGCCTGAGACCTAGGAGCTTCGAACTTTACAACAAGCTTTACTTGCGTGCTGAACCTGCAGAATTGCTTTTCCTTCTTTTTTTGCAGCTGCCTATGGTGCTTGCGTTGACTCCGGTTTGAGCTATCCTTTTTTCTGTCACAGCATGGGTTGTGGCATCCCAACGTGATTTCTGCGTCCCAACTCCTTCCTTCTTCACTCCTTCCTTCACCACCTGGCAGCTTTGGTTGCCATTTCCCCAACCAATCCGTTTGGCTTGACGCCATTGCTGGGAGCTGCGCATCTGATTATGGTACGCGTCCACATCTGCACATCTGATTATGGTACGCGTCCACATCTGCGCATCTGATTATGGTACGCGTCCACATCTGCACATCTGATTATGGTACGCGTCCACATCTGCGCATCTGATTATGGTACGCGCCCACATCTGCGCATCTGATTATGGTACGCGTCCACATCTGCACATCTGATTATGGTACGCGTCCACATCTGCACATCTGATTATGGTACGCGTCCACATCTGCACATCTGATTATGGTACGCGTCCAGCCCATCGAGATTGCAAATGGATACTCAAGTCAAACTTACCATACGAAGACATACCATCAATTTTCCCAGGGTTCATGTTTGCCATGTGTTTAATATCCATACAAATGTCCTGAAGGCCTATTCTCCTTGACTTGTTGTCTCCGCTGCAGAAGCATGCTGCGTCAGCCAAGGATAACTCTCTCCTGCTCTCAGCTTATAGTCAAATGGGGAAGGCGAAAATTCATCCATCACCCACCACCGCAGACATTGTCATCAGGTAAACATATCCTACACTTTTTTGTTGTAAACTCAGCAGTGGCTGGTGCAAGGTGCACACCTAACATCATTGCTTCCACACCTGATTCAAAATCGCACCTTGGGTTGTGAATCATACCGGTATTGTTGCAGTGCTTTGCTTGCCCAAGGAGAGGATGTCCTGGCATCTCAACTTGCTGACAGCTTTCAACAAAAAGGGGTTTCTCTGAAGAAGGAAGTAGCAAGGAAGCTTCAAGAGGCAGTGCCTTCGTTGTGATGGGCCAAAGTGTGGACTAGGTAGTAGTTAGTAAGATTGACAATGCTTGCTGAATCGGAAGGAGATTTTATTGGTGTTACAAATTTTAGGTTTTAAGGTGATAATCAATCTCTGCTCTCATTTTACTTTCGCTCTGTCTGGTGTCGCACCACTCCACTGAGGCAATCCTGTAAGACACTCATTGTATTTGTTGCTGAGCTAATCCTACACATGATAAACACATTTTTTCTCAGCATTCTCAAAATGAAGGTAAGTTGGTACTTATGTTCTACACTTATCGTGCTTCGAATGCTTTGAACCACCGTGCTTATCGAAGTGTATTGTGAAGCGATCGAGGGACAATAGTGCTTGTACGGAAGGCCGAGCAGGGAAAGCAAGCAGGGCAAGGCGACGAGACGACAGACAGCTGTGCAGCGCTGCGCTGTAGCGCATAGATACACCTGCTGCACTCACACTGCCTGTACACTCTTCCCCGCCCACCACCAACCCCACCACATGGCTGCCTGCCAGCCACACAGCACAGGTGTAGGCTTTTCCAGACGTAAAGCGGCGCCGAGGACGTAGTTACATAGAAGACTAATGGTTGTCGTCAATTATATTTAATTTATAGCGACTCCTAGCATGCGCGGCGTTAGAGGCGCGGAGGAGCAAGCGATGCTCGTTAGGGCACGAAGGGGCGAATGTTGGGGCAAGAAGGGGTGGGGGAACGAGGGCGCGATAGTATGAGCAGCAGCGGCGGCAGCGGGATGTTGGACGCGCGAGTCAACGCCGTCCCTTCCCCGCCGCACTTCTCCGCCGTCCCTTCTCCTCCCTTTTTGACCGCAATCGCGCGATGATGACGTCAGACGCCATGACATCACACCCCAACTCGATGACGTCAGGCTGCAAAGCTGTATCGCCAGGGCATAAACGAGTCTTAGCAGGGCGCGGGGAAGCGGAGCCGACAGGGGCGCGTGGCGACGATAGCGCGATGGCGATGGAAGATGATTGCTTCTTAAAGCCGTATTACCCTGCTCCCGGCACTCGCCCCTCTCGCATCCCCAATGGCGACTCTCGTATCGGCCATAGCGATAGCGCCGCCTTCTCTCGCAGTCGCTCCAGCTCCCCCTCCCCCGCTCACTCCGAACCCTCTTCCGCCCATGCCTCGCCCGCCCCCGCGCGCCCGCCGTCCGCCCACAGGAGCGCGACGGCTGCCCCTCCGCGGCCCATCTCGCCTCTGCCCCCGCATGCTGTGCGGCGCAGACCGGGCGCGGAGGGGCGCGCGGATGGGCGCGCGGGGGTAGGGGCGGAGCTGCGGGAGGGCAGTCCGGGGCGCGATGGCGCGCTGATGGGCGCCCGCGCGCCTGTCGTGCGCGATGGAGCCGGCGGAGGCGGGGAAAAAGGGGGAGCGGAGAGGGTGAGGGCAGGGGGAGAGGGCGCGAGGGGAGGCGGAGAGGAGGCGAGGGAAGGGGGCGTGGCGCGCGGTAGCAGTAGGCCCCGGCGCGCGAGAGTGGCCAGCAGTGGCGACGCCGTCAACGCGGGCGCCGCCAGTGCAGGCGCGGTTCCAGGACCAGGCACTGCAGCAGCGGACGCCGCACACACAGCAGATGCGCAAGCAGCAGCAGCGGCGCCGCTGACGCGCAGATTTCCCACGGCCCCGCCAACAGTCCATTCCGCCAAGCCTGCTGCGCCACTCAGCAGCAGCGGCGAGGGGGGGGCGGGTGCGGCCGAGGGGACGTGGCCGGGCGAAATGGTGGGGGAGGGGGGAAGACGGGGGGAAGCGGGGGAGCAGATGCGGGTTGGGGCGAGGCCGGGCAGTGGTAGAGCGGGGATGAGACGAGGGCCCGGGGTGGGGCAGGCGGGCGCGCGCATGGGCGCGGGGATGGGAGGGGGAGGCGGGGCGCAGAGGCCTGTGACTGCTGGCGGCAGGCTGGTAGTGGCAGGGGCTGGCAACAGCCGAGGCGGTGAGGACAGCGATGCAGCAGGCAGCGAGACGGGCGTGGGCGATGGGGGGAGCTGGAAGGCCCGCCCGACACACGCTCAGCAGGGCGTGGGGCAGCAGGGCGTGGGGCAGCAGGGCGTGGGGCAGCAAGGGGTGGGACAGCAGGGGATGGGGCAGCAGGGGATGGGGCAGCAGGGGATGGGGCAGCAGCAGGGCAGCGCAGGAGGGCAGAGTGGGGCGGGGCAGGAGCAGCAGAGGAGGGAGCGGCGGCATGTGCGGCAGGCGAGTCTGCAAGTGGACGCAGTGCAGCGCCTGCACGGCCCCAAGGGCTCCGCCTCCCCTCCCCACGCACCACCCATGCCCCTGCCCCGCCGCCCCCACACCGCCCTCGCCCGCTCCCCCTCGCCCTCCCCCTTTCCTCCGCCCTCCACCGCTGCGCCGCCTGACGCGCGTTCCTCCTCGTCCCGCTCCGCCACCTCCTCCCCCTCCCCCCCTATCCGCCCCCAGCCCCCCTCGCCCCAAGAGGACCGCTCCCCCCGCGGCCTCTCGCAGTCCCCCCCGCGTGGGGGTCCCCCCGCGCCCCTGCACGCGGCAGCATGCGCGGAAGCAGGGGGGGGCAGCGAGGGTGAGACAGGGGGGTCCGCGAGGGCGGGGGAGAGGGGCGGAGGAGGGGGGCGGGGTGGGGTGAGAGCGATGGGGCGGAGCAAGGCGAGTGGCATGGGGCGGGCGAAGGGTGTGATGGGCGTGGAGCGAGCGCAAATGGGAATGGAAAGAGGTGTGATGCGCGCAGAAGCAGGGGGGGCGATGGAGGGAGTGGATGGAGGGTCGGCGGGCGGACGAGGCATCCCTGAAGGGGCACACAGTTCCCTGCGCCAGCAACCGCTGCACGGTCCAGTCAGCGCTGACGTGGCACCAGCAGCAGCAGCAGGAGCAGCAGGAGCAGCAGGAGCAGAAGCGAGCTCGCATTGGAATTCAAATAATCATGGTGGCAGTGAGAGAGGGGGTGAGGGGAATGGAGTGGTTGGGGCTGTTGCAGAGGCCAGGAAGGTCCGTGCAGGCGGGCAGAGCAGCACAGGCAGCAGCAGCACTGAGCTTGCGCTACGAGCGGGCGGCAACGGACGGCTGCGATCGAGTGTGAGTTTCGGGCAGGCCAGTGCGTGTGAGCTGCGCTCTGCTGCTGCTCCCACTGCCACCGGCACTGGCGCTGCCGCCACTGGCAGCAGCGGCGGCACCAGCAGTGCAGGGGATAGCAGCGAACGAGGTGGGGAGGGGGGGGGGGGGGGAGGGGGAGGGGGCGGGGGCGGGCGCTGCAGGGGGCAGGGCGGAGATGGTCGCTGGCAGCAGGGCGGGCGGCGCGGAGGGGCATGCAAAGGGAGGGGCGGGGCGGCGGTTGACTCGCGCCCTGAGCGCCATGGAGGGGCGCGAGCATGCGCCTTGGGGGCCAGCTGCAGGGGCTGGGGAAGGCAGTGGGGGGAGTGGTGGTGGTGGTGGGGGGGGGGGACAGGGCTGCAAAGGGCTGAGTGAAGGGGAGGGCGCAAGTGGTGGGCTGGGGAGGCAAGGGGGGGGGGCGAGGGCGCGTCCAGAGCAGATGGCGGGGGAGGAAGGCAGAGAAGGCGAGAGGGCGGGAGGAGGGGTGAGTGCAGGTGAGAGCAGTGGGTTCAATGGCAGGGGAAGAAAGGCGCGAGAGGGACCCGCCAGAAGTGCGGGTGGGGAAGGGGGAGCAGCAGCAGCAGGGGCGGTGAGACCCGAGGCACACACAGGTGCCGCTGTGGCCCTCGCTTCTGCCCCTTCCCCCGGTAGTGAGTCGGGGAGGGGCAGGGGCGTGCAGATGGGTGGGGAGAGGTGGACAGCGGCACAGAGGGCTGCAGCACGGGACATGCAGTGGGAGAGGGAGCGGGAGAGGGAGAGCGGCAGGGGCAGAGCGACCCGCGGGAGAGAGAGAAACAGGTCGAATCCTGCCACTCCCACAGGTGCCTCCCGCACACCACGAGGGGCCGTGGAGGGTGGGGGGACGCCGAGGGGTGTGGCGGAGGGAGGAGGGGGTGCTGCGGGTGAAGGGGCGGAGGGAGGGGGCGGGTCAGGGGAAGAGAAAGCGGGGCGTGCACGTGCAAGGCGGGGTAGGAAGGGCGCGGGCGAGGGGGGGGTGAGGCGAGGGGAGGCTGGTGATGAGGGCGAGAGGAGTGGCGGGGCGAGTGATGGGATGGTGGATGGAGGGAGTGTGCGGCAGCAGAGAGGCTTAGAGGATGGGCGGAAAGGGCGAGAGGGAGATAGAAGGGGCGGGGAGAGCAGTGACAGTGGTGTGGTTGGAAGGGAGAGAGAGGGGAGAGAAGCGGCAGAAGTGGAGGGTCTAGGAGGGGAAGGGCCAGGGGGCATGGCAGGATTGGGTTCATCTGGCTTCAAGGGGCTGGCCGTGGCACAGCGACGGATGCAGCAGCAGGCGCAGCAGCAGACAGAGCAACTGCAACAGCAGGCACAGCAGCAGCAACAGCAGCAGCAGAGGGAGAGGGAGGGGCAGGGGTGGCAGCATGGGCAGGCAGTGCAGGGGGAGGCAGAGAATGGGGGTGGCAGCAGAGGGGGCAGCGCACAGGTGGGCGAGGTGGAGGCGGGTGCAGTGGGTGGTGGGGGCGGGGTGAGGGGGCGGCGAGGGGAGGTGGTGACAAGCCGGCCGTGGCACGCGCGTGTGGGGGAGGGGAGGGGTGGGCGCGCGTGGGACGAGTCAGCAGCCATCGGGGCGCCGGTCACACTGCTTGCTGCCGTGGGCAGTGGCAGTGCGGCGGAACTTGCAGTACGGCCCATGCCATTCACTGGGGTTGCTGCTGCTGCTGCTGCTGCTGCTGCTGCTGCTGCTGCTGGGGTTGCTGGTGGGGGGGGTGCATGTGAGGCGATGCCGCTGACGCCGCCTGTGCTGTCCCTCACGGAGCAGCGCCTGCTGGCAGCCCGGCACGGTGCAGCAGCCAGTGCAGGGGGCGGAGCAGCAGGGGGGGCAGCAGTGGGGGGCGGCAGGAGGGGGGCGCGAGCCATGGTGAAGAGCATGTCCATGTCCGCCGCTGACCTGCACCTCGTGCCCTCGCCGCATGCCACTCCGCCCCCTGACGCTTCTGCCGGGAGGGTTGCCATGGGCACCGGTGTAAGCACCGGCACGGGCGTGGGCATGGGCGTGGGAGCGGGTGCAGGCTCTCGATCTATGGCCATTTCTCGCACATCCTCCTCCTCCGGCCGCCCCGCATTCCCACACGCTGCTTCTACTTCTGCTGCTGCCGCAGCTGCAGAAAGTGCGTCTGCGCACTCACTTGCCATGCACCCCGCCCAATCCGTGCCTCCTGCCAGTGACACTGCATCAGCCGCCATGTTCCTGGGCATGGGCCTCCCTGCCGCTCGCAACTCTGATACCTCTGAGCGCCTGCTTCACCTCACAGCGCGGTGGAGCGAGGTGCAAAGCGGTGGCGGCGGGCGGACGGGGGCAGGAGTGCACTCGGATACGCCAAGGCTGGGCAGCGGCGTGGGGGGCTCCATGGACCTGCGGCGAGCAGCCTTCCATGCAAGCATGGGCGCCGCCACGAGCATGGGTGCAAGCATGGGCATGGGCGTGGGTGTGGGCATGGGCACGGGAGGAGGGAGGGTTGGGGGGGGCATCCCAGCATGTTCGAGTGCGGAGGCGGATGTACCCGCGTGGGCAGCTCCCCAGGGGGACAGTGGGGGCGCAGAAGCAGGTGGGGGGAGCGCAGTAGCAGTTGCAGGTGCAAGAGGTGGTGGGGCGGGCAGGCGGGCAGGAGGAGGCGGTGCGAGCGGGCGGTCTGGGCTGGGAGGAGAGGGGGGCCTCACCCGCGGTGGGTCGGGTGTGAGTGGTGCTGTGGGCGGTGCGATGAGAGCAGGTGCACCTGCGGGTGCTGCGCTGCGGCGCCATGGCAGCATGTCTCTGCACCAGCAGCTCGTGGCTCCTCCTGTTGGCACGTGGCAGGAGCAGGCCGTGCAAGGTAAGCAGCTCAAGATGAAAAGTGCCATAGCCGCTGCCACAGCCGCCGCTGCTGCTGCTGAACCTGCTCTTGCCACTGCTGCCGGCACTGCTAATTCTGCATCTGCAGCGGCAGCGGTGGTGAGTGGGAGTGGGTTGCAGGAGAAGGCAGTGAGAGCGTATCCATTGGCGAGGGCGCACACGACAGCAGCTCGCAGCACACTGCGCACGCCTCCCTCTGCTGCTCTCTTTGACTCGCGCAGCTTCAGCAGCCGCGCCACTCCCCCTGCCACCACCACAGGTGCTGCTGCTACCACCAGCAGCGGTGCCAGCACCACAGGTGGTGGCAGCAGTGGCACGAGCAGCAGCGGCATGTGCAGCAGCGGTGCTGGTAGCAACGGCGGGGTGAGCAGCAGCAGCAGCAGGAGGCTGAGCGTGAGCAGCTCGTCCAGTGCCATCACAGCCCGCAGTGCCACGCTCACCGGCAGAATGCTCACCAGCACCTCCTTCACCACCACCAGCACCACCACTAGCACCCTACCCACCACCACCACCTTTTCCACCAGCGCCACTGCTGGTGGTAGTGCGAGCAGCAGCAGGGGCTTCCATCGTGCCGCCACTCTGAACGCGCGCTCCCTCGGCCTCTCCCTGAACGCGCCTGCCCTCTCTGCCCTGCCTGCGCCTCACGTGCATGGGGCGCCCTCCTGCCCTGCCGCAGCTGGTGCTGTGCCAGGCACGGGCAGCACCCGGCATGAGCTTGCCCGCAGCGCCAGCAGCAGCGCTGCCAGGCTTAGGGGCGCGGCGGTGGGGGCCGGGGTGAGAGGCGGGTGGGAAAAGGGGACGTTGAGGAGTGATGGTGGGCGGGAACAGAGCGGAGGTGGGAGAGAGGGGAGCGGAGGAGGGAGAGAGGGGAATGGAGGTGCAAGAGAGGGGAGTGGAGGAGCAAGAGAGGTGAGTGGAGGAGGGAGAGATGGTAGCAGAGGAAGAAGAGGGGGTAGTGGAAAAGGGAGAGAGGGGAGTGGAGGAGGGAGAGAGGGGAGTGGAGGAGTAAGAGAGGGAAGTGGAGGAGTAAGAGAGGGGAGTGGAGGAGTAAGAGAGGGGAGTGGAGGGGACGGTGGATGGGCAGAGGCAGCAGCAGCAGTGGCATTTGGGGCAGCAGCAAGTGGGACAGCAGCAAGTGGATCTATAACAGGGAGGTCAGCTGCAAGGGCGAAAGCGATGAGGGGAACAGCAGCAGGGGGAACCACAGAGAAGGGAGTGGACGTAGGGGCAGCAGGAGGAGGGGAAGCAGCAGCAAGGGGAGCAGGAGCAGCTGGAGAAGCAGCAGGAGGAGGAGGAGCAGCAGGGGCAGCAGCAGCAGCAGCAGCAGGAGGAGGAGGAGGAGGAGGAGGAGGAGGAGGAGGAGCAGCTGGGGCAGCAGCAGCAGGAGCAGCAGGGGCAGCACCAGCAGTAGCAGGGGCAGCAGGGGCAACAGGTGCAGCAGGGGCAGGGAGCAGCAGGGGAGGCGGCAGGGTGGCAGGGAGGACACTGCGCAAGATGGCGAGTGACAACTTCCGCTCCTCCGGCCGCCCCATGGGCAAGCCCATGGGCAACCATGTGGGGGTGGCGGCTGATGGGGGCATGGGCATGGGCATGGGCATGGGCATGGGCATGGGCGTGGATGGGGTGAGCGGGGGAGGCAACAGAGCAGTGAGGCTGTCCTCTACTGCCAGCTCGCTGGACCTCGCTGTGCCCTCTGCTGCTGCCCTTGCTGCGTCCGCCTCTGCTGCTCGCCCGGCTGGTACTGCTGGCGTGGGCACAGCCGGTTGGAGGGGGGATGCACGGAGGAGAGGGGGCAATGAGGGCGGTGGGGAGGAGAGGCGGGGGGAGGAGGAAGGGAAGGCGGGCAAGGAGGAGGCGGTGACTCCGTCCAAGGCGAGCCGGGAGGACAGTGTGACGCCCAGCCGGCTGTCGCGCGCCCGGCGAGCTGTTCTGAGTGCTGCTGGTAAGGAGCGGCGGCGCGCTGCTGGGAAGGGTGGTGAGAGGGGTGAGGGGGAGGAGGAAGAGGAGGAGGAAGAGGAGGAAGAAGAGGATGGAGAGGAGGAGGAAGAGGAGGAGGAGGCTGAGGAGGTGGGAGGGGAGGAGGGAGTGACAGACGCTGAGAGCGAGGAGGATTCGAGCATTCCTGTGGCCGCCCAGGCAGTGAGTGCGCATCATGGCAGCGGGGAGCAGGGAGGAGCAGCAGCGGCGGGGGGCAAGGGGAAGGCGGGGCTGCTGAGCAAGGCAGCCAAGGGCATGCGGGGGCTGGGCGACCGCATCACACGGGCGCGGCTGAGGCTGCTGCAGGGCGGGCAGGCGGACGTGCTGGGGAGGGGGTTCTCGGACGTGCGTGGGGAGTATGACGTGGACGGGGGCCAGCAGGTGGGCAGCGGGCAGTTTGGGGTCATCCGTGTGGTCACACACCGGGCGAGTGGGGAGCGCCTGGCATGCAAGTCCATTAGCAAGACGTGCCTCAAGGTGAGTCCTCTTCATGCAACCCTAAACCCTAAACCTCTTCATGCCACCCCAGCCTTCATGTCCCCTCTTTGCCTTCTCACCTCTCTGTTGCTCTCCCTGCGCAATTGCCTCGCTTGTTGCCATTGCCTCGTGTGGAATTGCTGTCTGTTGACCTAGCTCACCACGTCGCTCTTGTTGTCCCATGGCCCACCTCGCCATGCGCCTCTGCGTGCTGCTATGGCCATACGGCAGTCCAAGGCGGATGCGGCGGACATAAGGAGGGAGGTGGCCATACTGGAGCAGCTCAAGGACCACCCCAACGTCGCCCGCCTAGCTGCTGCCTTTGAAGACCCCAAGGTGCCCCACTCGCCCTGCTCGCTCCTGCTCCCGTGCTCGCCCATGCGTCCGTGCGCTCCCATGCTCTTCTGCTAGCCCATGCTCCCATGGTTATCTTATCCACCCTGACAGAACCATCTCTTGCATTCCTTTGTTTCTTGCGACTGACCGTCTGCCCCTCTATGCTCTTCCCACTCCTCACTCTCTGCGCCTCTGCCCCTGTCACTCCTCACTCTCCACCCCTGCGAGCCCTTGAGCATTGTTCCGTGTCTCTTCTTGTCTCCCTGTCTTCTGCCACCTCCTCCCACTCCACTGTGGTTCTGTGGCACGCGTGTGCGTGAGGCAGGAGGTTCATGTGGTGATGGAGCTGTGTGCGGGCGGCAAGGTGTTTGACCGGTGGCCACGTGGGCCCCTGCCAGCCCCTTGAGCATTGTTGCCCCTCTAATCCCGTCCCCCCACTCCTCCTTTTTTCCCGCCATCCCTCCCGTCCACGTCCCCCCTTCTCCCTGTCTCCCCCCATCCCCTCCTTCCCTGCGCCAGGAGGTGCATGTGGTGAAGGAGTTGTGTGAGGGCGGCGAGCTGCTCCCCTGCACCCCTCCATCTGCTTCCCCATTTCTATGTTGGAAAATACGAGTATCGAGTATAATACGCTAGCGTATTATACGCTGGGTATATACGCGGTACGCCATGGCTGGCGTACTGCTGATACGCAAAAATACGCTGGGCGGGCAGGTAAAACTTTTTCCCGGGCAGGTTCCGCCCTCAAACTGTAGGGAGTAGAGGTCACCATGGCGAGGAAGTACTCAAGCTAGGAGAGTTCGAGCTCGACGAGAGTTGGACGAAATGCAAGAACAGAAACGCGGGATTGAATGAAAGACGAGCTGTTTAGGGATTGAGGAGATGTACTGAGTGAAAGGGGGGAGGTTGGGTTTGGGAGATTGAGAGGGGTGGTGTGTGGTTGGGGATGTGGGAGAGGTTGGATTTTGAATTTTGAATTGTAGTCAGGGGTTGGGTGCTGTGCGAGGTCGAGGGTTCAATTCTCGCCGTCGCCAATTCTTGCAATTTTTTTTTTTTTTTTCGGGCTGCCCCGGCGTATTTTAGCGATTTTTAGGCGTATTAGCGTATTTCGTACATACGCCAGCGTATATACGCAATACGTCCACCCCCCAAGGACGATTTTCCAACGTAGCCCCATTTTCCCCTGTCTCCCCACATCTCTCCCATCTCCCTCCGTGTCCCCTGTTCCCCCCATCTAACATCGTCAACCTCCATGTCTCCCCGGGCCCCCCCATCTCAAACGCCCCCCCCCTGTCTCCCACGTCCCCTCCTGTCTTCCCCCGTCCCCCCCATCTCTCCTTCCCCCCTTCACTTCCCCCCCTTCATCTCTCCCCCACCTCTCCCCCCCCCCCACCAGGAGGTGCATCTGGTGATGGAGCTGTGCGAGGGCGGGGAGGAGCTCTTCAACCGGTGGGCACATGGGCCCCAGCCAGCCCCTTCAGCATTGTTGCCCCTCTAAACCTGTCCCTCCTTCTTTCCCTGTCTCCCCCCATCCTCTCCCAACCACCCCCCCCCCCCCCCCCGCCCTCTGGCAGGAGGTGCATCTGGTGATGGAGCTGTGTGAGGGCGGGGAGCTGTTCGACCGCCTCAAGGCGAAGCGAGTGTACGAGGAGGGCGAGGCGGCAGCAGTGCTGCGCACGCTGGTGGACGTGTTGAGGCACTGCCACGCCATGGGGGTGGTGCACCGCGACGTCAAGCCCGAGAACATCCTGCTCGTGTCCCAGCACAGCGACACCGAAGTTAAAGTCATTGACTTTGGCATTGCCGCCTTCTACAAGCCTTGTGAGCCGTGTGACCTATCGCAGTGAACGCGTGCTTGCCCTGTCTTGTGACTTTTGGGTCGACTCAGGAGTCTCCTGCTCATGTCGCAGCACAGCAACACCGATGTTAAAGTCATTGACTTTCGCATTGCTGCCTTCTACAAGCCTTTGAGCCATGGGTCCAAACACAGTGAACATGTGCTTGCTCTTCTCTCCCTTATACCCCTGCGCTTCTCCTCTCCCGAGTCCCTGTCATACCTCTTGTTTTCCCTCCCTTCCCCAACCCCTCACCCAACCGTTACTCACAACAACCTTCATGGATACACCTGCATCTCCTGCGCATGCATCTGCTTGTCTTTCTCTCGCCTCACATCACCCTCCCCACCCCAATCACGCATGATGCCCCCCTCAGCGCGGCCGCTGACGGAGTTTGTGGGGTCGCACTACTACATGGCGCCGGAGGTCATCGAGGGCAGCTATGGCCCACCGGCGGACGTGTGGAGTGCAGGAGTAGTGCTGTACGTGCTGTTATCAGGGGTGCCGCCCTTCTGGGCGCGCTCGGAGGACGGCATCATGCACGCCATCCTGGACTGCCGCCTGCGCTTCAAGCCCGAGGTGTGGGGCAAGCGCTCCCACCTCGTGCACGACCTCATCCGCCGCATGCTCACACGGGACCCCGCTCTCCGCATCACCCCCGCTGGCGTCCTTGGTACGCCCCCTGTCCCTTTTCCCGCACCTTGGTCCTGCCAGCTCCCTTTTTGTGATTCCAAGTGTTCTTGTGATGGTTGTTTCAGTATTCGTTCTGAGGCACGTTGGAGTATGGTTGTGTTCTGGATGAGCCATGCCATGCTCTTTTGCGTGTGCGTTTCCACACAGCTCATCCGTGGATGGCATCGGCAGCGCAAGCAGAAGATACGCAGCCGCAGTAACTATAGCAATGACAGCGATGCAGCAGTGCCTTTGGTCAAGAAGTGTTGAGGAAGCAACAAGTGCTTCAACATCCCTCACCCCTCACTATCACTTGTATTGTGCTCCCACCACAATGTCTATAGTTTGTATTTCTTGTGCTTTGTAGTTGGCACATCAAGTACGGTATACTTCTTGATGCCTTTAGTCACTTAGAGCTAGCATATTAGCATTAGCATAGAGATGTGTAGGCATAATTTGGCTTGTACGTAGGCAAATGTACAATATACTGTAGGAAATTATATGGGCGATATGAACTTACAGTTTCTTTTATTGTGAGTTGTTGCAGAAAACTGAGATTACAAATAATGATAATGTTCATGGAAATACAAAGCAAAAATTGGCTACAGTTGATCTAGAATCTTGCACGAAAATCAGGAGAATCTACAACTTTGCAGTTGTATATATTATCTTCTGTTTAGCACGCAAAATAGTAAATGTACAGCTCCGCGCTAAACTCTATTGCAATTATTGCTTCTCATTCAGTGGTTTATTGTCTGCTCGCTCCAGCATCAAAGCGAGGCGCCAGTGTTTCGTGGTCTAGGACATATATAAGGACATGGCGCCTCAGCTTCAGAATCCGTCTGCTGGAGAATGTCGACTAGCCCTGCTAGTGATATTGCTAAGGCAGGAGCTACGGTTCAGGGCTGGATCTCTCGCCTGGTGAAGAAGCCAGACATTTCTGCTTCACCAGGCGAAGATCAGGCCAGCAACGATCAGGTGGCAAAGTGAGTGCATCCATTTTGTCATCGATTCCCATTTTATCGTAGTAACTGGCCTGACCATGAGTAATTGGTCCGGCGCAGAACCATCAAGGACCTCCAGGCAGTCAGTATCACTCCTTCCGGAAAGGAGGAGTCGAGAATCAGAGAGCGTGTTCCTCGCAAGGCGAGTCATCAGTGTCGCTCTTTGAGAACACATTATGAGGACGTTAACCGGTTTTGAGAGCCCTAACTGGTTTTGATGACGTGCAGATCAATATTCTGGGAGATGCGTATTCAAGTGGACCCTGGAGATGTCTCGACGATTTCATCCAGAGGAAGGAGGTCGCAAAAGGACGGTGCGTGTTCTTTTTGTTTGTTTTGAGTCTTTATTTTACCGCCATCTGGTTTAACCTTTGCTTACCCTTTGCATGTGCTGACCGTACAGAGGCTGCATAATAGTTTCTGCCATTGCTACCAACGTTTACCAACGCGTTGCTATTAAGGCTTACGAAAGAAGCCAGATCAACGAGGGTACCATTGTTCACATCCGAAGGGAGGCATCTCTTATCAAGGGATTGAGGTAAGTCTACTAGTCTAATGCACGTCTGGAAAGTCTAATTCATTGTTCATTAACATCATTGCGTTCAGGCATGAGGCGATCTGCCAGCTTTACGGATCTTTTGAAGATTCGAAGTATGTGTACATTGTGATGGAGCTGTGCTCTCAAGGGGATTTGATGGAGTTTTTAAATGGTCCCCGGGGAGTTCGTCGGTTGACTGAGGAGCGAGCTGTGCAAACGGTAACCCGTTGACTAGTTCAGTCATTGTTGAAAAGCTGTCCTTGACTGGAGACTTCTTGCAGGTTTTGCTCCCTCTGTTGCAAGCGCTTCAGCTTCTTCATGGAAAAGGAATCGTTCATCGAGACATAAAGCCAGAGAATCTGTTCATGTCCAAGAGTGTTGCGAAGCTTGGGGACTTCGGGCTCGCCATCAACCAACGACTGGAGCCACCGATGTCGCAGCTAGGTACTCTGGATTATATGGCCCCAGAAGTCTTCAGGAGGCCGGGGGAAACTAGTGGAAGGAGGCAAGCACTTTACGACGAAAAGGTTGACATATGGTAAGATGGATTGTTTTTTACCTTAACCAGAAAGAAAGGAAGTATCACTTACACTTGCTTGTTTCTCGTAGGGCATGTGGCGTGCTGTCGTACGAAGTCGTAACTGGAGAGCCACCCTTCAATGCTGGCAAGAATGGAAGCCTTACCAAGGATTTGATTCAGAGAGCTGCCGTTCCAATTGCTGGAGTTTGGCCTCATCGTGTTTCACCAGAGCTTGCGGATTTCATCAAGCAGGTAGGAAAGGGATGCAGTTTTCCCGTTTTATGATGAGCTCAACTCATATACCCCCCGTGAGCAGACTCTTCAGAAGGATCCCCGTCATCGACCATCAGCTGAGGATCTTCTGTCTCACCCTTGGATCTTGAAGCACCTTCCCACGTCCATTGAGGCTGTTAGTCCTCCCATATCGATCTCCGCTAACACGTCAACAAAGCATCCAGTTCACCATCCATCGCATGTGCCAGCAGTACCAGCGAAGACCATGCTTGCGAAGAGCTGCCCAGATTCTGTCTACTACAGTAAGGCGCCTCAAAAGCAAGGTCCCGCAGTTGGGATCGCCACCGGTGTGCAAGCAGGTTGTGTTGCTGGCTCTGTCAGCAGTAAGTCCAAGGCACTTCCGAGCGTGGTTGAAGAAGGTGATGGGTGCCAAGAGTGTGATGAGTCTACGATACGTGATGGCCTGACTCCCGTTCCAGAACATCAGCCTCTGCATTCCCTGCCAAAGCTGGAGAAGGATGGGTCGTTCGAAAGGATGCTTCATGCCAGTGGTATCAAGGCCAAGACGGGGCATGGCACTATGAAAGTTATAGCTGACACAACGACCCCATCATCTCCACAGTCTCCTGGTACCCCAAGCCCTACATACACGCCGAAGGGAGTGACTGATAAATGGCAAAGCCTGGAGCATGGCAGTATCAAGAAGTGAGTTCCTCTAAGTCTGTCAGCATGTCACTTTGGTCTATCTGATTGCACTCTTAACGTTGTTAGCCATTCCAGGTCTCTGTTCTCAAGTGAGATGATGGAACATGCCAAGCCATACCAGGTGGGAACAGGCCCACTCAGCGGTGGTGATATGAAAGCTGAATGGTGCTCCCTCTTGCCACCTTCAATGCGCTGAACAGAACCTACCAGTTGGCACAGAGCAGTCGCCATTCGCCATCCCCACATCTCTAATAAGACCAGTCACCTAGACTGGTTGAATGGATGCTTGCCACCATGTCCTACTCAACAATGTGAATAAGGTTAAGCAGCCATGCATTGTGTGAAAGATTGTTTGTTCCATACAAATATTTGCAATTTCATTGACAATATGGTAAAAAAACTGTACATTTCATTCAGTACAATCTAAGACCTAAAGAACAAAACGCAAACTCTTTCTAATACCGGAGGTGTTGGGAATGGGGAAACATGGACACTTGTACCATATCCTGCTGCGCGGTTTCTCTATGTCCATGTTGCGCACCTAGGTCATTCAAATCGCGATAGACTAGGTGTGAGGACTTTCCGTATGCTGAGCAGCGCAGCAACAGGCGCGGTTCCAAGGATAACTAGCATAAAGCTGATATGGATGCTTTCCTGATTATGACGTAACTTGAGACTTGCTTTTTTTTTTTTTAACGTCGCCTGTAGTACGAACGTCGCCTGCATGTGACTGTCCGCGAAAAACCGCGAAATTTGAAGCTTCAAACAGGCGCAGCAGCTCAAGGTACTTGCACCAGCGTTTCATCTTCGAGTGGGAGTAGTACACATCCGCATAACGCTCCGCCGCAACTCGACATCGCCAGAATTATTTCCAGTTGACTCCCTATTTGTTCGCCATTGTCGTCAGCATGACGATGGGAGTGTTTGGGGGTCGGGGAGTGGGATTCGGTACGTTACTTACTGCTGATTTACATGTTTGCCGCCAGATGCTGACTGGTTCTCATTTTGGTTCTACCTGTTTCTCCACTGCCTACGTCACCTTCTATTCCTGTACATCTGTCCACTTTCCCGCTCGTCACCCCACTTGTCCAAGTTTCACTTGTTTCCCGCTTGCTGCTCACCCACCTGCTTGCGTGCGTGCCTGGCTGCCCCCTTCCCCTCCAACACCGCCCATCTGCACCTTTCTCCTTCTCGTCCTAACTCTTCATCCTTTCCTTTTTTGGCACCTGTAGCATACCTGCGTTCTTTTTGCCGTTTCCTCGCCCCTGGCTCCTTCGACTGGCTCCCTGGATTCGTCCTCTCTTGTCTGCCTCCTGCTCCTTCGTGGCACCATTAAACCCCATCTTCTCTCTCTCTCCCACCATACTTCTATCCCTCTATTTGCATATCTGTCTATCTATCATTCCATCTATTTAGTTATTTATTTTTTCATATACTTATCCATCCACCCATCCATCCTCTCTCTCTCCCCCTCCTCTTCCCCCCCAACTCCCTCCCCCCCTCCCCCACCTCCCGCCCCCTTTGTGTGTGTGCGTGTGTGTGGCAGGATTTGGTGCCGGATGTGGCTTTGGCGTTGGTTGGGGGTTTGGAGGTACGCAGTCCCAGCCCTGACTTATCAACCTGTATCCTGTGTGCTCCTCTATGTTTCTGGTTTCACCATCGAGTCTGAGTTCCTTACCTTTTCCAGCTGTACCCTGCATTGCCCTCTCGCTTAGAATGCGCATTGCTATGTGACTGCATACTTCCTGTTCGCTCCACAATGTGACAATAGATGTGCATGCTATTAATGATGTGAGCCATTGACTCGTTACAGCATGTGTTTGTGAGGTAGCGTCTGTACCTTTGAGCTCACTCTGGCCTTTGCCATGTTGCGTCCTCATCTGCCATCGCAGGAGCACCAATAAACTCGCTGGGCATGGGAATCGGTATGTTGTCTCTTCCCTTTTTAGGAGATCTCCTGTAAACTGGCATGACTAGTCTTGTTATTTTTCTAGTGGCTTGTTAGCTGCGCTCGAAGACACTTGAAGTCGATTCTACTTGCAGACTAATGCACATGATTGATCACATTGCTTCCTGTCCATGTGTCCTTCTGCCTCTCCCATCCCATGCCACTCCGTCTTCCGTCCATGCGTATAACTGTACCCGTTTGCCTGAGTAACCCTCCCAACCTCCCTGACCCTTGCCAGGCGGTGGCTGTGGCGTGGGGTTGGGCATGGGGTGGGGCTTTGGCTTTGCGTACGGGGCACGGTACATTGAGTCGCGCCCGCGCTTCCAGGGGGTGGACTTTGCGCGGTTGAGGGACGTGGTGCACCCCAAGCTGCACACTGCAGGGCAGGGGCAGGCTGGGGATGATGGTGGGTGAGATGACTGAGTGCTGGTTGGCTGATGAGGGGCTCATGAGGAGCTGATGGGGGGTGGTGGGGGGTGGGGTTTGATGTCAATGGCACGCACAGGGCACGCTTTGGGTCTGTGTTCAACGGAGGCAGGGTGAGGTGTGTTTGGAGGCCTAGCTTTGATGGATTGTCATGCTGGTCGCTGATGCTGAACTCATCATTCTTGTGTGCGGGTTCAAGGTTGTTCACTTGATATTTTTCAGTTGTGTATATATTGTGCAATCAGGGGTGTGAAATCTTCAGTCATAAGCAACTAAATTAACACCCTACCTTACTAAGGGCTGAACCAATGTAGCCCTGTATTCTATCCTTGCCATCGGATACAGTATCTCACAGGGTTTTGTCATGTACACTCAAACCCATGAAGCATGCGAAATGCAAGATTTGCAAGCAGACTAATAAGCTAGAGCAGGCCTACAGACATCTACAGCAACCTAGTGCTGATTCATATCACTTGCATCACACGCAAGCTCGCTCAAAGCAAACGAGGTGCACATTGTACCTGCATTGAGTGATGCATTCACCTTGCTCACCAAGCAGACCCTGGGATTCGAACATGCAGCACTTTTGACTTCAGGAACTGCACTGAATCCCCAAGTAGAGTGCAGGACCACATTCCACCCCTCTGCACTGTGGCATGGAAGTAATCCGGCATTGTATAGCGGGATGGGTCTTGGAGGCAGGTGCATGGTAGGAGTAAGAAGGGGTAAGGCCCAAGGGGTAGTGGGGGGAGTGATGGCGCATGTGTGCTGCGAGGATGGCATGTGGTGGTGAGAGGAGGAATCTTGGGATTGGGACTGCTGGTACTACAGTGATTGCGTCGCGTTCAGAGAGCCCTGGGAGCATGACGGTGCGGCGAATAGGCTGGCATGCGATGGGGCGGCGAGGTGCTGTATGGATGGCAGCATGGAACGACCTTGGTGATGGGCTGCTGCTCAACTCGGCCTCTTGGTCACACGACGCTTGCAGTGGGGCCAGCCACAGGCATCGGCGTATTGGTCACAGAAACAGGTGATTTCAGCGAGAGGCGTTGGTGTGGATGGGTCATGCAAGGGGTGTGGGTGGCTCCCACACGCGCAGCACTCCCGACCGAGCGCCCGTGCAGATGCGTCCGCGGTCCACATCGCATGCTGCATGTCGTATCTGCAGGGCACACAGGGCACAGCGGGCATGCAGCACAGAGTGCAGGGGGGTTGTGCACAACAATGTTGAGAATCCACATGGCAGGGCACGACACGTGGGTGGAGATAGTAGTGGAGTGAGGGCGCATGACACGTGGGCGTGTTTAAGCATGCACGGGCACGCAGCAGCACATGTGCCGCTTGCCCCCACTGCTCTGCTTGGTGAGGTGAGGCACGGCAAAAAGCACCCAGGCGCACATGTGACATGGCAGGGCGCAGCACATGTGGGAGGACAGCACTCACGAGGTCGGGGGCGCGGTTGAGGTGTCTGGCGAGCTGCCAGTCCGTCATCACCCCCACGCTGCCCACGTAGCCGCGCGCGCCGTTGCTCATGCTGCCCGGCCCGCCTAAGGGGCTCAGCGAAGGCGAGGAGCGGTCAGCGAAGGGGCGGTGAAGCAGGGAGAGCGAGTCGTCCTCCGCTGCCATGGTGACGTAGCGGTCCGAGGCCCGCACCGCCACTATGGGCGCCGTGTGGTTGGTCAGCGTCTTCACACACCGCGGCTGCACCCCTGTGATGGGCAGTGCAGGACAGGGCAGGGCAGGGCAGGGCAGTGAGGAAAGGGAGAGAAGGGAGAGGTGAGTGGTGGAAGGGGCGGTGCCAGCAGAGAAAGGGGGTCGTCCTCCGCTGACCATGGGCGCTGCCACTATGGGCGCCGTGTGGTTGGTGAGTGTCTTCACACACCGCAGCTGCACCCCTGTTGTGGGCAGCACAGGGCAGGGAAGCCAGGAGGTGCGCACGAGGGCAGGAGAGAAGAGGAAGAGGGAGAGGTGAGCGGTGGCATGGGTGGATGACATGTGCGAGGCGGAGCAAGGGCTTCACATGCAGCGCCTTCACGTGACCACCTTCTCATCTTCAGTGAGTAAGTGACGTGATGAGTGTGCTTGTGGGATCAGTCATGAGCAGCTCAACATCCCCGCCTTGCACCCCGCCTCGCCTCCTCTGCCCCAATTGGAACCGGTACCTGCGCCATGCCGTGCCGTGCACTCACCATCACCGCGGTCCCAGAGGCGCACGGTGCAGTCAGCCGAGCCGGTGATGAAGCCACGTGACGCCGTGACGTAGTCCACGGCGGTGACGGGCCCCGCATGGCACGCCACCGTCGCCTCACACTCGCCGTCGTTCAGCGTCCACACCCTCGCCGTCCAGTCGTCACTGCCCGTCACCACCACATCCCCCGCCACCCGCACCGCCCTGCACCGCATGGCACCGGTGTGGGGAGGAGGGGGTGAAGGAGGTGCGGGGAGGTGGCAGGGAAGGGCACATAAGAATACGGGGGTTGGACAGGTTGAGGATTGGGAAAGGGCATGCGGATGGGGCTATGGGCTGGGAGGGGGGCGAGATGAGCAAGTGTACGGCACGACGACCTAATTCAACAATCATCACGCAGAATTGAATGATCCACATCTGGAATAAAAACTTTGCGTACCCACCCGAACACCTACCTGACCCAGGTGCCACCTACCTGACCCAGTTGGTGTGGCCTTCTAGTTGGAACCGCTCCTTGCCTGCCCGCACGTCCCACACATAGCAGATGCTGCCAGGCAGGAAGCAAGGGGAGAGCAACACAGAGAGGGGGGGGTAGATGTTAGAAAATATATATTGTAGCATGCCAACACTTGTGACTGTACACCAATTGTGGTGTACAGTTGGGTTGGGACTACACCCAACTTTGGGTGTAGTCTTGCATTGTGGGGTGCCAATCCACCCAATTGTGGTGGAGCCCCCAAATGCAACCTCCTTGGCTTGAGGTTGCCTCACTTCCCACAAGTGAGGCCAACCCAACCCAAGTGAGCCTAAAGGCTACCTCACTTCCACAAGAGTGTGCCCAACCCAACCTACTTGACCTAGGGTTGCCTCACTCCCCAAAGTGAGGCCAACCCAACCTATGGTCAACTCCACCCTTCCCTTCCAAGCTTCTCTTCCATCTATGTATGCTAGTTTCTACCCTAATGAATTCAATGGTTCAATCTAAAACTTTCACAGTAGAGAGGTGAAAACGGCAAGGAGGCTTGTTCCACACCTGCTTGCTCCCCTCATGCCCTGTTCACACCCTACCACCGTCATCCACCAACCCCCACCGTCATCCACCAACCCCCACCGTCATCCACCAACCCCCACCGTCATCAACCAACCCCCACCGTCATCCACCAACCCCCACCGTCATCCACCAACCCCCACCGTCATCCACCAACCCCCACCGTCATCCACCAACCCCCACCGTCATCCACCAACCCCCATTCTGCTCGCACCATCCACCCCCCCTCACACCATCCTCCCTGTCCTTACTCACTCATCCTCACCCCTCCCATCCGCCCTCCGCTCCTCCACCTCCCCCTCTCACCCCTGGGTGCCAGCGGCCACAAGGATGCCGGCGTGGTCGAGGTAGTCGAGAGAGAGGATCATGTGGGGCGAGGGGCACGTGAAGAGCGTGCTGGCGATGTGGTCCGTGCGCGTGTCCCACAGGTTCACCTGCCCCTCCCTGCCCGCCGTCACCACACTGCCCTTGTTCAGCCCCGGCAGCATGCGCAGCGCTATGATCTGCAGGGGAGCGCGGGGAGGAAAGGACCCGGAGGGGAAGTGATGCGACATGGGGAGGGGTGGGACAGAATAGTGTGGGATTGTGAATTAGGAGAGACCAGTGTGGGGATGCGGGTGCATGTGCCAGGAGCACGAGGTGCAGACAGACAGTGCAGTACCGAGCAGCAGCACACAGCCAACCCTACCCACTCCTGTTCACCCCTACCCACCCGTACCATCCAAGCGGCCCAATACACCACCACCTGCCCTGCTTGTCCCCGCCATGCTTCAACCCCCTGCTCTCACTGCACACCCCACAGCGCCCAGCGGGGGGCGGGGCGGGGTGGGCGGGCCAGGTGTGGGAATCCTCAAGAGTGAGTCTATGCGTACACTTTGGTGGTGGCCGCGCAGGTCCGCCAGCATGCGTGCGGTGGCCTTGTCAAACACGAGCAGGCGCTTGTCGTCGCCGCCTGACAGCACCCTCGTGGCGTCCGACCCCACACACCGCACCGGGCTGGGAGGGAGGCGGAGGAGGGCGCAGAAAGAAAGTGATGAGAGAGGCGTGGAAGGGAGGCAGGGTGGGTGGAGGGGGTGGCATGGGAGGAGGAAGCTGGCTGCAGAAGCAGTACGGAGAGCAGCGCTGCACACTTGGCTCTTCATGCCACACCACTCAGCACCGCGCCTCACCCAGTGTGGCCGTGCATGGTGGCGCGCAGCTCATCCCCCCGCGTGCTGGGGTCCCACAGCTTTACACTCGTATCGCAGCTGCCGCTCACAAAGTACCCCGCGCCGTCCTCGCCGTCCGGCAGCAGGTCGCCCAGCTCGCTGCGCGTGCCCGCGTGGAGCGCTGTGATTGGCTGCTTGTGGCCCCGGAGAACGCGCACCCCGGTGGCGCCCCTCCCCTGCGCGTGCGAGTGGCGCAGCGACTTGGATGCTGTCACCCCCGGCCGCTCCTTGCCACCCTCCGAGTCAAACACTGCGCTCCACGGAAGAGGGGTGGGGTCAGGGAGAGGGTGTGTGGGTGCGGGAGGGGAGGAGAGAAGGGCGTGAGAAGATGAGGAGAGAGAGGAGAGTGGGCAGATGCCAAGAGGCGGGCAGACATCCTGTGCTCTCATGCTCTCACACACACATGCTGCACGCGGCAGCAACGCCACACAGCACTCCTGCCAGCGCTTCTGGGTTCACCCGAAAGCCCGAAGAATAAAAACTCCTGCTGGAAACCATCCCGCCCCCCGCTCCTCTGCCCTCCTCCCTTCCCCCTGCCAACGCACCTCCAATGCGCTGAGACCCGCCCCCGCCCTGCAGCAGTTTGTCCTGCTGCTGCTTCTGGAAGTTGCCCAGGTTCAGGTTCCCCAGCGTGCTCATCCACCGCCCCGCCGCCGTCCCCAGTGCTGTCGTCAGCTGGCTCTCGCCGCCCGCCCCGCCGCCGCCCGCGCCCTCACCGCCGCCCTCCTCAACGGTGCCCGGGGTGGCGTGGGTGTGGCGGGCGAAGGTGGCGGAGAAGAGAGGCGAGGTGGGCGAGAGTGGGTAGTACTGCCACGCGCGCTGCAGCAACGCCAGCTGGCCTCGCAGCACTATCTGGCACGCACGCACAGCCAGGGGAGAGCAGGCAGGGAGGGAGGAGGGAGGGAGCGAGGATACGGGGACGAAGTGAGTGAGCCATGGCATGGGAGTGCGGCGGAGCGGGGAAGAAGTGGGAGATGAGCAAAATCCATGGCAGAAGCAACACTTGATCCCGATACATGGACGTGAAGTAGTTGTGAGAGCGGCCGAGGGTGATCCCACTGCCCTCTCCTATGTATACCCGTGTTCCATTCCATGGCATCAGTCCTTCGCCTCATTCCTTCATTCTTCCCTGCCAGCACCACACCTGGCGTTTGAGGCTGAGCAGCGCACCTGGCGTTTGAGGCTGAGCAGCGCACCTGGCGTTTGAGGCTGAGCAGCGCACCTGGCGTTTGAGGCTGAGCAGCGCACCTGGCGTTTGAGGCTGAGCAGCGCACCTGGCGTTTGAGGCTGAGGCGGCTGGAGAGCACCTCGAGCATGGCCCACGCGTCCCCGTCCACCAGCCCCATCTCCGCCTGCCCTCCCCCGTGCACCGGTAGGGCAGGACGGGTGCGTGGGGGAGAGGAATTGGGAGGGGCGAGGAAGAGACAAGTTGAAAACTGGGGTGAGAAATGGCACGATGCGAGATGGCACGATGAGGTGGCATGATGAGATGGCACGATGAGGTGGCATGATGAGATGGCATGATGAGATGGCATGATGCGAGAAGTCGAGGGAAGGCGGGGCGAGGTGAGAGCAACGATGAGAGGAGCGTGAGAGGAGCGTGAGAGGAGCGTGAGAGGAGCGTGAGAGGAGCTGTGGCGACGGGCAGGGGAGAGGAGGGGAGGGGAGGGGAGGGGAGGGGAGGGGAGGGGAGCAGAGGGGAGGGGAAGGGAGGGGCTGACCATGACTTGGGCGAGGCCCCCCAGCAGCTGCTGCACCAGATCCGCCACCTTGCCCTCACTGATTGGTGCCATTGGGGGGGGGAGCGATGCAGCCATGCACCCATATCCACACATGCAAGCATATCCACACACGCAAGCATGTACACATGCACACATGCACCCATATCCACACACGCAAGCATATCCATATGCAACCGCACACATGCACACACAGATGCAAGCAGCAGAGGATGCAGGGATGGATGCAATGAGCACAGCACAGCTCGTTTGAGAGCGTGGCGAGAGCAGAGTGCGGTTGAAAGAGCAGAGTGCGGTTGAAAGAGCAGAGTGCGGTTGAAAGAGCAGAGTGCGGTTGAAAGAGCAGAGTGCGGTTGAAAGAGCAGAGTGCGGTTGAAAGAGCAGAGTGCGGTTGAAAGAGCAGGATGTGCGTGAAGGCAAGGGGAGGGGACGGGGAGGCGAGGACAGGGAAGGAAAACGAAGCAACGAGATGGGGAGAGAAGGGGCGGATACACGGAATAACGGAGGGCTAGGGGGGTGCTAATGATGAGAGCATGCAGGGTTGGGGGGGGGGGGCAACAGGGTACGTGGGAAGCAGGGAGAGCAGGGCGCGGGTGAGGGCGAGGGGGTAGTGAAGGGCGTACAAGTCGGGGTTGACTTCCAGCTGCGTGTCGTGATACGTCTTCCAGAACCTGCCCGCCCACCCCAGTGCGGTGACGCGTGGTGGGACGCGGTGGGGGAGGGAGAAAAGGTGTGAGAATTGAACGGCATGGAAGGTGGTGGGAGTGTGAGGCAAGAGGGTGCGACATGGTGAAGAGGCAGGCAAGCAGCATCGGGTGGCAATTGCTGTGTGGCATACGCCACGTGGTGGCAGGAGTGTGAGTGGCCTGAGAAGAGAGGGAGAATGAGAGCATGCATGGATGAGGCCCCATCACGGGCGGAGCACATGGGAGACAGAGCGAGAAAAGCAGCAGCAAGACCACCGTGGGATGCCAGTTGACAAAATATGCTGCAGAAAAGATGAACGCGTGTGCGAGGGGTGTGGGGCAGCACCGGAAGTCCTTCCAGATGGGCAGGGCGCCGATGTGTCGGAGCACGGTGTCCTTGTGGCCCGCACCGTCCCTCTGGTGCACCGCCCCCGCCAGCTCCAACGCTGCCAGCACCGACTGCATGTCACTGCGCATGGCGGCCCGTGATATTGATAGCACCACCTGGGGGGAGGAGGAGGGGAAGGAGGGGATGGTGGAGGGGAGAAGAGGGGGGGACTTTTGAGTCAGCTCAAAAGTCACCTCGCTGGCAGCACCAACTGCATGTCACTGCGCTTGGCGGCGCGGTATATCGACAGCACCACCTGGAGGGGTGGTGGGGAGCGGGGTGGGCCGATTATGTTGGGATGCAAGGGGAGGGGAGGGAGTACTACTGTTGCAAGCAGAGAGTGCGCGAGTGGGAGACATGAGATGAAAGTGGGAGCGGGGAGGAAGGGCATGCAGGGAGGGATGCATAGCTGCCTTGTGCTGCTTTTCACGCGTTCATTCACATGCCACACAGCCCATCCCTTTTCATCCCCGTCTTATCCCCCCTCTTCGCCCCTCATCTCCCTGCCCTTCCCCTCCCCCCTGCCACCCATTCCCCGGCACCACTGGAGGCAGAGCCCCACGCCCTCACCAGCTCGCGCACAGCCACAAAGAGGTCCGCCTTGAGCTCGCCTCCCCACGCCTGCACGCTCACACATGGGCAACCAGCAGAGAACGCACACAGAAGGCAGAGTGGCACAGGGGAGAGGAGACAGCAGGGCAGCAGCAGAGGATGGGCCAGAGCGAAGGGGTGCAGGCGGGGAGGAGCGCGGTAGAGGAGGGGAGAAAAAGGTGAGGAGAGTGAACGTGGGAGGGAGGGGAAGGGCGTGAGCATGGGAACGGGAAGAGTTTGCGAGGCAGTAAGCCTCCGCATGGCATGCAGGAGCAGGTGTACATCGCTCGTTGAATGTACTCGTTTATGCTTTGGTTATGCTGCCCCTTCTGGCCTGCAGTGCCGCCCACCTTGGACTGCAGTTTGTCCTGTAGCACCTCCATGAAGCCAGAGCTCCCCACTCCATCCTCGTCCTCCATCATCGCTGCCATGCCACACAGGTGTGCAGTGCGGTATGGTGCGGTGAGGATGAGCGAGTGTGGCAAGGGCGGAGAAGGATGGGATGGCGAGGAGCACAACGAGGGATGTGGGGCAGTATGGGGGCATATGAGTATGCGGGCATGGGGGGTATGGGGGCATATGAGTATGCGGGCATGGGGGGTATGGGGGCATATGAGTATGCGGGCATGGGGGGTATGGGGGCATATGAGTATGCGGGCATGGGGGGTATGGGGGCATATGAGTATGCGGGCATGGGGGGTATGGGGGCATATGAGTATGCGGGCATGGGGGGTATGGGGGCATGAAGTGAGAAATGGTGAAAGTGACACAGGCAGGGACATGGCAGGAGGAGGACAAGCAAGGGGGTCCAACGGAAGAGGCAGGTCATGACAAGCGGTGAGAGAGGGGAGGGGAGGAAGCGAATGGAGGTGCGAGTGCAGCAAGTGAAGGCGCCAGTGACAGTATGGTGCGGGGAAGACAATGCTGCAGTGAGTAGTGCTCATGACGACCTTGCTCCTGCTGCTTCTGCATTGACATGCCCCGCTGCCCCCACGCAACATCTCACCATAAATCGTCCCGTATTCCCGTGACGACAGCGGCTCCTCGTCGGGCGGCAGCGCCAGCAGCTGGTCCCATAGCTTCTGCTCCCCGGAGTAGGCAAGGGGTAGGGGGAAGGGCGCAGGGCGCAGAGGGGCAGGGGGAAGGGGGAAGGGCGCAGGGGGAAGGGCGTAGGGGGCAAAGGGGAAGGGTGCAGGGAGGCAGGGAGCAGCGGGGGGGAGGGCAAGGGAACGTAGAAGGCACAGGCAGTGAGGCAGCAGCAGGGATGTGCAGAAGAGTATGTGTCGAGCAAGTAGCGTGACGGACAACAAGGCATGCATGGCATGGCGCATGGGCAGGTGGGCAGGGGCGCGAGGGAGTGAAGCAACCGAGAGCAGAGCAGTGGGGTGGGAGCCAGGGGGAGAGAGAGAGGGAGCAGCGGGGCACTCACGGAGAACTTGCCCTTGATGGCGCCCACCATGGCATCCCGCTCCTGGTGGGGCGAGGGGGAGGGGAAATGCAGGAAAACAGGGGCAGTTGAGAGTGGCACAGTGAACGAAAAAAGGGGGAAAGCGAGGGGGTATGCTGAGTGGGTGAGGGGGGAGGAAGCGGAATGAGAGGTGATGAGGGGGAGAGGGGAGGGAGGCGGAGGAAGGGTGCGATGGCGGAAGCAAGGGCGACCACGAGGAGCGAATGAGCGGTGCAGCAACGGTGGCAGTAGCCATGAGCGTGGTTGCTTGAAGAATCCGTTGCTGGGAAAAAGCAGACTGGAAGGCAATGTGATGCCTCCCTCCAACCACCCCACACCGCTTTCCCCCTCCACACCTCCTGCTCGCGCAGTCTGTTGGTGCCGCGGCTCCTCTCCTCCAGCACCACCGCCTCCTCCACATCCGAACTGCCTCCCACCCCGCCCATGCCCACACAGCATGTAAAGAGGGGAGCCCGGGACGACCGGGGCGGAGAAGAGGGACACAATGAGGGGGAAGAGTGGCAGTTGAGTGACGGCAGACCAAGGAAGGTGCAAGGGAAGGAGTGAAGGCGATGCAAGGAAGGTGCGGGGAGGATAATGGTGAGCAGTGTGTGTGTGGTGGCGAGGTGAGAGGTGGCGAGGTGAGAGGTGGGACGAGGAGCAAGGACTCAAGATTGACGTGCCCTGCCCTCCCCACCCCACCCCCTCACAACTGCTACGCCCACTCCCCCTCCAACCTGCCCCTGACGTTTCCCCCAGCACCACCCCTGCATGCACTGCACGTCACCACCCACGCACTGCTGTGCAATGTCCCACTTGCACGCCCGGCACCTCCCCACACGGCACGCCCCACTGTGCTGCTTCACATCTGCCACGGCCGCCTCATCACACACCGCACAGCACCGCAGCTCACCTGACGACGCGGCGCGCCTCGGAGTTGTGTTGGGCGTCGGCGGCGAGGCGCACCTGCTGCAGGAACTCGTAGCGCCGCTGCTTCTCCTCCGCACTGCGCTCCAACGATGGGAACGCCCGGTGTGTGTACCGCCCCCCCGCCCGCTCTGCCATGGTGGGGAGAATGGAACGGGGTGGGGAGCGACGGAGCGTGTTAGGAGCGGCACAGAGGGATTTTGTGGGCGTCTCAAAAACTGCTTCTCCTCCGCACTGCGGTCCAATGAGGGAGCACCCGGTGCGATGCGAGTACCGCACCCCTGCCCGCTCTGCCATGGGGAGAGAGCATGCAAGGCAGAATAGAATAGCGCGGGAAGGAGGTGTGCTTGGAGCCCGAAGGAGGTGCGGTGCGGTGGTGTAGAAGGGAAGGGTTTCCAAGGGGAAGGTGTGGCGGGCGACAACTGGTTGCTCTCTCAGAGCACATGAGCCGTCACCACTGCAGCCTACTGCCTGCTGCCTACTGCCTGCTGCCTACTGCCTACTGCCTACTGCCTGCTGCCTACTGCCTACTGCCTGCTGCCTACTGCCTGCTGCCTTGCCCGCCACACCCCCCAACTGCACGGAAACACCCTCCAGTCCAGGGGCACAGGCGCGCACCTTTAGGCGTGGGAGGCGGCACGGTGACAATCTCGGGCGCGCCGTCATCATCAGCGAGGTCAACAGACGCCATGGCGGGGCCGGTGGCGATGTCAAGCGCCTCCAGCTCCACCAGCGCACGGTCAAAGAATGACGCCACCCCGCTGCTGCTGCCGTCCAGGAACTGCTGCCAGCACTGCGTGTGCAGCAGCTGCGATATCTGCAGCCGTGCATGCGGGGGGGGGGACGTGGAGGAACGGGCGTGCAGTGGGGTGGGGTGTGAGCCGGGAGCCCAGCATGTAAATACTTTTGAGAATTCTCAAAAAGGGGCCCAGCATGTGTCTTGTGGATGGCAGTGGCGCCTGGGAGCAGGTGGCAGCGCTGGATGAGGCAATGCAACGCACAGTCCATGGGCGTGCCATGTGCCCTCATAGAACCTCTTCCCCTGTCCCCCCGCCACCCACTCACGAGGGGCTCGTCGGTGTTGCCGGTGACCTTAGCTCGCTTGCGGAAGAAGCTGGCCTTGTTGAACGTCGACTTGACGTGGCCCGACGGCTCCACCACCTTGTCCTGCACGGCCACAGCACAGGGGGCGACGGCGGGATGGGATGAGGGGAGAGAGGGTCACTTTTGAGACGTCTCAAAATGGAATTGACGTGCGCCGATGGCTCCACCAGAGAGCACAGAGGGAGAGGGGGGCAAGGGGGTAGCGGGTGTGGCGGGGGTGAACAGAGAGGCGGAGTGGGGAGACGAAGTGCGCAGATGCAGCTGACACAGCCCAGTGGGCGCCGTGCAGCTGACACAGCCCAGTGGGCGCCGTGCAGCAAATGAGTATGCAGCACACGAGCATGGAACACGCATGCGGCAGCATGGGAGGCGGTTATGCAGGGTATAGCGCCGCCGGCATGGCTTGAGCAACCAACACGGCAACCAGAAGAAACAGCTCCATACCACATGGCACCGCGTGGCACTGCAGCAACTGCATGGCACCTCATCATACTGCATGGCACCCCATCATACTGCATGGCACCCCATCATACTGCATGGCACCCCATCATACTGCACAACACCGCATCACACCGCATCGTACCACGAAATGTCTGTAGCTGCAGAGGATGGAGGCGAAGAAGCGAAAGAAGATTAATCTGGCGAGCGGGGCGGGAGGGCAGGGAAGGGAGGGCAGGGAGGGGAGGGCAGGGAGAGGAGGGCAGGGAGGGGAGGGCAGGGAGAGGAGGGCAGGGAGAGGAGGGCAGGGAGGGGAGGGCAGGGAGAGGAGGGCAGGGAGGGGAGGGCAGGGAGAGGAGGGCAGGGAGGGGAGGGCAGGGAGAGGAGGGCAGGGAGGGGAGGGCAGGGAGAGGAGGGCAGGGAGGGGAGGGCAGGGAGAGGAGGGCAGGGAGAGGAGGGCAGGGAGGCAAGAGAGTGAGGAGGCAAGAGGCATCATACATCATCACCTCACCACCATCATACATCATCACCTCACCACCATCATACATCATCACCTCACCACCATCATACATCATCACCTCACCACCATCATACATCATCACCTCACCACCATCATACATCATCACCTCACCACCATCATACATCACCACACAACATCTCTCTTTCCCTTCCCTCTCCCCACCCCCCCCTCACCGGATCGCGCGGTCGTGCAGGCGCCCCCAGGGCCGTCTGAACTTGTGCAGGTCGCAGCTGAAGTCGCGTGTGCGCGCCTGGTCCAACGCCATCAGGTCCGGCGCCACCAGCTGCAGCAACGCCTCCCGAACCTGCAGGCTCGGGTGAGTGAGGGAGGGGATTAATACAGTAGAGGGCGGCAAAATTTGCAACCCTAATTGATCCCCTCACCTTCCTCTCCCCTTACCCCCCAGGGCACGCACCTGCGTGTTCTCGGGCTCGGGCAGCGGGGGAATGGTGTCTCCATCGTCGTCGTAGCCGCTGGTGGTGATGGCGATGCGGTTGGCGTCCAGGTCCACCACCATCACCTGCCATGCACACACAGGGACACACACGCACACACACACACACACACACACACACACACACACACACGACGGGGGCGACAGGGGGAAATGGGGGGGGAGGAAGGTTGGGCGCGCATGGGTGAGCAGCATCACACGACGATGATGGGCGAGTGGGACAGCAGAGGGAAGGTGCATGAGAGTAGGCGTGGGGCCGTCAATGGATCTGCCCCCATCAGATGCTGCCATGCCATGCCATGCCATGCAGGGAGCGTGGCATCCCACGGCATGGCCCGCCATCCACACTGCATGGCCCGCCATCCACACTGCATGGCCCGCCATCCACACTGAACTGCACACAACCCTCCACCCTGAACCTCCGTTCTCCAAACCCTGACCTGTGAACGCTCAAGGGTGGATGCAGGGGGGAGCCCCAAGGCAGAGGTGTGTGACCCGGGGAGTGACCTGACCCTCTCACTCACCCCGCCTGGTAGGTCGTGGTCCGTCCACCGCGTCGGCACGATGCCGAAGAGGAAGCTTCCTGGCATGTGCACGAGCTCCAGCTTGTTGAGTGGCAGCACAGGCGTGTAGGGGTACTGCAGGGGGCAGGGGGGGGCGATGGGGGGATAGGGGGGAGTGAGGGATGGGGGATGCATGCATGCATGTATGTATGTATAATGAATCTATGCATGCATGCATGCATGTAATGTTATGTATGTTATGTAAGTGTGTCCTCCCAAGCACATGCATGGTAGTGCGGTGCAGTGTGCCGGTGCAGTGCGGTGCGGTGCGGTTGCTCACCGCCCACTTGAAGGGGTAGATGAGGTGCGACACCGACTCCGCCACCAGCGTCAGCAGCTCGTACCTGCAGCGCCACACAGGGAGGGTCGTGGCGTGGCAATGAGAAGTGGGAGGGGGATGGGGATGCGCGAGCAGCAGGGAGGCGAGGTCACAGTTGAGAAAGGTGGAGGGCAGGGCAACAGCCGTGGTGCCTTCCCCAGCACGCACCACACCTGGTGGCTTCTCCGAGACTCTCCCAGTGGGTGGGTGTGATGTGCGGGGCTGAGGCGAGGTGGGCGCACTGACTGAGCGGGCGGGCGGGCGGGGCACTCACTGCGTGGCGCGGAGGAGGATGCGCTTCTCGAGCAGCACGGCCGTGACGAGCAGAATGATGTTGTCCACGTCCAGGCTGCGCACCAGCGGGTGGAACGACAACTGGTACGCCCCGCCGTGCCGCCGGTTAGTCGCACCACAGCACACATATGGGAGCACATGGGGGAGCGGCAGGGGAGGAAGCACAATGCATTGAGGTTGAAACGAGCAGAATGACGTTGTCCACATGCAGACTGCGCACCAGCGGTTGGAACGAAAGCTGATAGCACGGTGCCACGCCGTGCGGATGCAGCACACACCACACACACAGGGGAGCACATGGGGGAGTGGCATGGGGGGTAGAATAAGGCAATCAGGTGAAAACGGACGGGGTGGCAGTTTTGTGATGGGAGGGCGGAGAGGAGGTGGAAGCAAGCGAGGGTGGGTGATGCACTGGGATGGGAGTGACTCATCCTGAGAGACCCACCCACCCACCCAAGTGCAGTTCTGCTAAAACAGTCACATCCTCTCACTGCCCATGACCATCACCCCTCCCTCACGATGCCCCATCAAGTCTCACAAACTCCTGTACCCCCATTACGCACACAGGCAGTAGTGGTGCATACCCCCATGCCCTCAGGCAGTAGTGGTGCATACCCCCACGCCCTCAGGCTCCGTCCCCCATGGCTGCATGCCCAGCATCTCCCCATTCACCCCATATCCCCTCTGTGTGCCGCACCTGCACGGCGGGCAGCGTGGCGGGCGGCGGCGCCTCGCAGAAGAGCAGGCACTTCTCCACAGAAAACACCACAGATCGCCGCCCGGGGTCGGGCAGCGGCACTGCTGTCACCAGGTGCTGCACCAGCTCCCACACCGGCTGCCTGTGGGGGGGAGGTGGGGGAGGAGGAGGCAAGAGGTGGATGGATGAGGGGTGGTGGTGCAGCGAGGAGGTGCATACGTGCAGCACAGGGCAATTTTGGGGCCATGTATAGTGGCGCGATGAAGGCACGGCCTGCCCCACCATGGATGATGGACCCCATTTCACCCCTCTCACCCCTCTGCCACCATGTGGTCACCACATTGACCCCACTGACAGACACGCATCCACTGCTGATTGGCCCCGTTGCCTCCACTTGCCCCAATTGACCCCATTTACCCCCCCTCCCTACAGCCTCACGTGCAGCCGGCGGTGCAGAAGCACATGCGGTGGATCTCCTCGAGCGCCCTGCCATTGACCCCGTTGACCCCGTTGACCCCCCATTGACCCCCCCTCCCTACTGCCTCACGTGCAGCCGGCGGTGCAGAAGCACATGCGGTGGATCTCCTCGAGCGCCCTGCCATTGACCCCGTTGACCCCGTTGACCCCCCATTGACCCCCCCTCCCTACTGCCTCACGTGCAGCCGGCGGTGCAGAAGCACATGCGGTGGATCTCCTCGAGCGCCTGGGTGAAGGTGTGGAAGAAGGGCCAGTGGCTGACGAGGCACAGGCACTTGTCCACGTAGTGCGAGGCGGGGATGCCCCACGCCTCCGCCACGTCCTCCTCCACCGGGTCGCGGAACGCCACCACCGTCACATACACCTTCGTCCCCACCGTGTCTGGGCGAGTGGGGGAAGCGGAGAGGGGCGCGCAACAGGAGTGTGAGGCGGGAGGGGAGAGGTTGGTGTGGTGAAGGTGAGTTGTGAGTCGACTCCTCCTCCACCGGGTCCCGGCACGCCACCACCGTCACATACACCTTCGTCCCCACCGTGTCTGGGACACGCGAGGGGGGGGGGAGGGGGGGGGGTGGGGGGGGTGGGGGGGGGGGGGGGGTGGGGGGGATGGGGAGAGGGGGAGTGGCGCGGCGTGGATTGGAGTGAGCAGCACATGGTAGCGCAGGGCCACATGTGCGTGCTGCAGTGCCGTGCAGTGCAGTGCAGTGCCGTGCAGTGCAGTGCAGTGCAGTGCAGTGCAGTGAAGTGCAGTGCAGTGCAGTGCAGTGCAGTGCCGTGCAGTGCCGTGCAGTGCAGTGCATGCAGAGGGACACGGTGACGGGCGTGGATGAGTTTGACGCTGGGAGACTCGTCCTTCAGTGCTCGCTTGATACGCACTTATCATTGGCAACTACTTGGCCTATTTGTGCGGTGGTGGTGTTAATCATTCTCCCTCTCGTACTCTCCGTGCACCCACCTGTGATGACCCACCCACCTGTGATGACCCACCCACCTGTGCTGCCCATGCACCCACCTGTGCTGTCCATGCACGCACCTGTGATGACCATGGGGTAGGAGCGCGGCTGAGTGCTCTTGTCGCCCGAGAACGGCCCTCTCTCGTAGAAGCGCAGCCCCCGCGGCATCACCACCTGCTCGCCCCCCGGGGACAGTGCGTTGCGAGAGGCGAGGGGGAAAGGAGAGCGGACCGGCGGGGAGGGGCGGGGAGGCCAGGGGAGGGGAGGAGGGGCGGAGAGGGGAGGGGAGGGGAGGGGGGGAGAGACGAGGAGAGAGGGAGAGAGGGGAGGTGAGGAGAGGAGAGGGGAGGGGATGGGAAGGGAGGATAGGGGAAGGGAGGGAGGAGAGGGGAGGGGAGGAGAAGAGAGGGGAGGGGAGATGAAGAGGGGGAAGAGAGAAGGCGGGAGGTGGGGGGGGGGGGGGGTTGGGAGTGAAGGGGAAGGGAGGAGAGGAGAGGGGAGCAGAGGAGAGGAGGGGAAAGAAGGTTAAGGGAGGGAGAGAGGAAGGGAGATGAGGAGGGGAGAGAGAGGCGAGGCGAGAAAACACGGGTCTCGAAAGAGGGGATAGAGGGCGGGCGGGTGGGCGGGCGGGCGGGAGAAAGGGAAACAGGGAAAAGCTCGAAGGGAAGGAGCGAGGAAAGAGGTGAGAGGGGGAGGGAGAGAGGGAGGGAGGGAGCGAGTGCGGGAAGGAGGGAGGGAGGGAGGGAGGGAGGGAGGGAGGGAGGGAGGGAGGGAGGGAGGGAGGGAGGGAGTAATAGCAAGAATTGTAGAGTGGGAGGCAGGCGGGGAGCGAGAGAAGAGGGAGTGGGCGAGACACGAGGAGGAGAACCACAGGAAGCCATCGCATGCGGACGGCCGAAGATGGGGTGAGAGGCGAGGGGAATGAAGGGTGGCGAAGAGTGGGAGAGTGGAGTGGTGAACCGCGCGGGGAGGGTTGGGCGCGCAACATGGGCAGGCGGAGGGCGCGCGGAGCGGCGCACCATGGGGAGCCCCTCGGGGACGCCGAATTTCTTGTGCTCCTTGGGCGGGTAGAAGTCGAGCGGCGTCATCTGCGGCTGGTACAGCATGGGGTCGCCGTCGCGCGCCGTGACGCCGTGGAAGCCGCGCTGCCCGTCCATGGTGCGCACCTCCGCGCCCAGCCCGCACACCACGAAGTAGTCGATCAACCGCGTCGACCACCCCGGCAGCGCGCGCGCCGCCGGCTGCTGCTGCTGCTGGTCCGCGCGGTGCTGCTGCAGCGCGTCCGCCGCGGCGTGCGCGCGGTCCTCCGCCTGCAGCACGCCCGCCGACGCCGCTCGGCGGAGGTCCACCTGCCGCCCCCCCGCCTCCTCCGCGGACCCCATGGCGGCGCGCAGGAGGAGTCGTGAGGCACGTCGCTGCCCGCGCGATTACAGCCGTTGCACGCACATGCCAGCGTTAGCACTTGGAATTGTTGACCTACACCGAGGTTCGTGCACCGAGGGCCCAGTATCAACGGTCCTATATCGAGGGTCGTAAATGCGGTCGTAGTTGGAGGGTCTTATATCGGGGTCCCTGTATTAAATGTCCTATACCGAGGGTCGCATACTTAGGGTCTTCAAACAAGGGCCCTACATCAAAGTCGTATAGAGAGAGTCCTATATCGAGAGTCCTATACTGAGGCTCCTAAGTCGATGGTTCCTATACTGAACGTTGCAAAAAATAGGATCTTGTGCTGAGGCTCCTGGAGCGCGGCAAACGTGAAGAGGTAAGTAGCACTCGCGACGGCACCCAGTGCTCACGGCGCCTGTCGAGGGCGATGATTTCCCCACACTACTGCACGGGCGGTGCGCAATCTGAAATCTGCGGCTGGCTCTGCGCGACTCTCGACGTGGGTCCGAAAGATGAGTGAAGACGCACAGGTGGCAGCAACGGTCGTGGCGAGACTTGCGATGGGATGGATGGGATGGCGGGGTCAGAGAAAGGAGAAGTGGCATCAAGGGACAGGAGAGGGTGGGAGAAATCAGCGAGAGGGGAAGCGACGGGCGGGTTACCACAGGGGAGGAGTTGGTCCAGTTCGCCATGACTCGCGAGTGGGCAAAGGAGCGAGGGATTCTTTGGCGAGGGTGCGTGGCGGAAGGCGAGGTTGGCGGAAGCTGAGGGATAGAGGGGCAAATGGCGGAACTAGTCCAGGTTCCGCCAGTCGTTTGGGATCTGTTGGTTCGGTGACCGGTTTGTGTGCGACAAATTCGGCAGGGTCGAGATTGGAAGTGCGAGGGAAGCGACATTGCGAATGTAACACCAGGTTAGGATCTTAAAAGTTCTTAATTATAGACGAGAGTGCTCAAATTACTCTAATTCCCTGGATTTGAGACCCTACGGCCCGCAACCTGATTTACAACCTGGGAAGGGAAGTGTTAACACTTTGGGTCCTGAGCATCTGTTGTTGCCAGATATAACGAAACAACTTCTCCTTACCTCGTGTCACACTGCATACCGCGTGCACGACTGTTCCCGCCACTGTGCACCCAACAGTAGCATGTTACCACCTCGCGACACTCGCCTCTATACTGTTCCCGCCAACACGACCATCGTGTCAGAATGAAGAGGCAGGAATGATTGACTAGATGAATGACAAGAGTACAAGTAGGTCTAACTCTAATGGGTTATACTCAGTACAGTCTACCCCATTACAGCCTAAACAACATACAAGACATTGTGACACACCCCTATAGGCAAAGTGGGGGATAGCGAGAACGACCAGCGGTCACAAGACCAGATAAGCAAAAGAACAAAGCAAAGCAAAGCTCATAGTGGATCTCAAAATCACCATGCAGTCTGAGCAGAAGTAAGCGGCCACAAGGTTAGTTAACATGCAGAATTATAAAAGCACAAGCAGTAGAGTGATCACAACCTAGCAAGAGTAAGCATGCAGGTATAGATATATAGATCACAGTACAAGGCAAAGTCAAGCAGTAAGCAAGTGAGGCAGAGTAGGCACAAGGCCTAGAGCAGTGCAAAACCATCGATGATCACCAAACATCAGTGCCTTGGTGAATATATCAGCAGTGTTGGCCCGTGAGGCCACGTAGGTAAGGCGGAGCTGACCGCGCTGCTGTAACTCTCGAGCGAGGAAAAAAACAAAGAGCAATGTGCTTCGTTCTATGCTCCAGACTCTGCTCTCGACACAAGGCAATCGTGGACTTGTTGTCGACGTACAGAACCGGAGGAGAACGAGGCCCCTCACCCAATTCTGCCAGCGTAACTCCTGAGCAGCCATAGCCTCAGCGTAGATCTCGGCCTCACAGCTGGGACTAAGTACAGAAGACGAGCGGGTGGACCTCCAGGAGACAAAGCCAGTGCCGAGGCTGAAAGTGTAACCTTGTGATGAGCGCTGAGTATCCTGGTCGTCGGCCCAAGATTCGTCTGAGTATCCTGTGAGTACAACTAAGCCCCGCCCTCCAAGGACAAGCCCCATGCCCGATGTACTGCACAAGTAACGCAACACCCTCCTACCAGCCCGCCAGTGCTCTGGTCGGTGTTTCCCGGGCGCAACGTAGCGCGCCAGGATGCTGAGAGGGTACGCGAGGTCAAGTCGAATGCATGTCATCAGGTACATGAGGCAGCCCACAAGCTATGGATACTGACCACTCGGCTCTACGGACTCGTCCGATGGTGGAACTGAAAGCAAATGGCCTATAGGCAGAGGAGTGGACTGTGGCGAGGAGAACTGGAAGCCGAAGCGCTGAAGGACTTGGTGCATCATGTGTGACTGAGTCAGAGTGATGGTGCGCCGTGCTCTGTCCCGGGTGATCTGCAAGCCAAGATAGCTAAGCACTTTACCCATGTCAGTGCAGGGGTGTCTCTTCTGCAGCTCTGACTTCACAAGGGCCAGTGCCTCAGCGTCGGTAGTAGCGAAAACCAAGTCACCGCAGCACACGTGTGGCCTCGCCAAACGACCTACTCGCGAAGCTGCTGCAGCGAGAGTGGCTCCTGTCGACAAGACTGCTGTTGCTGTCCAACGCCAGAACCTCCAGCAGAAGCACACACGACTCCACCACCACTAGAATGCGCAGCACCCCCAGAAGCAGCACCCCCAGAATCAGCACCCCCAGACTCAGCACCCCCCAGAACCAGCACCTCCAAAGTCAGCTCCCCCAGGACCAGCACCCCCAGAGTCCGTACCTCCAGTGTCACCACCCCCAGCAGCACCATAGTCCACAACGACAGGATGCAGAGGCGGCGAAGACGGTCGAGGCGGAAAACCAAGAGGGGTCTCCAAGCGCGGGGAGCGGCGAGTGGCCGTTGTATCGTCAGCAGTGGGGTCACCCCCTTCAGCTGTGCCAGAGGTGTCAGAGGAGACCTCCAAAGGCTCAGCCGAGGGGGGTGGGCCGACATGAGACACACCCGAGGGAGCAGGACCCTATGGGGGGAGGGGGTCTACCGGGGGGGGGACGTGGAACAAAGAAAAGGGGCAGCGAGGGGGACAGGAGAAGACGTGTGGGGGTGGAGACGGTAGAAGCAAACCGACTCGTGAAAGGTGACGTCCTGGGAGGACAGGAAGCGGCGCGAAGTTGGGTGGGGCATCTGTGAGAAAGCCAAGGAACACGCAGAGGAGAGTGTGAGGAGAGAGCTAGCCCGCGGTAGGATCGCAGACAAGGGCAAGCGAGCCCCTGACCCGAAACGATGACGCATCGCCAACCTCCCCTGACCAACGCAGTGCAGGCGAGGTCTCTGGCACAGAGACACAGAGCCAAAGGTTGAGCTGATGCGCAGCGTATCGGACCGCAAGCGGCCACAGAAATTGGGGAGCAGCCGCAGGGATAATGGAGGTGCGAGCAACCTCCAAGATCAAGCCAATGTGACGCTCAGCAATCCCATTCTGCTGTGGAGAGTCCGGAAGCGTGAACGACTGGGCAATGCCCTCCTCACGACAAAAGTCCTCAAGGAGGAAGGGGGAGAACTCACCGCCTCTGTCAGAGTGCAGGTGCAGGACCTGAAGGTCCTGCTGAAACCGTGCGCTCTGCTGGCGACGAACAGTGCGGATCCAGGGGATCAAAACACCGTGGACATCCACCTTGCTCTGCAAGGGGAAAACCATGGTGTAGCACGTGTAGTCGTCAACAACCAGCAGAAAGTAGCGCTCGTGGTCCTGTTCATGGATGCGGGCAGGGCCCCACATGTCCATGTGGAGAGCTGCAGAGGAGCAGTGGTCGGAGGAAACGAGGAGGAGGGAGGAGCGGCGCGCTGCCGCCCCTCGACTCAGGGAAGGCAGTAGTGCAAGCGAGCGCGGGAGCAGGGGCAGGGACTTGGGGAGGCCAGAGACAAGGAGACGAAAGTGCATGCCACGCAGACGCAGCAGCGAGGGGTGACCAAGGCGATGGTGCCAGAGGAGAGAGGGGTGCATGAGAAGGCGACACGAACAAGACAAAGCTAACTGACCAGACGCAGCCACCTGACCTGACGCAGCCAACTGTGGAGACTCAGTGGTCAGTGTGTACAGGCTAGATACAGGTCTACGTGTGAACGTGACAAGGTGCTCGCCAGTGCATGAGCCGTGCATATCGCCACAAGCTCACCCCCAGGAGTAGTGGTGGTGACCAACTGGTCCTGGAGGACAGCGTTACTCACCAAGTTCGTAGTGAACGAGGGGAGGTGGAGACCTGCAAGCGAGCCGGAAGGGGCTGCCGGACACGTGAGAACTATGGAGGCACGTGCAACGACTAGGCCCCAGCATAACCGGGACATGTGTTGTGAGAGGTGTGACTGTGGTGCAATTGCGGAAGAAGCAGCAAGACGCGCCTGAGTCAAGTGTGAAGGTGTGCAAGGCCTCAGACTCACAAGCACCTAGAGCAGCAGCCTCTACACAAGTAGCGTGAGGCACACACGAGTAACAGTCACCCTCAACACTAGCAGAACCAGCATACATAGCATATAGGCCAGCATTGATCTTATCAAAGTCAAGAGCAAACACATCCACCCTCTTAGCTAGCAATCCTAACCAGTTGGGGATCGCAAGCTCATCACCGTACTCGGTGCGCCAAGCATCCTTGAGACAGAAGAAGCAGCGATACTCAGTTTGCCCAATCTTCCCGCAGGGGTCACCAGCCCCGGGGACCCGTGCGCCTGGCGTATATGTAACGACCACTATCCCCAGAGGAGCCACGCTGGACAACCCAGTCATGAAGTTGCTGGGGCGTGAGTGTCTCCTGCTAGCGTGGCTGCTTCTGCTGTCCACCCCCAGAGCCTCCGCCGCCACGAGCTGCGCCCCCAGTCGCCGCCCCAGAGCCTCCACCCTTACCAGCTGCACCCCGACCGCCACCCGAACCCCTTCTGCCCACCCCACCACCTCCACCACCCCCGCCACCTCCACCACCGCTACCAC